GGTTAGATACACTATGAAAAACTGGATCTGGAGGAGTCATTTTTAGTATTGATCAAGTATGTTATCATAGTGAAATGCATCGGATTCTACGATGACTGATTTAGTTCATTTTTATTTTTTCATAAAAGCCTTTAATCTAGTATGCGACCAAAACTAGTCACAAAATCAAAGTCTTTAGAAACGCCAGAAATCATTACGTTCAACTCAGTGTTTTTTGTCTGATTTTGAATTGAATCTTTGCTGAGATGAAATATCGATATCATGGTTGCAGTACACACCCTTCTAAAGTTTCTCTCTTGACAAACAAACTTCATAGAGAATTACTCTGATGTCTATAATCTTTTCTTCTTAGATTATAGTAATCAGTTTCAAAATTCTATTGCAAGTTCGTTGATGGTCTCTGGCTTTCATAGAACTTTTATGAAATTTGTCATTTGATCGATATGCAGTAATTAGATGCTACACTTACCTGATGAATCTATAACAAGAATGAAACGTGTCGTGAGTAACTTCTTTTTGAAAAATTTTCTCACGAAAGATACGTCTACACCCTACACTTGACAGTCGCCTTATCTCTTGTTCTCAATAATACAGCGTTTGTTTTATTGCATGAATCATTATTGTTAAGACAAGAAAAAATTGACCGATGTAAATTCTTTCTCGTTACTTTTTGTCGCTAAAAGTCTATACTCTTGCACAAGAGACATTTAACGACTGCTTTCATTTATATCTGTTCTTTACTGTTTCTTTTTAAATATAGAAACTGAATCTTCGAGTTCTATTAAAATGTTTCTTAGTTTCCATTTCTACTTTTATACGTAGAAATGACTCATCTATTAGAACATTTAATCTTCTGTAAATAATTTAATCATATATTTGATACAGCATGATAGCACAACAGATTTTCTTTGATCTGGTGTTGATTTTTGATATCGAATTGAGTCAGTAAGACATTGTCACTTTGAAGAGTGACTTTTCCCTTGAAATATTAAATATCATACATAAATTTACTTTTTGAAAATGAACAATCAATGCCCACAATGCAATGAATACATCGTCCTAAAAGAAAGAAATTTTATGAAGAAAAATTCTTCATTAATCATATCAAATTTTAATTGAAAAATAAGTCATAAATATTGAGCAATTTTGTATACATTTAGAATAAATGAATATATTTTTTAATCAGAATAGCTTCAGAATAAATCAAATTTATGTTTTCTCAGTGAAATCATTCAAAAGGCAAACTTGAACATTTAAGAGATACAGAATTTGTCATTAAATTTACGAAAGAAGTAATTGTAATTTTGTAATGAAAATAATATATCACGACCAGAATCATTCGTGATAATAATACGACGAATTTGAATATACATAGTTATAAATTATAGTTGTTTCAAGTCATTCTTGAAAAAAAAGATCACCATTTCTTGACAATGATTTGATGCTGAAATCATACTTTTCATTGTTAATATTACATTGAACAAAGTTTGAGATGATGATTGTATTAAAACGTATATGTTGAACATAATTCAAATATATTTTCAAAATTCCGATGATTGAAATCGAAATAATTTTTTCAAGAAATCTCTAAAAAAATCTAAACGTAAACCATAGAAATCGATTAAATGAGCATTATTATGTGATGCAAGACGAAATTGTTTGTCGCGTATATGTTAATAAAAAATATATTCTATCATTTTCATTTAATATCATACGACATTGAAGAAATCTAAAATTTTAACGAGACAAGAAAAAAACAAGAATAAATTCTTTATTGTATTGTATAAACTAAAACTTACTCGGCTTGTTGATCATTATCAAATAATTTTTTGTATCCATATCTTGATCTAACGAAGATGAAGATTGTTCGACGTTTAAATGTATTTGTTTAATCCATGAATATAATAAACAGTAGAATAATATTCAAACTAAAAAATAAAGAAAATTAACTATAAGAAAGACTTGTTTTTTTTTGTTTTCATGCATTCATTGTTCCATAATATAATGATGTTAGAGAAGATATTAACAACAATTGAAAATTGCCATTTGTGATGGATTTCGATAACCATTTGATGTTGTTGACTTAGTGTTTATCTTATTTCATTTTGTGAAGGTGAAGAAGAAGAAGAAGAACATAAAAGATCAATTAGCGGTATAGTCAATACTACACGATTTGTTTTTTGTCATTCTTAGGAATGCTTGTGATCTTTACGGTCGATTGCTATGCAATCGATCAAAACCATCAAAGACCAGCGGGATGTTAAATTTTACAAATAGAAATTAAATGAATTGATCTCGATTGTTTACCAATTGTCTCATTATCACGAATAACAAAAAATGACTATAAATAGTAATGATTTTCAAAGTTAGAAATCATTCCCTCTCTTTCTTCTTCTTCTTACATTATTATATTATATGTATATTTTATTTTTTAGCTATTTTAGCCTGTATTCATACTTACCATTATCAATATCACAGGTAAGTAATAGCTTTAGTTTTTAAATTTTTTTCCGTTGTCTCAGCTTTTTACCCCATTTGTTTATTATTTTTTTTATATGATAATAATTGTCTTTCTACTTTCATTTTAGTAATACAAAAAAAATAAGTATACTTTTGTATATTTAATACATCCTACGGAGGCCTTCCATACATCGGAGTGAAACTGGCCAAGCCTATCTTGGTGCCTCTAGCACGTACAGGCCGCATATATATCTCTCTGTTGTATGTTCTATACACGTTAGATCTATGTCTGTACGTGAAGAGCCTTGGCTCTCTATGGCACCACCAAGGTAGTTCTTGGTCGCGTGAGCAACTATTAGCTGGTAAGCAAAAAAAAATTTTCTCATTCCAATCAATTCATTTCTTCTTATTTCGTTTTAGTTCATTTCGATTTTATCAACAGCAAAGTAAATATAATTACTTTCACTTATCTTATTCCTAAAAAATAAAATTAATTGTTGCTTTTTATGTTTTAATTCCATTCAACAATAAAATTCAATCAAAACGAACACAAATGTAAGTATATATATTTTTCATTCTTGTTCTTTATTTCTTTGTAACTTCATTTTTTTGAGTTTTAAAATAAACATTATTAAAATAACTCAAATTTTCTTTTCCTTTCACTAATAAGTATTTTATGAAAATAATACAAATTTTCATTTAAATAACACAAATTTTATTTTTGATTATAATAATAAATATTTTCAAACACACAATTTATTTTCCACTTTAATAATTAATATTTTTTGCGAAAAAAAAACAAATTCTTTTATTTAATTCATTTCTTTTCATTTAACAAATAAATAAATAAAAGAAGAAAAGAAACATGTAATGTAATGTTATATTTTAGCTTTTTTCTTTCTTTGAAGCGAAAGAGTAAAAGAAAATTTCTTTTTTCTTGTTTATTTATTTCAAAATATAGAAAAAGAAACGAATAAAGAAAAAACAATTCACAAGTCTTTTCCGGTAAAAAATCGTTTAACACGATGGTTATCGCAATCGGCGACATAGAGATTACCATGTCGATCGAAAGACAAACCAATGGGGTTGCTGAACTGATTTGCTTCTGCTCCTTGACTATTTCCACCCACAATTACAGTGCCTTGTTTCTTGCCTCCTTGAGTCCAGCGCAGTACACGATGATTCAACGTGTCTGCTACATAGAGTGTACCCAACGTATCAACGAAGAGCCCATGAGGATGATGCAATTGTGTCAGAGCATTCCCTCGGCCTTGTCCTCCAGCAACCACAATACCTTCTTTTGCACCTTTATTCCATTTCATTACACGATGATTTTCGTAGTCTGATACATACACTGAATGATCTCGATCGACAAAGAGATATGTCGGCGAGCTGAGCTGATTGAGCCTATTACCTTTACCATTTCCACCAGCTACGAGAGTGCCACTCTTCTCACCCAATTGATATCGTCTCACTTCATCTTTTCCGTAGTCAGAAACGTAGAGATATCTCTGTTCATCCATTGCTAATCCCCAACAGGCGATTTTGTCGATGAGTATTTCACCTTTTGTTGTACTACTATGACGAGACCATCGTACAACTCGTCCATTCCCATAATCACAAATAATGAGACTATCCGTCTCTTTGTCAATTAATACATCAGTTGGATACTGCAATTGATTCAATCCATTTCCTCCGCCGTTACCACCAGCAACAACTTGTCCATTCGTTGTATTACCGTTCTTCCATTGCGTGATACGATGATTCCAGCAGTCAGCAATAACCACTGTTTGATTATCATCAACGAAGAGACCTTGAGGGTATCTAAGCCGATTAGTGGCACCCACACCCCCGGTGTCTCCAGCAATAATCACTCCGTCCTGTGCCCATTTAGCATTAGCAGAAATGTTAACTAGAAGAGAAAGAGTAAGAATAAACGGAGATATCTCTCTTTCTCGAGTATCGCTAGTATATGAAATAATTTCACAAGTATCGAACAAAATTCTTTGAATAGATCATTCTTTTTTTCTATACAGGAAGATTATTCTATAGAATGAATTACACATGTATCATATTGTTTTCTCTCTCAAGCGTATTTAAATTCTATATTTTTTGTAGAAAATCAAACTTAAATAATTAAATCTAGTTAACCCAAGAAGACCTTAAAAAGTCATTCAATCGGAGTTTCAAGTGATGAACTCTATTTATTTATTTTTCCTTTTGTAAAATTAGAACATATTAAACGATCAAAAAAAAATGACATGCAAAGAGTATATCTTGAGGGTGTGGGTGTATCGAGATAATTAATCGAAACTCTTGTAAGTAGTACAATCAAGAATGCTAATGAAAATTGAATCGATTTTCTAATAATATTATTGGCATAAATAATTTGCCGAACTCATCGAAATGTAAAATAAATATTTTTATTATTATTTAAAAATAAGCAATAATTTTTGGACAATACCAACTTATAATAATTTATTCAATAATGTGTTTACAATAAATCAAGATAGCAATATTGCGTTGATAATAATATGTGCGCATGTTTCTCACTACAAGTCAAGTCTAACACTATTTACATTCTAATAAACTATTTCTTCGAACAACTCAAATTTTAACTACTCTCTGACTTATAGTACTGCCCTATTTCCCCTAATATATCGTGAGCTTATATACTAGAGAGAGAGAGACATAGAAGATTTCGTACTGTTCAGCATGCGACCATGTGTTAGTCACATACAAGGATGTATATTAGTAATGTAAACTTAATTACGTCACTGCAATATGTTCATTAGCTCTGTGACTTATAAGTGGAGGTCCGATATTACGTAGTACTTTTATCTTTAAACTTGAGTATCATATTTTGAGTCTTTTCCTATGACGAAAATATTTTTAAATCTTTAAATTATTTTCTAGTTTACAGTGTAGAAAAATTATTATGTGACATTAGCAGGAATATTAATTGGAAGAGAAAACATAAAATCAAATGAGATCTCTGTCTCTCTCGAGTATAGCTAGTATTTGAAATAATTGTGAAAGTATCGAGCAAAATACTTTGAATAGATTACCTTTTTTGTAGAAATTCAAGAAAATTCCCCGCCAGAACAAGTTTTTCTATATTGGAAGATTATTCTATAGAAAGAAAGTTCTCTTATGACAGTGATAAGTCTACAGTGAGTAGAATAAAATAAAATAAAATAAATTGAATGCAATGGCAATGAAAACATTTTCGAGCATTTTCTATCGTCCCATATAGATATATATTATTAACTATTTTGTATTCCTGAAGAATATATTTAAATATTATATCGACATGTACGGTTTCGAAGACACTTTTTCTTAAACTATATTCAGGAGATTATACGAACGTAACACTCGCATATTATTCTTCAGCATATTCACCATATAGGTAAATATAAGACAATAGAAAATTTCAAGTTCTATCAGAATCTATAGTGATGAAAAATCATGTCTGTCAAAATTTTTAGACTATAAGATTAAGTTGAGATGAATACAAATCTTAATAGAAATTGAAGAAGATTGTCCAAAAGTTAGAAAACTTCAACAGAATTCAACTATCCAAAGAGGAAAAACAGATGAAAGGAAAATGTCGTTCTACTAGAATACTCTTTATAAGGAAATCCCTCCCAATTCTCAATAAATCTGGCTCATATTCATTGCAGAAACACAAATATATATATATATATATATATATATATCTTAAAAAACTGTTTATTAAAGATGTTTAACACTGAATCAGAATCGATTAGTTCCAGATGATTTACAAGAAAAGAAGGAAAAAACAGTAACAAAATAAAATCACTGTTCTGTTTAGATATGTACGGAACTGCAAAATATATCATTAATTTCATATTTCAACAGAAATGTTCAATATGAAAGATTCTTTTGTTTTGCGTCATCAATATGATAATTGTATACATCTAATAAAGTTCTTCGATATTTTCGAACGAAATACGATTTCTTTTAAATAAAATATAGTCTGATTATGTTTCTATGTTAACTTAAAAACAAATAAAAGTATCTATTTAAATTATAAATAGACAGAAAACTAGTTATGTGAAATAGGAAAATAACACGCTTGAATAAGCTCAGCACTTGCCATTTGTAAATGTTTATGTGAGTTCTATAATTCAACTATATCAGTTAACATAATGAACGATTCGTATTCATTAAAAATGCTTAGTTGTCTGATGATTTTACTTGAATGAATTATTCTTACTAAATTTCTCTATCTATCTATTCAGCTTCATATATGTATAGCTAATGTTCATTGTAGTTTTAAGTTGATTTATACAAATTTTGTTTTTCGAAATTTCTTTACAAAACGAAAATTTTTATTGTCTGTCCACACACTACCCATATTGTCGATTATATAGTTTTGATCTTCTCTTTCATTTTATAAATTCAACAGATAGATAATGAATTTTAAAATGACGGTAAAGTATATAAAATTCTCAATATCGCTTTAATTACAAGGTTAGGGTAAATGCGTAATCAATAGGATGTTTTCCTTCATGAGTTATACTCTGACGTTATGAATCATTCTTCAATTTTCTTCTTCTATGCAGGTTAAATTGTAAAAACATTCTATATGTTTTCTTTCGTTTGGTGTTATTCAATCAGTAGCAAATTCCTACAATATAATAACATGCGTTAGTTCAGATAATAGAATCTTTCGAATCATTCTCTATACACAAGACTAAACCTAAAAAGAATATCGGCTAGTATTTTAGATGAAAATTCGCTGATTCAAAAAAAAATATCTCATTCAATCTTTTTTTATTCAGATAATTACGTTGAGTTTGTTATCTCAGAAAATGTATCTACTGATAGATTTTAAAAATTAATTTCTTATAGACAGTATATTTGTATAAGACTGAATGCATAGGATTATCTTCATCTGTATCTACCTATTGCTGATATATACATGGCTGTAAACTCGTATAATCAGCATTGGGTGCGGGCGCTACTCTGGAATTCAGTACACCCAATCACAATCTCCACACCCACACCCTTATAAGTAGAAAATATTCCTTCATATTCCTATATCAGACCAATCAACCAGCAACAAATAGTATGCCTGATATATCTTAAAAATAAAAATAGCGGTGGAACATATTGAACTATTAGACTTCATGTTTATGATAAAGAAATAAAAGAATTACATCTCTAAATAGCCGAACTAAGCAATGAGAAAAGAATTTTCTAAACCTATTGAACTCTTATAACAAGAATACATGCATTAAGTTTTTCGATTAAATACCGTTATTATGTTTTGGAAAAAACTCAGTATGTGTTCACAGTTTCGATTTTTTAAGTGAATATGTCCATAAAGAGAAAAAATAATATAAGTTAGAGAAATTGATATGAACTATCAAGAGTGTCTCATGTTTCAATGTAATATAAAATCAAGCTAATAATCCATGGACAATTATAGATCATTTTGGATACTTGTCATATTATTCTGATCTATATTTTATTAATACAAGAGAAACAAAAAGTTTTCATTCATAATCATTCCAGAACAAAACTTTATTTTATACTGATCTTGGTAAATGAAAATAATAAACAAGATATTTTTTCATTCGTTTCTATTTTTTGAAAAATAATTTTCCTGTGTTATTCTCGAATGCTTATTTATAAAATGAAATGATAATTTATTTAGCAACATTAGAATTCGTCAAATGAAATATGTTGACATATTCAATGCCATATAGCTGTGAAAAAATCTTTTGTCTAGATAAATGATGAATAAATAGTATTCATGCATATAACCTCTCGGATTGCTTTGTATGAATTGAACTATAAAACCTGTAGCCTTTTTCTATTAGATTTCTTATGTTTCGAATTTTTTTCTAGAGCAACACTAGTAAATTTTGAAAAAGTCTAATAAGCGTTTGCAAGACATTCGATTATCTCATCAGTTTCTATTGAAATCTATACCGAAAAGATCTTCAAAAATTATAAAACTATTTATTTGAAAGAAAGTTTATTTTATAGGAAGGGAATGAATATCCCTATGTGCCTCCTCTTGGGTCGAACCTAGAGACTCACAGTTACACCTTTCGACGCGATTTTGCAGTGATAAATAGATTTACTTACTGAGCCAAAGTGTTGTGCTTTTCAATTTGTTGATTTCTTCTCGAAGGATTGTAATTTGCTTGTGAATAGGTGCTGTTTCATTCTTTTGGGTTTGATTTTTTGATTGAATGTCGCCGATTTGAATCTGTTGCTGTTGTAACTGAGCCTTTTGTTGTTCAAGTTGAGCTTTTTGCTCTTTTATATCCAAACTTTGGTTTTCAATCACCTTATACAAGATATCGGCCATTGGTCTTAATTTTTCGAATAAGCACGTTTTCGTGTGTTCATCATGTTCGTTCCTCGATCCAAACCATAGACATCCAATATTCTTCGCTGCACAATCTATTCGACGTCCAGGACAGTTTGTCGTTATATGTTCATCAAAGGTTCCTCTATTTATATTTGTTTTCTCACAAAGCTGGCATCGAACTTTAAGTTTATCAAGCATTGAGACGACAAGACGCGACGGAGGGTTTAGTGTCAAATGGTCAGTACTCACTAATTGATTACACGACTTCGGCGGGCAATGAGAACCAGTTCTCATATCTTTTTCAATACATAGACGACAATAAGTATCACCACATTGAGTCACAATTGGATCAATAAAAGGATTATGGCAAAGTAAGCATATAAGATCTGAATCAATGCTCTCTCTATCGATATATTCGTAGAAACTACTTGATATCATCTGAAAATATGAAATGGTCAAATTGAAAATAAAAATAAATTACTTCTTCGCCAGCTCTAAGTGTCTAGTAATTAAATCGATGTCATATTCTGCCTAATGCTATTTCTTTTTTTACGATGTACAACACAGATAATTAGTAATATCATCAAAAATTTCGAATAGAATATCTACTTTTAAACTGACCGAATTCGTTCAACAACTAGATTTCCTGTACAAAAACTCCAACTCATATATAGTGACTACATGGCATTATATACTTTCTCATATATAGCATTTAGCTTTGAGTGGTGAGTTTTAAAAAAATAATCATATGAATATCTTTTCATGAATGGTAACACTTGAAAATCAGCATTATTCACATCTGTTAGTCATTGTTGTACAAAACAAGGAGACTACAGTGCGTGGAATTTTTCTATTAGAATGTAAACTTGTATTGAATAAAAATTACAACAACGATAGAAACAAGATTAGCAACCACAACCTTAGTTTAGTATATTTGTCTCGAAGTTGCAGACTAGAGCCTATTGAAATGGTAAAATAGTGATTTTATTTTTCAAGAATACTTTTGAACTTAAGTACCTCTCACTTATGTATATTTCTTGACTGTTTCTTACTTACGATTATAGAGTTACGAATATATAACGTTGTTCATGGTCGTGATGATCATTTTTTGCCAATTTAATATCAATCATCACATTAACGGGAACTATCAAGCTGTGCAAGATATCAAAAACGACTATGCATATGTTTTTGAATAGACAACTCAGTGTCACAATATAATTAATATTCAAATGACAACAGACAGTCATTATGTAATTTTTCCATAGTATATATGCTACTATCGCTGAATAACTGTGCTACAATTCGTTGATTTTTCAGAATTCAGAAAAAAACATTCCACAGTTTTCTAAACATTAAACATTTTCCCACACATACCGTTCAGCTACACTATACTAATCTAATCAATCAAATGTCTCTTACAAATTTCTAGTTCTTGGCAGTCTTTATTTATGATATTCCATGCAATACACTGATAGTCAACAGTTGCATTGTGTTGATTAGTGCGAAATTATTTATTTTTTTCTTCGCACATGGATTCATTTATAATAAACTGATTAGAATATATGTGAAATTATTTTATGTCTGCCGAGTTTGTTGTAATAACCGCAAGAAAAGCTCAAGGACTATCATGGAAAGTTTGATAATCGTAATACAACAAATAATAGAGAATAAAAGATCGTTCAATGTAAAGTATATGAAAATCTATTTTACTAAAATTGTGTTTTCTCCGCTAGAATAAAGGAACATGAAAGAAAAAGTGAGGAATTCGTATGTGGCTGCCCTTCAAGTTAATAATTACTTTAATTATGGTACTGATTATATTCCACTAGGTAGTAAAAAATCTTTCAAAGAAAAATACTAAAGAACATATACTGACGAAAACAATATCGCTGATAATAGAAACATTTACGATCGAAATCTTACAAAAATTATTTTATCAAATATTGACTAATGAATTAAATCTTCTTACATTAATTACCTGTATTTGCTTCCAACATTGATCTATTTCTTTTCGAATATATCAAATTCTAAGAACAGTTCATTGGAGGAAAAATATCAACAATCAATATCACTGTTAAGTAGTAAATTTATTCTCATGGAATACGTGTTCAACTCGGTGTCACAAAATTTCAATGAATTGGCGATCATGCATGTTCCAAGATGTAACTAACAATGGAGGTGTTTGTGTTGATAAGTAAAAAGATAGGTCATCTTCGGATAAAATGAAAGCTCTCATCGCGAAACTAACAAGGTTAAAATATTAGCTCCCCTTAGCTTGTCTAGAGGGAGATATTCGATTTTTCAGTGAATTTTCTCTACAGGACCAGCTTTTCCAGCAATATCATACTTTCGAATTTGAACGTGAAACTTTGTATGCAGGAAGGCCTCAGTGAGATTAGCTTATAGAAAAAAAAGCAAAAGTTTTGGACAAACCCTCTTCGAGATATGAATCTCTCAAGCATACAGCTTATATAGAAATCGTCAATATTTTGAGAGATTCATATCGCGAAGAGGGTTTGTCCAAAACTTTTGATTTTTTCTATAAGCTACACTGATAAAAAAGCGCCGAATGATAAACGTTTAAAGCGTTTATAAAAATGCAGCGTATGATATATCTTTTTCTACCGTTTAGCAGCATGCGGTAAACCCTTTTATGTGCCCATCAAAAGACGAAATAAAAAGGTTTATCATAGCGTTTATACGACTAAACAACTTTAAAAGGGTGTATCATACACTGCATTTTCATAAACCCTATCGTAGGTGTTAGAGAGTACTCTAACCAGCTATTTATTTATTTATTCTTATACATTCTTGTTTCATCTTTATACGTTATGTATTTCTTATGTGTAATCCAACTCGAGATGCACATACGCCAACCGCTCTTTTTCATTCTTTCTTTCCTCTCTTTGCATATCTCTCTATTATGTCTTCTGTCCTCCCATGTGTGACGACGTAAATAATGGCATTGCTTCTTCGACTGGAATTTAAGTGCATTTATAGAATGATGCACCATCATCTTTATATACAAAATAGTCTAGTTGAAGAAGCAAATGCCTTTTCTTCCTTTGTTTCTTTTCTCTCTCTCTCTCTCTTGTGTGTGTGTGTGTGCGTGGGTAGTATAGTATAAATAGGAAAAAAAAGAATAATAAAGGAAAGATTCAGATTCAGATTAGGAATCGAAAATAGGAAATTTGTTGTTGATTGATTAAATATAAACATAAATTTCTATTTTGTGAATTGATTTAAGTTACAGCGGGGCCTCTGTAACACTTTCTATCTCACTTTTTTCAATATCTTCATATTAAACACACAAATGCATGTTTATCTTTCCTCATTTTTGCTGTCATTATTATCTCCACTGCTATATTGTAAAAATCAAACACATGACTAATGTAAAAATATCGATGATCGAATAAGACTACTTACCAGCCGATGTCAAAATGCTTATTTTTTAATGTGAGTCTACAAGAGGCATTACTTTGTATATATAGTCGTTACATATTTTTTCTTTTTTTCTAACATAAAATGTTTACCTGAGTCAATGAAGTGTGACCAAGGGAAAAAAACGGATTCAGGATTCGCAGGATTCTCGGAATTTTTTATAATAGCAAATGACATTCCAGAAATTCATACTTAACCTCTACGATCCTCACTCTAGTCCTGAAAATCTGATAGAACCCAGTGTCAAGGCTTCATTGCTTTATCAAATGGCTTGAAAAGCTGCACACAACTATTGAGGAAAATCATTTCCTAGGCGAACGTGTTTTTTTTCATATGTTTGACCTGTTCAGATACCAAGATTTGTCCAGAGCACATGACACTCTTGCGCCTAATGCTCATGTATTTCAGGCGTATATCCCAAGATAGTTCACTAGGGTTATCTATTATAAAATTCTAGGCACTTGACCTAATTAGACTGTTATCAAGTCCATTTTGACAACACGACAGATTACTTTCTTATTTTTAAAAGAAAATATTCGAAGTAGAATAACAAATAGCAGCAAGCAATAAGATACATCAATGAGATACAAGAAATATGTCGAATCACATGAATCTATGGCGTCTTATATGTAATCTTTTATTCATTCAGTAATCTGACAGTTAAACATGCTTAAAGCAATCAGGTAGCAGCACAACCTTTCCGTCTACTAAAAGATAAGAGGCTCTCTATCTATGACTGTATTGTTTTTCGCATTAATTTTGACACCAAAGAAAAATAGTTTGAAAATGAAGAAAAAATTGGTTCGGAGACTCTTATTGTATAAAATTGAGATTCATCGCTAGTTGATACAGAAGACGAATTATAAATTCTGTCTTAGGATCAGCTATATTTCTCTGATTTGAATATAAAAAAGCAACATTAGATTTAAAATACTAGTTTGACTATTGATCCAATGAGTTGTAATGATTTTCGTCAGATTAGTCAATACGGACTTTTTTTTACACAAGATTCGTATAATTGATCTACTTTGTTTTATCACAGATTCTCTTGTTTTTTTCTAAACAAAAATAAAATCAAATTCGAAAAGAAGATTATAGGTTAGATTATAAATTTGATAAATAATCTTTTCAAAATTATCACAAAGGAGAAGATCATGAGATCATTTTGAAGCTGATTGTTTCGAAACCACATTTTTCTTATCTTGTGTGACATTTTTGAAAATTTTTATGAAAAGTTCAACGCACTGCATTTGGATAGGAATAAAACAAATTCTACATGCACCAGAATGCCTGAACTTCGCCCGAATATTCAAGATCTTCATCGAGTTCCGTATCTCCATCCTTTTTGTTCTCTAGCTGTCTGCCTTTTTCTCGAAGATTCAATTATTGGCTCTAAGCTTGCTTTGAATTGTGAAAATCGAGCGATGTTTATTCTTCCACAGAAGAAAAATAGTCCAGACAAATTTTTTCATAAGATATGCATCAATACTATAGACAAGAAAGCTCTTGTTTTATTTTCCTTTGTCCGTGAAATGGCAGTAAAAATCAAAGTAATATCGATCAGAACTAACCCGTTACATTTTCTCATTGATCATGTCTATTTTGTTAAACGAGCTGGATAATGAATTAATATAAGCTCATCGATTAGTATATTATTCCAATCATTAGGTAACTAGTCAATAGATTATTTGCCCGTTTTTTTGTATTAATATTCACGGATGAATCATTATTGATCAATCTAGGAAGAATACTGTTGATTGCAGAGCTACGACTTACTAAGTATTGAATAGAATGAAAGGACCGCAAGTTCGTCTTCGGAGCGAGTCCCTTAGCTCAATCGCACCTATATATGTTATGTCAAATTTTAAGTTGTAGTCCGATTCATCCTTATATGAATCAATATGAGCGTTATTGTACAAAATGTTTGAGACCTCTCACCTAATTGAACTATATAAACAATCATACTAGATGTGACGATTAAGACCACATTATTTCGTTAGAAATCAGTAGCTTCTATACCCCAGAACGTTCAGTTTACGATATCGACGAGGGTGATGATCTACGTCATTTTTTTCCATCCCCACGAAATATTCACATCCACACTCTTATTTTTCATACCACTAAGTGGTTCTCTTAAAGAAACGTGTTTCACAATATTAAAGGAACGAAGTAATATTTGTTATGCATGAATATGAATTATGATTTTAGTGTTGTTCAGACATCTAATTTAAGTATTCTTTGGATATTCATTGGAATCCCTGGATTTATATTTGATTCCAGGATTCCCATGGGATTCGAAATCCCGAGAACCCGCCATTCCCCCATTGAGTGGCATCATAATTGAAAGATTTCGACTTTTTTCTTAGATTGCACTCTGCATACCAATTGCTTTTTTATTTATTTATATGTATTAACTAGAATAGTTCAATAATACGCCGTGAAGACAACTTATTCATAACTTTTGCGCATAGGGTTGCATTATAATTTGTCTCAACTGAAGACACCCATGTCATCAAAATCACGACGACTTTCGCGACACCCGCAGTCGTCTTACTAAATTTTCTAAGCATGATAATTATATACATCATTTTGTTTTATTTATGCAACGTAGATATACATGCAGTTTATAATATCAAGAGCATAAACCAGATTCGTGTCATAAACCAACATGTTACAATTTGTTCTCTTCGGTGATGAGAATTACGAATTTCACAAGAATTTTGTATTATACTTTTTATGACAGGAAGTCCTTGTTTCACAACAACTAGCTTATCTGTATAGTCTGTTTCGTAAATTGTTTCGATTGATACTTTTATTAATCCAGAATATAAATAATATTTTCTGGATTTCTGGGATTTCTCATAGGATTCCAGGGATTTTTATGGGATTCTTGGGATTCTCGAGATTTTTGTGGGATTCGGAATCCTGAGAATCCGCCTTTTCCTCCTTGAATTTGAATCAATTAAAGGTAGCTTGAATTGACAAAGAATGAATTAAAGTAATTAGCTTGCATTGGCTTTAAGTAAGCCTGGAACACTTTAAAGTAATCCAAAATCAAGTTCAGTTAGAATGTGAAGCCACGTGTTTCTAGAAATGATCGAAACCAAAGCATGGAATCAAACAAGCCTTGACCTATTGCCCTCGTTCTACATATATTCGCTTCTATGGAAAGAAATTATCTTGGATATTGATGACGATGATACGAAAGCTGTGAAAGAACTTATCGTCTACTGCCGAAGTCAAGACATTCCTGAATCTGAATTGAATGAATTACAGCGTCAATACCACAAAAAGCACCTATTTGGTGGTGAACAAAGGAAATGTTTTTCTATAGCATGCTTAACCGCTCTCTATGGTCACTTGGCATGGAAGCAACGATGAAATTAGTTTTTTTTTGTTCGAGCCATGTATCGTCAACTGCAACAACTGTATAAAGAACAGTCGGACGCGAATCAAAGAAAATTTGTCGTTTATCGTGGTCAGGGACTGCCTCAACAACACTTTATGAATCTGTATGATACAAAGGGTAGTGTTCTATCATTTAAAAGCTTCCTTTCTACTTCGAGAGAAAAAAACATTGCGATGGCCTATGTTGAACGAACAATATGTATAAATTCCGACAGCTTGGGTGTTATCTTTATTATGACTATCGATCCAAATGCTACTTTGGCTTCGAGTACACCCTTTGTTCTTATGGATTAGTACAATTGCATTCCATCGGAAAAAGAAATACTCTTCTCAATGCACACGGTCTTCCGTGTTGATGAAAACAAACAGACAAACAATAGTCGCCTGTAGGAAGTTCACTTGGCTGTTACAGAAGATAATAATTTGCAACAGGCGATTCTCACGAACTGTTTGCGAGAGGAAATTCAAGTGCCTAATGAATAGTATAAATTGGGAAAGCTGCTGCTAAAAATGGGTCATTATATGCAAGCTGAAGAGCTCATCTGAAGACAATGATAGAACATATATCGATCAACAGCTTGGAAAAACGAAATATAACCTAGGAAAATACAAAGAGGCAGCTTCATTTCATGAGAAATGTGCTGAGATCAAGCGCAAAACTGTCCCAGAACAACATCCTTCATTGGGTAGTATCTATGAAGACATTGGCGTTGCGTATAACAGTATGGCAGACTACCAAAAAGCACTTGAATTTCACAAAAAAGCATTGGGAATCTATGAAAAAAGCACTCCCTCCGACACATCCTGATATTAAACATATGTTTAGATGCTATAGAAAATATGAATTGCTTTTTGTTTACATTCAATAAAAACATGCTGATTGCTATCCAACTACTCTACTTTTCTTTAATTTCTATCAGGGTATGAGTGTCCGATTCTGGATCTGAATCTTCCAATATTTAGTACCCGTACGTTATATCCACACCCACAAATGTAAATCTTCATCATTAACTTCTTCTACTTGTCTTAGAATAACATTCAGTTTATCAAACTCCAAAAGAGTCTGATTAAATTCTATGAGAAAAAAAACTGTATTTGTATAATCTACAAAACACCTACAATTAGATATTTTAATATTGACAAAAACATTGATCGAAAAAAAAGACAAACAACCAGTATTAAACAAAGAATGCACTTATAAATAAATAATATACATATTTATTGGTTTTTTTAGATGAACAGGCTAAAAACGTTGATAAATCTGTTGTTGCTGCTGCTGCTGTTGTTGTTGTTGTTGTTGTTGATTTGGATTTCTCTAAATGCAAAAAAGAAAAAGAAATTACACTAAACAATACTATTTATATATTATTTACTTGGTATTCATAATTCGATGGATCACCACTGGTATAAGTTCCTGACACACGTAATTTCTTCTCTGGTGGTTGCCCTGATGAATGTTGCTGTAGTAATTTAATCTAGTTGAAATATCAAGTACGATTTTATGATTAATTTATAATTTCTTTTAACTTACTTGTTGTGCGTGTGTTTGCTGAACAATATTATGTTGTTGTTGTTGTTGTTGTTGCGGCTGTTGCTTAATATGTACATTGGGTGGTTGTTGTTGACTATGTGTTACATGAGATGATTGCTGTTGAGTTAGAAGCACGGATGAAGCTTCAGTTTTAACAACAACCGCAGGCTCGGTTTTTGGTACATGTGCGGCAGCATCAGAATTATCATCATCGGTGATAAATTCACGTTTTGGATAAGGTATTGGGGTAGAATCGAATACGCTAAATAGATACTAGAATTATGATGGGAAAAGTTCTGTTTTGTTGATTGATTTACTCATCACTAGGCCGAGGATCTTCTTTGAAATATAAATCATTCATTGCATCTAACGCTGAATATGAAAACAAAAACAATAATTGAAGAACAATAATGAATTCTATTACCAGATAATCTTTTGATTGGATCAATAGTAAGCAAACGTGTAAGTAATTGAAAAGCTCGGCTATCCGATCGTATGTTATGTTTTTCCATGTATTTACTTAAACTACAATTCGCATAACTAAAATTCAAACAAAAACAATCAAATTTAATTAATCACTATTAAAAGTGACGAATAACTGACTTGCTCTTTTTGAATTCTTTTGATAAACGTATGTATTCGGGCATTCGTTTCATATCTTCCCATTCTTTGTCTAAACAAGAATCGGATAAATCAAAATAAATAGAATATTAGTTTTTTTTTACCAGCTGGAAAACTCATAACAGAAAAAATTCGATCGAGTTGATCATGATGATACGGTGTACTTGTTTTTATATCTTCTTGTTTACAATGAAATATTGGCTCATAAGTTAATAATTCAGCAAATATGCATCTATTGTTTAAAGAATACCATTTGTAAAAATATATTCGATAGGAAAAAAACGATAAAATTACCCGATAGCCCATATATCAATAGCTTTTGTATAATGTCGGGCGCCGAGTAATAATTCTGGTGCACGGTACCAAAATGTTACAACGACAGGATCTAAATAAAACACACGAACGGTTTAGTTAAATAGAATTTTCGTACGCTTCTAATACTTTTGTCTCTAAAACAACGGCATTTCTCGTATACTCTCGATGTAAAGAAGACTCATAAGAACCTTAGAAATTAAATCAAAAATTTAGATTTACCGAGATCAGCCATGGGTTTAAGTGGCGAATTAAATAAACGAGCAAAACCCATATCAGCAATTTTAACTCGGCCACGCTCAGGTCCCTCGCCCATCACTAGAATATTGGCTGGTTTCAAATCTCGATGTAAAATCCAATTGGAATGTAAATAATGTATTCCAGCAAGTATTTGATAAAGTAATGATTTAACCATACCGCGTGCACATATAACAGTTTTTTTATTCTGCTTAGCTGACCGATGAAATTTAATAATATGCTTTAAAGAAAAAAAAGGAAATACTCAATGATGGAAACAAAAAAAAATGAATAGATGTTTTACCCATAAGTCATGTTCAGCAAAATCAAACAGAAGAAAAACTCGACGATCAGCATGTGAAAGAAAGACACGTTGTAATGTTATCACATTGATATGCTTTAATTCACGTAATAACTAAAAATGAAATAAAATAGAAAATGGGGGAAAAAGAAAAGAATTATTTTCATACGGAAATTTCTCGACAAGCACTTGTTGATAAACCAGCACCTAGACAAAAATATGTCAAACGTTATTAAAGACTTTTTTAATATTACCTTCGATCTGTTTCAATGCATAGTCTCTTGTATCATTTCTAAATAGAATAATGATTCATTTTCAAAAAAAGTAAAAATCATAAATGATTTTTCGTTTACCCATCTTTCTTTTTTGCTTTATAAACATGTCCATAGGTACCTCGACCAACTTTACAACCAAGAAAATCAAATGCATCTTCAACTTTTGTTCGTTCTTGATCTAGCTGAGCCTTAAAATCGGCATCCATTTTAGGCTTTATTTTGTATGGTTACTTTCATCCCATTTAGTTTCAACAAAAACCTACTGATCTGAAAACAAAATGAAATATGTAGTCACTGGAATTAAAAGATTAAAAAACAAAGCGAAAAAAAGTATGTTTTATTCTTTTTTTAATTGACATTTTGCTTGGATTTTTTCTGCTAAATTTAAATAAACTTTTGCTGTTGATGAATCAGAATGAAGTTCAAATAAATCTTCACCATCATCACAACATTTAGCTATATATGGATCAATTGGAATACTTGAAAGTAATTCATAATTATTTGTTTCACACAATTGTCTTAAACCATCATGCCTGGGAAATATTGTGCTTTCTTTATGACATTTTCCACATTTAAATATAGACATATTTTCAACAATGCCAAGTACATTAATATTGGCTTGTTTAACAAACGAAACTTCTTTTCGAACATCTTGTAGAGAAATTTCTTGTGGTGTTGTAACAAGAATACAACCAGATAATGATGAAACATTTTTTAAATAATTAACAACAGATAAATGTTCATCCGATGTACCTGGCGGTGTATCAACAATTAAATAATCAAGTTCACCTTCACCCCAATCAACATCTAATAAAAATTGTTTTATCATATTATCTTTACGTGGACCTTTCCATATCACAGCCTGTTCGAGAGATGTCAATAGGAAACCAACAGACATAGCACATAAATTTTCAGTGACATAAACTGGTGACCAACCGGAACCACTGGAATGAACCTAAGCGATTTCATCAATATGAATTTTTAGTTCTATAAATAAGAAGAACAATAAACTTACTTGTTCGTTTTCAACACCGAGTGCTCTTGGTACACTAGGACCACAAATATCAATATCGAGAAGAGCAATACGTAGTTGAGGATTTCGTGCTAATGCACGAGCTAATATAACTGCTACGGTTGTTTTTCCAACTCCACCTTTTCCACTCAAAACAAGAATAATATTTTTTACTGATGATAAACGTTGACCGATTTCAACAATTGCTGGATCGATTCGTCGTGGCTCACCCGATGAACACACTGATTGATTTGGGCAACCAGCACAGGCTGATACACGCCCAGCAAGCGTACTAGTAGTACCTGGACAAGCATGTGGAGCATCAGCAGGCACATCGTTATTAGCTGAAGAGAACAAAATGAAGCGTTGATACAGAATCTATGCAAAAAAATGTTTACTTTGATTTTCCATGATAACACTGTTCGCTAGATTTTTTTTCCTTTGAAGGTCAATAAGTGAGTACAATATGAAAAAAAAGATTACAATGTGAAACAATTGCTAAAGATAAATGAATTGATTAGTCCATAAAATTCACCAATCGTAAGAGAACGCCACCTATCGAATATTTGTTTTTGTTATTTTAAAAATTTATTTTTCAATAATTTCTAAAACTGAAGAGCAATGATGATAAAATTTTCATCATTTTTTTTAAAACTAGAGGCTGATGCCAAGCAACGAATGTCATATAGTAATATGATGGCATGATGATCTAATAATCTCAATATGAATCCGTCGTGCAAACTTTAATCAAAATGGATCCGTAAGTTATTTCGTTTACTGTCGATTTTCACTGTTTTTATTCTCTTCAAAGGCCTATTGCACAACGGAGACGTGGCCGCCGTACTCGTTCGAGTACATCTCAGGAAAATTTAATTAAAGATTCAAGTTCAGATGTTAGTCCCCGAGAATCGTCTGCACCTGCAGTTGTAGATGATCGACGTCGTCAAAGACGTGTTCAACGATTACCAACTCATCAGCAATATGATAATCAAGCTTTTGCTGAAGAGGAACGACCACCACCACATCCCATCGAACGTGTTAACGAAGACGAAGAAGAAGACGAAGAAAATGTTCAGAACGCTGAACGACTCGCAACACATGTCGTTAAACAACATCAACGAAATGTCAATGAAGTTCAGCAACAAATTAAAAAACCAAAGAGAACAACAATATCGGATAGTGCCGTGGACGATGATAAAGACGCTTTAAATGAACAAATAGGTGAACAACAAAGAAATCTTTTAAAACGTGTTGGTAATATCGATGACGGTCATGTTTTACCTGTTGAACCATTACCATCAACCATTGGAGCATCACATGATCGATCACTAGAACAAATTCTTGAAAAAGCAAGACGAGCAAGAGCTGGCCAATCCATGGATGGAGGTTAGTAAAGTGTCATTTCATTCAGATTCATCCTGAATAGATACACAGCAATCACTCATGGAGACCAATAGAAAACAGAAGATTTCTGTTTGAAATTTTTACGTCATCAGTAAACTGAAACTAGAGATTTATCAGTATCATTTTTTTTTTTTTTTCGTTCTGTAATTTTTCATTTGTAGTAAATACAGAATTAATGTCAACAATGGGTTCATCACGTCGTTTCGGTGCCAGTAGTGAATTAAAACTTCAACGAACTCTTGGTAAACTTGATGCACATATTGATGCAACATTATTTTCTACGTCTACTATGGGTGGTGATACTTCAACTCGTTTTGATATGGAGAATATTCAAGATAAACGTATTCGTCAAGAAATTGAAAAAAAGCAATATGTTAGTTGTAATCAAATAATCCGTATACGCTGAATGACTTTTTCTTTATTTAGGAACGAAAAAGTCGTTGGAAAGACACAGCTGATCAATTAGAAACTGCACCATCTGTATCTGAGAAAGATGACTTTTTTCTCAAAATTTGGACCGAACAACAAGTTGATGCTCAAGAACCACCAACAGCTTCAGCTAGAGTTGCTCCAGTAACAACCGCAGATAATATTGTTGGTGGAGAAGTAAAAGCAAAACTTTGCATAAATAAATAATAGCACAAAATGATGTCGTTTGTTTTTCATAGGAAACCGACGAAGCTGCCGTGCCCGATGATCAAGCCGCAGGCCGAGATAAAAGGTTACCTGAAGGTTGACGAAAGATTTTTGTTTTTTTGTTTCTGAAGAAAACGTGAATGTTTTTGATATTCTAGAACAGCAACTACTTCTGCCTATGCTAGAAGATGTTCAACCAGCTCAATATCAACGTGCTGAAAAAGCATTTGACGAAGATGAAGAACGCGATTTAGAACAACTAAGATATAAATATGTTGTCGGTCGACCTAGTATGAAATTTATTTCATAGTATTATTTTTTTAAATTTTATTTCTATTCGTATTGTAGTTGGTCTTCGTGAGAAATTCGGTGATGAAGCATTTGAACCACGTTCACTTGAAGACGAAGGCATTTTTGTTGGTAAAAAGCCGATTGTGCCAGCTAAAGTAGTTAATCGAGCAGAAAAACGAATCTATGAAGAATGTGTAAAAGATAATAAGGTAATAAAGCTTTGAAAAGCAAAATTAATAAACAAAAGTTCTATTCACTGTAGCCAATTGATCATTGGTTTGGTCCTGATGGTGCACTTAATACATTGCCAGATCCAACAAAATTTGTACCAACACGACCACTGATTGATGATCTTTTTGATCCAGCTTTAGGCAAAGAATTTTATAAGGTATATTCATTTGAAGAGACTTCCTCAACAAGAGATTTTAACGGGTTAACGGAGTTCTCCAATGAGATACATATTTAGTTATATGCCACTGAAAAGCATACTCTCGATTGAATTCTATCCAATTTTTTTAATGCTGAACCCTATTTTCTAAATTCAGGCTTATCAAATCGACAGTGAACATGGTGTAGCCAGTGATCCAATAGGTGCTGATCGCTATCGTCTCGATATTGATTTAGAAAAAATTTCATTTATTCATCATCATTATATGAGTATCGAACATGTATTAGCAATGAGAATGAAACAAATGTATCAGCATTATACAGTTCGAAAACAACAACGTATTGTGCAGCAACTTTCAGATAAAGTCAGTAAATTTTTCTTCTGAAGAAAGCATTTCTCTCTCTCTCTCTCATATAGATTAAAGCTCTTAAAAGTGCAGAGAACAATTGTCGAACATTATATGAACAAAATAAAGTAATTTATTTATCTTAAACGTAACAACATAAATTTCGAATTCTTTATAGTATGCTGACACAGACGTACCAAAAGAACTACACGAACGATTAACTAATTATCAAAATGAACTTCGGTATGAATAGTTCTTTCATAAAGTAAAGTAGGATGAATTTTCTATTTATTTTTATTTATTAAAGTCAAGCACGTAATCAACGTTGTAATGAAATGAAACTTGATCGACAATTACTGAAAAGTCTATTGGATACTTGGCAAAAAATGAAAGATATTCGTCGTACAAATGGTTATTCAACAACATCTCTGAAACTAATTATAAAACAGTTCGTATTAGTTCATTTTTTTGTTGTAACTTTAATTAATAAAAAAAAACTTTGCTGTAGAATCTCAGGCAAGAGAACAAAACATTATGAACAAATGCAACAACAAATCGAAGAAGAAATAGTAGATGAAATTGCTTTAGCTGAAGAACAGTATCAACAGGAAACTAAAGCTCATTCGTTGATAGCTAGAAAACGAAAATTACAAGATACACGAAAAGTAAATTTCGATTTTGTTGTTTACTGTTTATATAGATATGATTTTCATCGTTAGAAAAGAGCAAGACAAGACTTAGAGAAAAAACGAGCTGCTGCAATGAACACTTACAATCCTGATGGCGAAAATGAACAAGTAAAGATAGAAAAGAAAAAACGAAATGAATTCATATGTTTAGTTTTATATACTCATAGGCCGATATAGCAATTATTAATGAAGAAGAAATTTATGTACCAGACAAACCAGAACCACGTAAACCGGATGAGATTCGAACGACAATATTAGCAAAATATCAAAATGCTCTCCGGCCTCCAGGTAAACAATCGAGTCATTTTGTTTTATTAAGATTGATCCCATAGAGAGGAATATGCCCTAATCTACACGGTGTGACATTATTCCTTCGACAGAAAATATGAGTTAGAATTTCTTTTGGATGTGTTGTAAAACATCGAATACATACCAGAAAATGATCTGATTACTTGTCAAAATCTCCTAATGTGTTTAGGTACGAGCCTCTAGTCAGATATTTTGATTGGACTTTACAGGTAGCTCTTGACAATGACAATTCTAATCAGTTTTTTTTATTGAAAGCAACATTTTAAATATATGAAGGAAACATATTATTTTTGATTTTTAGATGAACCAGAAGTTCTTCTTGAAGTTGTTTATACGGAGCCTATATCCACTGAGAGTGAATGTAGTGCGTAAGTACATTCAATGATTTTAATTAATTAATAAATTATCGTTTATTTTTGAAGACGCGAGCGAGCACGCCGTCATCATCTGCAAACTGCAACAGATGTCATTGCTCGTATTATCATCAATGGAAAAGTGATGGCTGATACACAAGCTGTGTATGAATAATATTTTTCTTGTTTTGTCTTATTGTTTCTTGAATAAATTGTTTCTAGACGATTGACAGGTGATTTTGAAGCAAACTTCGGTCAAATATTTCCATGCTACGTTGTTCGTACGCCGGAAACAATTAAAATCGAATTCTATGAATCTTCAGCACGCTTTCGTTCACCATTAGCTGAGCTTTATTTGCCTGTTCCAGAGCAAACAGTAACAAGTGAAAACTATCAATTACAGGGATATGAATTCAGTTCAAATATATTACGAGAATATAATCCAAATCAAACAACAGCTGTTGGTGCTGGCATACATTCACCTATACAAATTCCTGATGGTAACCTTGGTTTTCTAAATATTGAGGGCATTTTAAATGCAGGTATATCATGGGGTGTACAAGATGGTGTTGCACTTGTACCACCAGATTATATAACATCAAAAGCACATTTAAGGTAAATATTCTTAGAACAACGTATGATCTACAATCAATCGGTCTTAAGTTTACATTCATTTTTGTATTCAAAACAAGCAAAACTTGTCTAAGTTACTTTTGGAATATTCGAGCGTTTAGAAAAATTGCGTAGTTCTCCAAAATGAATATTAATTTTTCATTTAAATTTTTGAACGATAGGTAATTTAATCTCTTCTTTCTAGTCGACAGATGGGTGGTGGTTTTCAACAAGATATAAGCATGCAAGCAATCAATTTAAGCAATATGAAAAATTTAATCGAATGGATAAAACAATCAAATCTTGATCCATACGATCCTGACAATGCATTTCTTATTAATATTATGAAAGTAAGAATAAGATTAATAGGAAGAAAAATCTGTATATTATTTTGATCGACTTATTATTTAGGATTATTCGATAACACGGGCTGATACAAATTTTGAAATTAATGCTTTACAACATTTTCGTTTATCAATTGATGAAAACGATGAAATGGATCAAGATCAAGAACAAATGGATATTGATACTTCATTAAGATTTAAATTATTACAAGCAAGAAAAGAAAATATACCAGATTTTAAAGATTTTAAAGATGTACCAGCATATGATTATCTCGTACGAAGAAAATATGGCGTTTTCAAAGTAACCATACACGCTAGTTTTTATTTTGCTATATGAGTAATAGATTATTTCAAAAGAGAAATCAAACAGCTCGTTTGAGATTAACTGTTGTCTCTTATCTTATATCTGATATTTTACCTTGGAGTCAATATAGAAAGTTTATTGTACAACTCATATTGATTTTGTTTTTGTTTTAAACTAAAAAATAGAGATTTATGATTCATCAACAAGAAGCTGCCGATGGTGATAATGTTGATCAACAAATTCATGGAAAACGTCAAACACGGATTGATATTGTACGACGTCAAGGAGAACGACAATTACGAAAAGTAAAACTTTTTTCCTAATTGAATTCTAAGCTATACTTTGAAAATAGATGCGTGAACAAGTATTAGCTCGTATTGCACTTACAGCAGGCCGAAAAAGTTTTTCAGAAATGGTTGTCGAAGAGAGTATTCCTAATATACAGTAAAAAACCTTGTTTAAAAAAAATTTTAGAGTAGCAAAATGTTTTTTTCTTTTATTATAGAGCACTTCGTGGTCTTCTATCTAGTATATATATTGAACCAACACGTCCACTGTATCCAAGTCGACGTCGTACTGAACAAAAAAAAGCAACAAATTTAGCTCTAGTAGCTAATCGTGAAGTGTACATTTTGGTTAATTTAATTGGTGCTATGGATCTACCTATTCGACGTAGCGTTTTAACACAGTAGGAATAAACAAAAATGTTTTTTTTAAATATTTATTTGCTGTATTTTCAAGGGAAGGACCAAAAGCTGGTAATCAAACAAAACAAGCTGCAGAAAGAATGGTAAATAATTTTGTAAATATAGTTAGAACTGTTAGTTTTCTATCAATCCACTGAAATAAAAACAGAGACATCATCTATGATACATACGAGTTTTCGTTGGTTTGCTTTTCTGAAATAAAATATTGAGAAAATGCATCGTCTTATGAGTGATTAATACTTTGAGAATACACCATATATGTTTATCATAACTCGAAGCTGAATTTCATGATGAAGGTATCGAATACTTTCACAAATTAATTCATTAGTTTTAATCTCATTCATGATTGAATGGTTACATTTCTCACTAATTGAATTTTACAATTATTCAGAGTAGTTATTCGAGCTCATACAAAATGATAGTATGCTTTTCCTATTTTTGAATATTTTCTAGACGTTGATTCGTCCATATGTTGAGATTCAATTTCAAAAGCGAACCTATCGAACAAGTACTGTCGATGGACCTAATCCAAGTTGGAATGAAGAATTACGTATTCCTTTCAGGTATTTATTTTCTTTTAAACTAAAAATTCGAGTTGAACAAAAGCCTTGTCATGAAGTGATAACCATTGATGTGAACAAATTTCTTGTTGGTTGACATATTGACAAAATTTCCAAGTCCATTCAAGTTTTTCTTTGAAATCATATTGTTGAATGAAATGAACAGTTAATTGTCGTTGAACACGATTGAATTCTAATAACCATTGTTGACCATCGCGTGTAAACAATGTTGTCTGCTGTTTATCCAATATAATTTTACCCCATAAAACAAATTTGAATGCATTGAGAGAATAATTTTTTTCTATATCATACATTGGTATTAAAGAATTTTGTTCAATATAGAGTGGTACACGATTGAGACTACTTGTATCTTCCTTAATGAATGTATGAGATTTATATGTAATGGATGTATTAAAATAATTTATCCATTGATTTGTTGAACTTTTTGGTAGCCATAAACGTTGCGTTTGACCAGCAGTTGGATCTTGTAAAACTGGCACTACATAGATATTTGGGCCAAGAAAATAGGAATGACTAAGTAAAGCTTCAACATCATCACACGGTCGCATCAATGTACCGTTTCGTCCAATTGCTACTTTTGTACCTTCACTATAAAGATACGGTACTAATTTATAATGTAAATTAACCCATGATCGATAAATGTCAGTTGTTTCACTGTCAAAATTCCATGGTAAATGTTCACCACTACCACCATTTTCCATAAATGAACTTAAAGCGCCTACGGCTGTCCAACGAAGAAATAATTCTTTTGTACGACCTAATTTACCAGCTTTAGAATCTGTACGATAGCCACCAATATCCGAACCAAAACCCACATAACCACGACGACCACTTTCAAGCATATAGCGAAGAGCTGTTTTTAGTCCATCATATGTACCGTCTTCGTCACCGACCCAACCCATAAATACAACATCATGTGGAGAAAAATCAAGATTATCATCAACAGGACGCGACATAATTAAAGCTTCGGGACCAACTAACCGACGTAGAATTTGAAATGAATCATTATAATAAGCTGTACGATAACGTTCCCAAGTTACACGAGGATCAAGTACTTCAATTATATATGGATCAGTACCGTCTGCCTATAATAAATAATACTAGTCTTCGTATAAGTTATTTTTCATGGCTATGGGAAGAAAATTTCGAGTCTTTCAATTCACATCTGATGACCCTTATAATAGCTGAAAGAAATTCGATAGTGAATTTTTTTCCTACTTTAAATGCATGGATGGGTCCAACAGTATCTAAGAGTCGTTCAATTTGACTATGCCACCAATGAACAGCTTCTTCATTGAAATAATTTAGTAAACGTCCTTTTCCATGCCACCAGCTAATTGTTTTATTAAATAAATATCCATGTTTTTGTGCATAATCATAATTAGGCGAATCAATATTAATCATTGAAGTCATCCATGCAACAATATGAATATTTTTTGCACGGAATCCATCAAGCATATTTCGTATTGTTGGAAATTTTACTGGATCAAATATAAATGTATTGAAATTAGTTGCCCAACGTGAATCAATATTAACGATGCCAAACTGAATATTATGACTCACATAGTCGTCAAACATATTTTGTATATCGACTTGATCGGTTTGAGAATTGTGTAACCAAACCATATGATAATGTGCCCATTCCGCATAGGGGAGTGATGCTGACAGAATCACACAGGGATAAAATAAAAGAACTAATAATAGAGATAACATGATAATTTGAAAACTAACAGCTATTCACGAAAGTGCCAGTAGTTTTTAAATGAAAGTTACGATGAGAAAAATAACATCTGACTATTGAATTTTGTTTTATCATCAAGGCCACCGGATAATGATTTTGATACAAGTTCATTACAACGCTGTCGCGATATACTTTATATCAATGTTTTCGATGAAATTGAACTCGACCTACCAAAAACAGACCGTGAACGAGATCAAATTATACGAAAACGTATTGTACGAAATTGGCTTGGATCAATCAAAATTCCATTTAGCAATATTTATATTAATCAACGAGTAAGAAAAAAAAATATTTTGATTTTTCTTGACACTAACGAAATTGTTTCCAACCCATGTTTTTAGTTAGAAGGTAACTATTGTTTGAGTGTACCAAATCCATTGATAGGCTACGCAAGAGTCAAATTAAGTCAACTGAGGAATAATAATCAGTCTAAAGCAGTACCACCATCAACTAGTGTACTTCGTATGTTTGTTACAATGGAACCACTTTTAGCAACACCTGAACCAATGCAACAATCAGTAAACATAGATGTTTTATAGAAGAAGAAAAATATATCGAATATTTATTTTTCTAATAGTTCGATAGTACGGAATCACTTGACCTACTTAATCATGCTCGATCATGGGTTGAACAATTAAATAAGAAATTTCCTGATCGAGAATATAAAGCTACAGTATCAGATATAAATGGCCGAGCAGTATTTATACCACGGTTTATTCATCGATTACCATTACCACCACTGGTTACAACAGGGAGTGCTGAAGGAGATAGTCAAATACAATGTGTAAATATATTCATTATAATAAAAAAAATTATTTTTTATTATTAAATTTCTATTTTATATATTTCAGCAACGTTTGGCTCGTTTTGTTTCATTAATTCCATTTCTCGCTGATGCAATTACTTTTCCAGGAATATGTGATATATGGGAAACATCTGATGTAAGTCGATTGACAGAAAAAGACTTACACTTCTTTTTCCTTAAATCATACTGGTTGAAAAGGAGTGTAAATAAATACAAATTTCATTTATGACATCACGCTCCTGATCCTATCTATTTCTAAATCATTATACATGTAGCTCGCATAAACATAGGAACGTAGTCATGAAGAGTAGTAGCGGCTCACACAGAGAGAACTCACATATATTCTCTATATACTAAGTCGTTTTCTAGTAGATGATAATTCAATTCATATCTTAGCAAGCTAACATCTCTATTTTTAACATATCTTTAATTCGTATATTGTTTTGGGAAGAAATGAAAATTTTATTTTAGCAATTTTTACGTACAATGGCTGGCGATGACGAAGAACATGCTGTCTTATTAAATAATTACTTTTTATCATTAAATAGAAAAACTTGGATTGCTCTAGGTATGTTAGAAATACGAGTTTTGTTCGAAGAAATAAAAGAAATATATATATATATATATATATATCTTTGTTCTGTATTATTTAGGTACTTCAATCTATAGTGGTCCAGTTTGGTTTGTTTTAACAAAAGAAGATTCACAACGTTATCCGACTTGTTGGAATGTATCAGATGGACAGAATACATCAACAATTGAAACATGGAATCCAATTCGAAGTATATATTTATTAGCCAATGAAGAAAATGTAAGATATCTTGAGAACAAAAGACCTTAATTGATTCTAAATATTAATCAGAGAGAGAGATTGAATATCGGTTTTATTTATGATGATAACTTATATGAAAATTTGAATTTACTAAATGACAAATTTTCGAACTCAACACTACAATTCTTGGGATAAAATAAAATTCTGAATCTCTGTGAAAGACTATATAATTCGGTTAAAAAAAAGCTATCAATACAGCTCCAAAACAAGTTATTTAATACAGAATCTGTTGTCCGATCCTCGTATGAAAACGAATAGTCTCTATCGAATTCTAATGCGAATTATTATTACGGACAAAACCGACATTAAATCAATTCTTTTTTTCTAAGATTTGGGCTAATATACAAGAACAAGATGTACCATCAAGAATGAATTTCGATGTGAGTAATACAAAACACTGGCGACCATTTTTTGATCGGTCATTTCCACGTAATAGTTTAAGTTGGACTTCTGTTCAGGTCTGTCGAAATGCTATCATGTTTTTCAATGAATAAATAAATTATATACAAATCCCTTTTAGCCAAATGATTTACATTATGAAGTGACACAAAGTCAAGATGTTGTTACTCTTGAAAAACATATCTTTGAAGTAATACGTGATAAATCTCCTGATTGGCGTGCATCAAATATTACACCTTGGCATTATGGTTGCCAAAAACGACTTCAAGAAATTCTTAAAACGTATAGTTTTCTCCTTAATTTTCTATTGAAAATTTAATATCTAACTAATGACTTTATTTTAGTAAAGAAGAGAGTTTCATATTAGGATTGGCACCTAGTGGAGGAGACATTGAAGCTGAATTAACAGAATTTCAAAGCACACATGATGTATATAATTTTCTTTTGTTTGTGATACATAAAAATTTTCCTTTTATTATATAGATCACTGGCTTCTCAATTCAAATGCCGTACTCTACTATACAAGCAGTAGTTGATACGGTTTATTCAACGAAACTCTTTGAACATGCAACAAATGATATTCAATTTGCATTAGCTGTTCATGTACATGCCTATCCAAATAATATACTGGCTGTCTGGGTTTATGTAGCACACTTAACAAGAAAGACAACTCTTTAAAGTTTTTGTTTTCTTCTTTCATTGAGCGGAATGATTTTGCTGTATTTAATATCTAATTTGTTTTTTTCTGAATGTTTACATTTTTTTCTTCAAATTAAAACTAGACCAAGGTATTTAATCTAATATTAGATATTTACTCTTATGAGTTTCCGTAGAATGATTCATAAAGATATTTTTGAAATTTCCTTACAAATAAATATTTATGAGTAGATTTAATATTTTCACTGATTGAAAATGTTCACATATACGTTCAACCTCACAACCACAAACCCACTACAATCAGTGGCGGCGGAGCCATTGAGACAGGTGAGGCTTGAGCCTCACCTAGTTTTCAGTAGATGAGGCTCAGCCTCACCTAGATTTCGCAATATGAGACTCAGCCTCGCTTGCTTTTGTACTGAATATTGCTATTTTCTTGTTCTTGCATCAGAGCAGAAGCAAAGAAAACTAGTTTTCGGTATTTTCCAATCTTCTTTTTTTATACTGACCATTTTCATTTTTGCTGAAGTTCAATAAAAAAAAGATTTATTTACTACTTGATGTTTCATAAAATTCCACGGTAGCAAAAAAATATGATGAGCCTCACCTAGCTTAATGACGCTCCGCCGCCCCTGACTACAATGTTTGTTACTTTATGTGTTCTCAGATCTTTCTCTTCGTAATTATGATTCCACAAGTGTGAAATGTTTGTAATTACATATCTAAGTGTCTCAAGATGTGTTCTGGTTTCTTAGGATTCCTTATCTATAGATAACTGTCTACATACATCAGTGAGTGGTATGCACGTTTGAGATTATTCCTACGCTGAGAAGGTTTTAAAAGATCTTTTGTAGTATGATTTTCATTTATATTCTATTGAACTTTGCATCTCATGACGAAACCTATTATCTCTAGGATATGTTTCTGCTATTAATTTTCTAAAGAGTAGTCTTTGAAGCGACAAAATTATTCACTATCAATATGTCGATTTGAGCATTTTGTAAAAAAAATCATTTTTTTGATAAGTTCAAAGATACTGCTGTTTTGAAAAGGGACCATATTGATAATCAGAGTTACTATATGCAATGGAATACGAAATCAAAGACTGTCTCGGCGTACTAGATTGCGCGAATTCTTCTTATTAGAGGTTTGAACTACATTAACTCTTTACAACACTATGGCTTCGCTGATATCTATTACTGTAGCCACGCCCGTTAAGTCACTGATGATGACCATACAGACTCACTCTAACCCACACGCATATCGTTAGACTGCAAGCAGACTATCACTAGCACTCAAGCAAAGATACACGCTCACGTCCATAAATAAACTTAATAAGAAGCCATGTTTCACCACAATACAATTTTTTTTGTAGTTATTAGTAGAAATTTATGAAAAGCATTAGTGTTATCTCTAGCTAGAATATCACACAAAAATGAATAAATTATTAGTAAATATAAATGTAAGCATTCGCTGTATTGGTGTTGGTTTTATACCTTGCTATATCAAAACTGACATTATATGCCGCACACGGTACTGTCGTAAATATTTGACTAACGCTGTAATAGTTCGATGTACTAATACAATTTATCCAATAATCCGGCGATAAACTTGGGCCATAATTTTGGATTGATGCACAGCCACTCATACTGCATGTTTCATTCCAAGATGCTTTCGAAATGAAACCACCGTTCGTGATTTTCTCTACACCAGTCGAATCTTTAATTGAAACATTGTCTATATCCCAGAAGTTACCACTCGAAGTTGTAAAAAACTGAAACTGTATTGTTGCCGTTGTTGTGGAGGGAGCTATCCAATAGTATTGATAAGTTGTAAACCCAGTTCCACCAGCACCCCATGCAGACGAGTTCGATTGTGAGAGTAATAACATTAAGCCAGATGAACACGAGCTTGTGCAACTTGTACATGCTGTATCTAGATATGGATAGGTGGGCGAAATAAAGTAACGCGAGACATCACCTTCCTTCCTATCTCATTTGGTTGTGACTTTCTCATAGTTCTATTTTTCTCAAAAGCTAGTCTCGACATGAAATTATATGAAAATCTTCGCCTCTTCTATTGACTAGTAATTTTAATTAAATTAAATTAGTTATTTGGGTGAACCTTGAGAAATTTAATCTAGCTTAATTAAGATGTTTTTAAGGTGAATTTTGACTATCCGAAATCGATTCTAGACTTTTCAGTCGATTGTATGAGTACTTTTTCGGTTATATTTTCGTAAATTATCACGTGGTTGACGAAATATCATTTTTTCAAAACGTTGGGCAATGTCAAAAAGAATTGGAGGAGAATTATTTTCTGTAAAAGTCTTTATTAATTCCAAGTTTATTAAAATTAAAGTGAATACGTAAGTCGAAAATTAATATACTCTTTGTTTCATACTGATAGCCTAGCTGAAAAAGAACTCTGTAGGACTACACTGTATAAAGTAATTCCATAAGCGTATGATTTATGTGTAAAGTGTAAATTAGCTCTAGGAAACCTTATTTATGTCGAGCTACATATATTTTAATTGCTTGGAGTCACATTCCTAACGAATAATTTCAGTCAAATACAAAGCATTCATATTTATGCAATAAATCATTTAGACTTTACTTGATAGACATGAAAGTCACTCACTTGCTGTTCCACCTAAAAATATGAATGCATGATCAAATACAATTTTCTATGACAGATCTAAGATATTTACAAGCTGTACTTGTTGTTGTAGTCGCTATAAAAAAAATCATTATACAAGAAAAATCACTTTGTCACTCGAAAAGGTCTTACTTGTGCTGGTGGTGGCAGTGCTCGTCGTAGAAGTAACTATTGGAGAGGAAAGAACGATATTTTAGTTACATGCAAACTTTTTATCTAGTCAACTTCTTCAAGTTACTTGATCTATTAATCATTACAATCATTTTTTGTTGAAAAGATGCAAAATATTCTCTGAACTTCACATCATATGACTTTCTAACTCAGCAAGTTAGCAGTACCAGGAACAGCATGTATTTCTATGAGTTGTGAGAAGATAATATATGTGTCAGAAAATGTTTTTGATTTCGATCAACTTAGACTAGAAATGGGGGAAGATCTCTCAATGGCTTAATGTACTTCTGCATGATTTCTATACTCTGTTCATAAATGTAATGAGATGTACATAGACTCCAAAAAACCCTTCAGTAAAGAGACGGGCTTTGATCACTATTTGTAGAGAACTTATAAGCTCAAACCAACAAAAATTGTCAAACAATCGTAGGGTTCAGAGTTGGAATAGGGGTAGCAGTTTAACTTTACTTTAAAAAACCAGAGTTAAAGTATTAGATTTTAGTGTTCTACTTTAATTAAAGTTTAAAGTGTTTTAAAGTTAAAGTGTCACCCCTAAGCCGGAATGCTCAAATATTGCTGAATAGATAAAAGAATTTAAAAAAATCAATTCTTCAACCTGAGCTCTAGAAACAAGTTTATGATGTTTGGAATCGTATTTCTGTCAAAATCAAGGTTGAGGGTGAGTGTGTCCGTGTGTGCTGTGGGTGGATGATGAGAAGAAATCAACCCACACACCCACACCCTTTCTCATTAATTTGAACATTTGTATGTAAGAATGTAAGTATGACAGAGAAAATTGGGACACTTATCTTTCTGAATTATATCATCAGACATAAAACCCGTTTTCACCAAATGGAAATTGCTTTTGACAAAGAAGAGATCAGCAGATTTCTTAAAATAAATTTAACTTAGCAGTACTTTGTAAAAGCACAATTAGTTACATCCATTTTTGAGCATTTAAGAAAGAGCCCACTAAATATGCAGTAAATTTACATGTAAGAACTGCGAAATATACGATATTAGGATCTTCAAGTTTATGTTTAATGACTTCGCAAAAAACTAGAGGTCACGTAGCCAATTTGACTAATTTAGTTTTAGAACTTTTCAAGATAATACCTTGTATTGTAGTTGGATCGTCGTGCCAGGATACTGAAAAATGTGAAAAAAAAGGAAAATTATCGCATATATACACCTTGAATGAAAAGACAACGATGTCGAATACTGTGATCCACAAGCGATGAAAAATAAAGAAGAGTATGGAACGGCTAGCTAGCATTAGGCTAGAAAGCCGAACTGGGATAGAGGCCAATGTATGAATTTGAGTAAATCCATGTCTTAAATAGGAAGCAGGAGAAACTGATTTCAATGGCAGAAAGCAATTTCTCATAACAAAATTAGTTTCTTCTCACTTGAAAATGATATCTTAAATTAATGTGTTTATATTTTAAATAGCGTATGCCAGTTGAAGTTTTAAAACTATTATTTCATTTAAGAGCCTACATACTGATAAAGATAATTGTCGCTAAAAGTCCACCCAATAATGCCAGACCAGCAATAGTAGCACCCACAATGAGACAACAACACGGTGGCGTCATTGTAAACCCACCACATATCCTAAAACATATAAGACTGATGTCGATAACTGCGACGCTTCAGAAAAATATACTTGCCGTTTTCGATCTCTTGATTTCTCGACTTCCTCTGGTCTGCTATGGAGGGTTTGTTTTCCTCTATTGTTCGATTGAATCGAAGATTTTTTTCCTTCTAGATCAGTCGTATCCTTGGAATAATTTAGACTTTCCTTGGCTGATACTTGTTTGTGTTCAAATATTTTCTGTTGGCTGTTGCTGTTGAGTTCGTTTTTTTTTTTGCTAGAATCACTTTGTGCTGTTTTGCTCTAAGTTAGAAAGTATTATCATCTTTCTCCTGAACAGTAATCTAGAGTTTTTCTGTCGTACCTCTGCTTGTCTCTCATTTTGAACTGGTGATACTTTATTTCTCGGTATTATTGGTTGTATGCTATTAACCTGCAATGGAATTACTACAAATAATTACGTAAACTTTGTTTTGAATAGCACTGGTTATGGATAGATGATAATGATGATGTATGTATGTAAGTGAGGATATTCAACGCAGTAATTCATTTTCAAATACTTGAAAAAGTTCTCTTCAAATTGTTAGAGTGTGGATTGGCACTCAAGATGGATGTGAATTAAAACTACTCATACGCGTTACACTTCTGTTTACACTAGCTAGCACAAAACATGCTTAGACATCTCATATCCTTAAACACATTCATGAATCTAGATCGTATGTTTTCGATCCAGCCTACTTTTCATGTACCAATCAAATGTTTTAAATGTGTGAAACGCAAAATAAGTATTTTGCACAAGTAAGCTTACGTACAGACAACTGTCCACGACATAAGCGCTGTACACTGACGCCAGTTCTACAAACACGACTTGGCAACTTAGATGGTGCAGATCGTTTAACATTAATCACTTTTGGCTTATTGATACGTTTTATCATTGATGAAGTGTTTGGTGATGCTATAACTTGTATTATAAGTTCAAGTATGAGTATGTTTCTTGAAAACACCAGCTAATAAATTGAAAAAAAGAGACCATACGAATGTATGCTGTGCAGAATCAGAGAAACATATTGGCTCCTTTCCCGCATCATTGGCAAATGAAAAATATCTTGACGAAAAAAATCAATCGCGTTGCTAAAACAAGCAACACATAAAACTTCTGATTTATTAAATCAACCCATGTGTTTCATTACGATGAAACTGTGGCGCAGTTACGGCGTAATTGTGGAAAATTGTGACGTAACTACGCGTAACTACGATGAAAAAATCGCAATTACGGGTAGTTACGGTGAAAAACTCCCAGTTACGCATAACGGTGTCCAAGTTTTTCGCAATTATGGGTCATAGTCTCGTCGCAATTGGTACAAAAGATGACATAGATTATATTTTCATTTTATTTGTACTTTTATTGTGAATTTAAAATATTTTTGCACAAAATCAAAAACTTAAAACTATAAAAATTAAAATTTTTATAAAAAATAAAAAAACAATTTTTAAATTAAAAATTTTCACAATAAAAAATAATTGAAAAATTAAAACCTAAAAAAATTTCAAAATTTACTAAACCCCTCCCCATAATAGAAGCCCCTGGGGGCTTCTAAGCTATCCATCGTTAAAATTTTCCGGACGGGGCTTCTATTTTGGGGAGGGCTACTAATACGATTTTCGGACATAAATGCTAAAAAATTATAAGTGAGTATTATTTCAATAATTTTGATTACTTATTTATTATAAGTTCAAATCATCTTACAAAAAAATCATGAGATTTTACATGGCATATATAGAAGATGTTCTTCGATTTCTTCAACTTCGTACATTATCAATACAATAATGATGTTAGGATGAAAATATGAAACAATGACACTTGAGTGATTGTTTCAGCATATATATGTCACAGTTGACATGAGAATTTCAGTTGAGATTGGAATGCGCGAAATAATTTAAACAATAAAAATGAAAAAACAACTTTTTTAATTATACGGCTTTGATAAAGAATCAAAAACAATTCATTTAAATAATCATTAACGAAGGAAGTCATATTAAAAACATTTAGTAAAATATATCAATATAAATTTTTGGTTTTATTAATAAAACATGCAACCAAGACTTTCGCTTGATATATGTTGCTCTTTGAATAAACTTTTGATTTGAATTTGTGAGTCATATTATAATTAGTATTCTCTGTCCTATTCATATAATTGTAGTATAAGAGCATGGAAGAATTAGTTATTCTTCGATAATTTATCATATCAATTTAAAACTATTTACAAATTTCCTTTTTGCATTTAAACTTTTAATAAGATTTGCTTAAAAAATTGTGTATTTTTTAATGATATGATCAGTATTTATTAATGCTCGTTTTTACGCAATGCAAAGCTAAAAAGCATAAGCTATGTCGATTCGATTCTTCTTCTTATCTTTGTTAATGTATCTTTTCAGCTTGGTAAAACTTTGTTCAGATTAATTTTTTTTTAGGAAAACTTGAACTACATATCAATAAACTTGACGTTCAAAAAAAGGGAATCATACGATCAAGAACGATATGTATTTAAAACATTCTGAATGTTACTACAGCAGAAAATCTACTTAAGTCACGAAAATTCAGCTTTTGCGTTGGAAAAACTTTTCGTCTGACAGATATTTTTTTATTGCGATTTTTTTACCCTCTGCTCGTCCTAATCAATACTTTTTAAAACAAACTTAAAACAAAAAATTCACTCAATTATTCAATGTCCCCATGTCCCCATCATTCAAAAAATACAGAGAGAGATTTATATTCGAGAAAACAAATATCGAATAATACTTTCGATAGAAAATTAAATCAATTATTCAATGTCCCCATGTCCCCATCACTCAAAAAATACAGAGAGAGAGAGAGAGAGAGAGAGAGAGATTTATATGCAAGAAGAAAAATAATTTCGTTAGAAAATTCAATGGATTATTGAATGTCCCCATGTCCCCATCATTCGGAACAGATAGCTATAGAAAAATCAATGATGTCGATTCAAAAAAATACTATTCCTTTAACAAAAGAAGTCTGCAATCGATTCAATCAAATATTTTCTGTTTTTATAATCCCTTCAACGAAAAAACAATGAGAATAATAAAAGTCATCGGAAAAAATGAAACAAATGATAATTTATAGATAGATTTCTGAATTTATAATTTACGCAAAAGTTCAAATAAAAGAATGAAAAAAAACTATTCCAATCTCAACTGAATTCCAAACTCGCCTGCCACATATATACTCATTTCTTATATGCGGTCATTCGTTTCAATCTGCTTGTGTTATAGGATTACAAGAAAAGATGCTGACACATACGAAACAGTAATTGGCTTATATCAAATTTTGTACTTTCAATAGAGTAATCAATAGGTTAATCATAAAAATGATAGTTATTTAAGACCTCATGTACAAATTGGATTAATTTATATTAGAAACATATCATGGAATACATGAAAAGAACGAAAATGACACATGAACAATGTCCTTCAATATCCCACGCGCAATAAATTACTTCTTCTCTACTGTTGATAAATATTATTGATATTGATGATGCTGGTGCCTTCTTGTACATTTTCTCATGTACAAAAATTTCTCAATACAGATAACATCCGTCCGGAAGAAAAACCGATTTTTGAAAAACTGGCAAAGCGGACGAAGTATAAGTGAGGGGGCCTCTAATGCATCTTTCATATCGACGTTTTTCGAGGGGGCTTCTAATGCGGAGGGGCTTCTAATATGGGAGGGGCTTCTCATATGGGAGGGGCTTCTATTATGAGGAGGGGTTTAAGTTAAAAGTTAAAAAAAATGTTAATTTTAAAAATTCAGGAAAATAAAAAAAAAATATCTAGAAAAATAAAAATATTAATATCTAAAACAATTTTTTAAAATTTAATAATAGAAGAAAAAAAATAAATTACAAAGAATTGAAAAACTAAAAGGATTTAGATCTAGAAAAATTTTAAAAAAATAAAAACTATGTATTCTACTGCTTATAGTAGAATGACTTATGAAAGAAAATGTGACGAGCACTACTATTTATACTGATTTTCTGTGACTATGTTTTATTGCTAGAGTGTAGCCAATTACCAATAAGGAGGAATAATTTATAATTGACCATTTATACCTACAAGAGATCGTAGGATGCGACCACTAGGACGCATTTACGTTGATCTGCATCACAGTACGCGTAATTTCTTATAGAAATCTTCACTACGATCCATGCGCCATAGTTACGCGTAACTGCGACGCAAAATTGGCTCTGCGCGTAACTGCGGCACAGTTGATAAAAAAGAGACGACATGGGAAACAAATAACTACTAAAATACAGTTTGTATAATGAAAGAAACTTGTAAATATGAAAAAAAACAATATTTTCTACGTGCTAAGATGTCGTCGTTTGTAAGGGTGAAATAACCAATTAAAAGAGAACTATGCCTTGAAACAGACTTTAATTACAATGAAACCAAAGAAAAAGAATGAATATATGATTATTGCTGCGTCCTATCTGCTGCAAAAGATACGAATCAAAGAGTTATCTTAAAAGCTAAATTTAGTCTCTTTAAATATTTGTTTTTTGCAGTTAACTAATTCAACTTTATCATCAAACAATGCTTGACGAACGCCTTACTCTGATGAAAATACATAGTGAATCCATACAAAACATCATGGTAATTTAAACATGACCGAAAAAAAGAAAAATTGAATAGATTTAACTCTTTTAGCATTCAACAAAAGATATTTCCAAGAAGTAGTACAGATGCTACTAGTACATATAGTCATGTTTATTTGGAAATAATTGTCTCAAAAACAAAATTCATAAGAAACGAGGCAAGATAAGTAGCTCTTCTAAAATAAATGGACTTTTGAGTAAAATGTGTCTCCAGAATTTTGAATTTTTACCATAAAAATAACACATAATTACTGCTAGTTCCTATGTATATTCGCAATGATGACATGTTCTTGAAAAGTAGAGAGTGATTATGTATTTAATAGAATAGATGTTAGCGGAAATGTTTTTCTGCAAAACTACATTAGGGCTATGCTACTTTTGAAGCAAACTTAGACGAAAACAAATTTTAAATATCGTTGAATTCAATATACAGAATCGTAATTAGTAGCTCCCACATTGTGAGTAAAGATGGTGATGATGCGGCATGAATTTCTGTATTGTTTCAAAGAAGTATTATATTATTTCTTTCGAACCAGTAAGAATAATTTATATAGTTTTGATAAAGCGATACCAATGATTTATACAAGACTTCGGTCAATGTTAGAATATCTATGGGCGAATGAGGGTCACATGAAGATGTTTCAATCGAAATCTTCAGAACATTCAGAGCTGTTTATTACTTTCATAGTTTCTAAAACATAAATATACAACCAAAGCGGAAAACTACAATGATAAATAAGATCTATTCCTTTTCTTTCTCATTGAAAGAATTTTTCTTGCAGCGTCCATAACTCGATAATAACTATTTTCTTGCATTGTTGCTGAAAACTACTATGATTCAATGAGTTTTCAACTCCAATAGGTCTGTGCCATGTTGTCGACTAAAGTATGGAGTTATTTCAGGACTTTTCAAAAAATATCTGCATAAATAAACTTTCATGAAAAACAAACCAAATACTATTCATCTGATTTTTCATTCACCCTAAGAGTTATGCTGGATGAAGAGAAAACAGCTAGCGGCTCTTGGAGCATTCTTTGTGTATCATGATGTTTGCGCTGTTATTAGTGAAATCTTTCATAGTGAAGAGTTTGGATGCGACTATTGTATCTGTATAAGTTGATAGACCATCAAATATATCATAACTTAATCAATCAATAAGGAAATATTGCGTCGTTTTAATCGAACGTGAGTGGTCTATTTTTTCGCAAAAAAATATGTCCACAGTGGATACTGTTTTGTTTGCCTATTGATTGAAGAACGACGAAATATGATTTTAGTAAATAAACTCACAGAATGATGAAAAATTGATTTTATCATTAATTTGAATTGAAAAACGCCATCTTTTTAAGTGCTGTAGGTTAAAAGAATGTAATGAAACTCGATTATGGAATCGTAATGAGACAATGCAAGTATGTTGGTATGGCTTTCGATATATATTTCTTCCCACCACTTGAAATGCCATTTGCAACTACTCTATACGGGGTGTCGGTGTGGGTGAGTGTGTGGGCAGAGTGTCTAATAGGAATCTAAAAGTAAGTGCAAATGAGTACTTTATTTCTATTGACAAAGTTTCTACTGATACTTTTCTCTCGGTAGCAAACTACATCAAAGTACCATAGCCAAAACATATTCACGAAAAACATACATAAAATTATTATAGGCTTCATCTTTTAATTCAAAATATAATTTTGTTCAAGAAAAACAAAAAAAAACACGGCATAAATAAATAAAAAAATATCTAAACATTGATCTGAACAAGTTTAAATGAAGTTTCTCTTAATCTGAATTAAATTATACTATAATGTATATATTACATATAAAAAAATAAAACAATTTTTTTTATTGTTCTTCCTCATGCATATCAGCACAATCTTCACAGAACCATGACATTGATTCTATTGAAATACCTAATTTAATGCACGAAATTAATTGATGAACTTGACTTGACAAATATATATCAATTAAACAAATAACTATTTAACCAAAGCAGCTGAAGACGATAAATATAAAAATGTTGAAATCTAAAAGAAGAAACAGGAACAGAAAGTTCAGTATTGATTCATCATTATCCCAGGTCGTGGACGTACGGCTGGAAACGGCCGGAAAGCACAGGAAAGCGTTGGAAAGTGGAAGCAGTATTCCAGTTGGAAGTTACCGGATTTTCTTCCTGTAGATTCCGATCAACTTCCAGATAAAAAACACAGAAAACTGACCGGAATCCACAGGAAAAAAATCCGGTAACTTCCAACTGGAATACTGCTTCCAGTTTCCAGCGCTTTCCGGTGCTTTCCGGCCAGATACGGTGATTTTTCCGCATCTTTCCGGCCGGTTCCTACAGTATCCGTCCTCCGGAATCATTGACCTGGGTAATCAATTCAATTCGATCGATCGGACTAAAAGAAACAAATATTATTGTCTCCATCTACCGGTCAAACATAAACAAGAGGAAGATAAACAGCTTTTTAATAATGGCGTAAAAAATAAAAAAAAGGATATTTTCTAGATTACAAAGTATCTTTAAATTACTTTGTTTTTTTCCTATAAGTACCAAACACAGTGCTTTTCAAAAATCGTAAGTACCTCGGGTACTGTGCTCTTGCTTAAGGTACTTAACGTTAGACACTCTGGGTGTGGGTGTGGGTGTGTCGGTGTGTGCTGTGGGTGGATGATGAGAAGAGATTAACCCACACACCCACGCCCTCAAGATTGTTGCTTATCAATGTATGCATCAAATGTAATGTGCCCAGAAGTTATTGCATAAAAAAACTAATGAGCTAGAAAACCGGACTTTTTTTTATACAGTACGATTACGGGAATATTTACGCAGCAGAACTACACAACTTCTAAACAATAGATCTCAGAATGTTACTCTGATTATAAGACATCAAAATATTCAATTAATCCGAGCTTTAGCCTAAGAACTATACAATCTGAGAGCATCTTTCGATCAAGTTCTAAAATGCAAAAATCACTGAAGTTTTGACCGATTAGTTCCATAGTAAAATTTAGATAAGTACTGAAGTAAGAATTGTTTTAATTTTTCAATGGTTTCTAAAAACAACAGCGCCACCAAAACTTTGACAACATGAATGTAAGTGTAGTAAAAGATAATCTGCGATAAATTTTGAAACTGAGTGTAACTTTTAAAGGATTGTGCGCTCCATCTGTTACTTTATCCATGAGATGCTTAGTTCGAATTCGAATATAAATGGACACCCAACTGCATGGTATCAATTCGAAAATAAGTGATAGAAATAGATTTAGTTTTATATTCAGTTTAAGATGGAGTGGGTGTGGGTGAAGGGTACCCGGAATGGGCACAGGAGGGATCCGGGATACTTCAAATGTGAGTGTAGGTGATGGATACCATGGAGGAGTGCTCAAAGGTGGGTGCGGGTGAAGGGTATATATGTATTCATATGTCCCATATATCGGAAAGTTAAACTAAAACCAAATCTAAGAATAGATTTAGTTTTAGTTTAACTTTTTCTTTTCTCCATTTATATTCGAACTCGAATTAGACAGCTACTCTCTCGTTCTCAAATTTAGTCTTTTGGAAAATCTATTAAGCTTGCTTCTCCACAAACTGGATTCAATATTTCGATGTTTTTTAATTTTATTTTAAATCTAGTAAATCATACTTTTTGCTTCACACTTTGATATTTAGGGAAAAAAAGAAGAAACACACCAATAAGAAAGAAAAAGCAGAACACTCAGACATGTTCTATATTGATCTTAAAATAAGTAATAACAATTAGAAATGAAAACAAAACGCAAGCAAATAAATTAGTTTCTTGAATAACAGATCGACAACAGCAACAATAAGAACATTTGACTAGTACTATCAGTTATCGCATTTTGGAATGATGAATAACGATTGTTATGTAAAGATCGACGTTTTTTGGTTTATAATTCTGGATGCTCTTATAAATGAATATAGAATCAGTCTTGATAGCTTTCAATTAACAACACTTACCTTCACTTGATTGTGTTGTTGTTGTTGTTGTTTCTTCTTCTGTTTGTTCTGGAGTTGCAGTAGTAGTTGATGTTGTTTCTTGCTCTTCTTCGATCTTTGTTTCACTATCTACTGGTGTTTTAGCTGTTGTCGTTGTTGTTGGCGGTTGTGTTGTCGTAGTTGGTTTTGGTTTTGGAATAAATCGTTGAATTTTTCCAAGTAAATAATTTGTTTCACGTTTAAGTAAATTTACTTTATCGTCGAAATCAGACGATAAATATTTCGGCACATCAGTAGGTAATAATTTTGCATATGATTCTTTAACTTGATCAAACCATTTCTACAGTTAAAAAAAACACAGTTTTCTATATCAGTCAATGTATCAAATAGAAAAATATCTTACGTATGTATCATTAATGATTTTTTCTAATGAATTTAAATCTGCATCAGTAAATGGTTTTTCGTCTTCCTCTTTTTTTGAAAATAACATACGAGTTGTTCGAACAAAATTCTCCGTGGAATTGAGTGTATCTTTAAGTTCTTGAATTTTTTGTGGACGTAAATCAACTTCACGTACACGTAATACTAATAATTTAGTTAAAAGTTTTAATTCATCTAATTTAGATTTTAATGTCTAAAGAAAACGAATAGAGAAGTTGAGATAGAATATTTTCAATGATTTACTTTAACATCAGCATTAATACCATCGTCCCATAACCATGCATCAGTTTCAGATAGTTTTTCATTAATTTTTGTTTGTTCTTCTGGTGTTGTTGCTTTCTTATAATGAGAATCATGTTCAAGTTTATCGCGTATATCATAGATGAACGATTCAAGATTATTTTTTGCTGTTGACAAAGCTAATAATTCACGATCATGTGTATCTAAAGCCATTAGTCTAAAGAAAATCAGAATCAGTTTTTCTCCTGATTTCATTTTTCGTTTTCAATTGATTCATTAGACTCGCCGGTTGGAATTCAGATAAAATTTTATTCATATGATGTCATTAGAATGCTCAACATTGCAACAAAGAATTGGTAAAATTTCGAAACCAACATATAAAATTCATTTGTGTTTGAGTTGTCACTCAAGAAGAAAGATATTAGCGAGCACGGCTTTACCCAGTACCATGAATCTGTTTTTTGTCTCAGCATGGCATCATTAAAGCTTATGCAAAATTAAGGAACCTAAGGAGATATTCTTCAATTATCTTGAAAGACAGATGTATTAAACAATTTACTACTAAATGAAGATTTCTTTAAGAATCATTCGAATTCTTATCGTTTCGTTTTCAAAAGCGCGTTATACAGAAAAGAACTCAGAGACCACGATGACTATTTCCTATTTGCAAAATTCTTCGTAGCTATTACTAGCTAATATCTATCCTTGTTCATTATGAATTTATTAAATTATTTACTTTTTCATCGAGTTAGCTTGTGCTTCGAATGTAGGATCAGCATAGTCGAGAATTTCAACAGTAAATTCTAATGGTTCGCGTATTGTTATTGTTTTTAGTGGTGGTGCTGTTGTAGTAGTTGTTTCTGTTGTTGTTGTTGTTGTTGTATTCTCAGTAGCATTGGCTCCTTCTATAATAATAATAAAAACAATTAAACCTCACAATGAAAGAATTTCCCCTGGTAAGCGAGTTGGACTCAAAACCATATGCATTACATTTCTGACTCTTAACTTATTATTGCGAAGATACTAGCAATCTGCATTCGTTTTAACTGTTCTATTTTCAGTGTACTGACAAACTCTCATCGCTCATTGATATAATATTTTTTACCTTGTTCATCAACAGGTTTTGCTGTTTGTTCATCATTAGTTGTTTCAGTAGTATTCTAAACACATTCGATTTGTCAATATTCAATTCTTAAAGAACAAATTTCTCTTACAGTTGACCCTATTTCTTCGGTGCTATTTGTTGTATTATTTGTATCATTTTCCGATGATGATGCGCCCGATGATGAGAAGAAACTTGAAATTTTACTACCTAATTCTATCATTTTGAAAAAAAAATATCATTTATTTTTCTTAGAAATCAATATCAATTAATTTACTTGAAAGTGTCGATTCATCTTCATCCTTAGTAGCATTCGTTCGTTCGGCTTCTGTTTCTTTTCGTTCGAAAACAAATTCAACCTTAAATAAATTCAATAGTTTAAGATAATCAAGTGTCAATGTGAACATACTCGATCCAAAACAAGAAGACTGTTGTCATCTAGTTGAAAATGCGCTTTAACCCCTTTTGATTCACTTGTATCTTGATGTTTTTCATATGCTTTACGAGCACCACTAACATTAATGCGCAATAAATCTGTTTTACCTAGTGATCTAGAATGATTCAAAGTAAAGAGTTAATTTTTTCGTTTAGTTTATGTTTATTTTTACCGTTTATCAGTGTCCGAAAGAAATGACAAATCGCCATAGCGAACATCAAATGAAAAATCGTCAGTGTGTCGATTAAATGTCATAACTTTTCGACTTGGATAAAGATTATTTCGTTGAAATAAAGTTCGATCAATTAGTTTTTGTTCCGAATTTTCCGTTGTTGAATCAGCATGACGTTCAAATTGAACGTTGATTGGATATTGATTAGCATCTTTAACAATAAATTTTTTAACACGATAACCTTTTGAAAGTGCTGCTGCTTGATAAACACCACCCATAGCAGCGGCTTCATCAGTATTTAAGCTTTTACCAAGTTCAATTCTGTAGGAGACAAAATGAAATTAATATCATTGTTTCCTCCTTCTAAAAGATTACAAACCCGCCAAGAGATTTAACTAGTTCATTTTGAACACGTGGAATACGTGTTGAACCACCGAATAAAAGTACTTGTTGAATTTCAGCCTAAAATAAAAATTGATTATCAGAGTTTTAACCTTCAATAAAATTATTTTATTATAATTAGTAAGAAAAGTTTCATGATTACAGTAATTGCTCGAGTTGCGATCTCTACAAAGACCAACGAGAATGCCGCAAAATATTTACTTTTCAAAATAATAGAGAAATTCATTGACTATTGTATCAGTTTACAAACTTATTTTTATATTCTTAATTCGAAATAGATCTTATTTTCTAATCGAAAAAAATCTCTGATTCTTACCAATGAAATTCCACTTGTGTTGAGTACTTCTTCAACAGGTCGTTTAACTCGTTCAAAAAGATCCTCACACAACTTTTCGAATTGTTCGCGCGTGATTCGATGTTTAAAATCGATTTCATCAACTAGGCCTTCAACTTGTGCTGTATATTCATTATTAGCACTGAGAACATTTTTAGCTCGTTCAGCTTCACGAAATAATTTTGTCAATGCTTTTGCATTTTTAAATATATCAATTTTTGGATGATGTTCTTGAAATTTCTTTGCTAAATAATCACGCAAACGAATTTGAAATTCTAAGCCACCTAAATCACGGTCAAATGCAACTGCTTTTATTGTTAATTGCGGCACGTCTTCAAGATAACCATTTTCTTTCGATTTAACAATATTATATGTTGCCAGTGTGCAAACAGTTGATTGTGAACCCATATCATAGAATAAATAGGTTGAACCGCTTGCATTAAAATCTTTACGACGAAATATACCATAGTTGAGTGCAACAGCAGTGTTGTCATTCATCAATTGGAGTAATTTTATATTTGCTAATTCACACGCACGTTTAATAGCACGTCGTTCAGTTTGAGTAAAATAGGGTGGTACAGTTACTACAGCAGCATCAACAGATTGTTCGGTGAAATCGCTGGCATATTCGCGAGCTTTTTTAAATATCATAGAAAGAAGTTCTTCAATTGTATAATTTGTTTCACTAGAAATAAAATAATATCATGAAAAAAAAGCGGAGGATATCAGTGTTTGCAATGGATTTTTATATGTTTGTCGATTGTCTTCTACTTTGAAACAACTAATATAAGTCGGAATTGTAAATGTCAGATTTATAGCCCACTGAGCAACTGCATACTACTCAAAAAACGTTCTATATCGAATGAATAGTCCAACTCGAACGTCTGTTAACATCAAAATTAGGAGTACCATCACTCGCACACTTTATGTATGCAACGATTCAATATAGTTCCTGATAAGACATTCAAAAATAAACTGATATCGCCAACATGACAAAGAACATTTACCTATCATGTTCGAAAACAAGTTCATTTGTATTTGGATCCGTTTTTAAGTTATAATACGGAAATCGTTGTAAAAATTGTTGAACAGCAGGATTATCCAATGATTTTCCAACTAATTCGCGTAAAAACATATACGACTGTGATGGAATTTTACTTGACTAGATAGAAAAAATAGGTTTTAAATTCGAGCAGTAAACATCAATAACTATTATGCTTACTCGAGAAATAGCTGCTTCACCAAATTCACGATCTTTACCTTTAATAGCAACTATAACCGGAGTTTTCCGACGACTTTCTCTATTGAAGAAAAATAAATTTCATAAATCAAAAACAAAAACCACTAGAAATCAATTTACTTATTAAGAACGATTTCCATTGGTATGCCAGGTTTTACAATAGCGATTTTCATATATTCTATACCGAGATCGACAGACATCACAGCAAGACCATCGACTGTGAATACAGTCGATAATGTGAAAATAAGACAAATACTAATAATTGTTTTTGGACGGATCATATTTAATGATCTAGAATAGAAAAAAAAAGACAAATGGATGAACACAATTTTTTCTTTTTCTACATTATATATATATATATACGTAGAACTTTATACAACATAATTACACAACCGAACAAAGAAAAATTATAATAGAGGACAAAGTAAGAAACCTAGTCATGAACAATTTGTTGTTCACTTTCGTTGCTTTCAGGTAAAGTTGTGACTGGTAAGGATTCATTCATTACTTCGTTTTCGGTTACTATTGGCTGAGATGATACTGGTGGTTGTAATTCATCATCTATATGATTAACATCATTAGTAGCATTCGAATCAGTCTGCTGTTGATCTTGTACTGACGCTTGAAGCTAAAAATAAGTAACAAATTTTATTTTTATTTTTCAACTAATTGCAAAGAGAACTTCGATAAATAATCTATTGAACGGAAGTTGCAATCGTTTTAGTAATATTTTATCTGTAGGCAACGTAATGTTGCCTATAGATAAAATGAACACAACATGATTAGAAGGCGATGAATATGTGTTACTTTAAGATTTTCTTAGTCACACAATGGTCGACTTATAGTGATAAGATGAAGTTAAGTAAGATTCGACAGTTGCAAATTTTCCCTCGTTAGATATTTTCTTCTTAAGTAAACTGAAGATATCAGATTCTGGCAATAGAAAAAAAAGATTAATCGAACTCAGTAAAATAAATTGAAAATAGAAGAGATTTTGTTGTCTCAATTAAACTATCATCTCAAAAGTTATGTTCAATTTCTGACCCGTGTTTGATCATCAGTAAGTTGAGTTATTTCTTCCTGAATTGGACGTTCTTGAATGCCATTTGTAGCAGTTGTTAAATCATAAAGATGTTGTTGTACATCGCGTAGACGTTTTTCAACTTCACTTTTTTCATGTTGTAAACGATCAATATTAGCACAAAGTGATAAAACTTCATTGAGTAAAGCAGCTCGACTAAAAGCAGCATATCGTTCATAGCGACATTGATAATAAATATCATTAAAATCATTATCAACCGATGGATCAACATCACCAAAACCAAATCCTTGATTGCTTTCTGTATCATCACTTTGTGCATCAACATCACCCATTTCGAACATTTGATCATATGGTAATGATGGTTGGCCTTGCTGCGTTGCTGATGGAGAAGGAGCTATAAATAGAGTAAAGATAAATAAATAGTTAATATATATATATATATACACAACGGTTAGTCCGTAGTAAATCTGACTAAATGCAAACGTAATTTCTCAATGATTTCAATCATGTCATCTATCGAATGAGATAAGAATTTTCTTTTGATTCAAACAATAGCCGATGCACATGCGTACATTCTATATTCCTACGGCATTACTTAGAATAGACGACAATTAAAGGAAAAAGTGTAGAATAAAAATTGGTTCTACAAACCACGTTGTTTTATACAGAACGGCTTTCTACAGTGGTTCTGTTGTTATTGTAACAAAATCAACAAAAGAAAATTTCTCTTCAAATTGCCATTTAATATACTTTCATCGCTCCACTGACGCTAAGATATATGAAAATCAATCAACCGAATCGAGTTCCTTGGTAAGTTTTGGTATCTCAATGAAAACGTTTTATGAATTAGAATATGCAGAAAATTACGTCTATATATTTCATTTAGATACATAATGATCAACTGGCTATCCAAAAATTGAATAGACATATATAATTTTACTTGTTGGATGAGTAGGTGTTGGAGTTGCTATTGATGAAGGTGTTGATTGACGATTATGATCACGTATAAGAAATTGTGTTGTATTCGATGGTGCCAATACATCGAGTTTTTTCTTATCACGTTGAACTTGTGCGGAATGAATTAGCTCATATTCTGATTGTGACATACCAGGTGGAGTACCTAAGAAAAATTGAATATTATTTAATATTTGTTTTTCATTTTGAATAGCTAATAATTACCCATCAATGCAGCAGGAGTACGCTGTAATTGCTGAGCGGGACGATAGAAACGTTGCTGTTGTTGAGGAGGTAATGGCTGGCGAAATGGATATGGATGATAACGAGAACCAGGTGTTGGACGTGTTTGCCGATGGATTATAGTTGAGCCTCGACCACCACGATTTCCACTTCCACGTTGATGATGTTTCATTCCACCGCTGCTCACTGGTGGCTGTTGAAAATTACCGAGTACACCATATCGTAATGCTTGCGGTGGACCTGGTAATAGTGGAGCAGGTGGCAAAGAAGGGGAATACATCAATGGCATTCTAGTTGAATTACCACGACGTTGTTGCTGTTGTTGTTGTTGTCCTACTGGATGCATTTATCTAAGCGAAAAGTCGCATATTTTTATTGCGTAAATATAGCAAATATAATGAAAAAATCAATGGACATGATGATGCAGATCAACTCGGCACAATTCAATTGGTTGCTATCTGTTATATCCTAATTAGACACGAATAACAAATCAGATCTTGAATATAAACCTCTGATAAATCATGATTGAATAATGTGATAGATGGAGCTAGTGAGAGGAATTATGAGAAATGTTTTGCAATGTTTCTTGTTCCTCTTTATTATTTTTTATATATTCTTTAGTCAACGTTCTATTTGGTTTCTAGCTATGAGTTTAATTTATGGAAGAAAAGACTAAAAGTAATATTTTTTATCAGAATCAAATTTGCATTTATAGTAAGCACAAGTTTGATATTTATCGATTAATAAGTTGTTTTTAGAAGCAATATTTGTCGGAGATTAAAATCAATAAATTTCAATATTTACTATTCATTAATATGTCTTGATCGATCGTTTATTATTTTCTGCATAGTAAATCATATTTTATGATTCTACTCATTTACACTCAAACAAAAATAATCTGTCATAATCAGCCGTGAAAATGAAATAACTACACGTACATGTCTACAGAATTAGTTTTGTTTAATTATTGAATGGATTCAGGGACTCAAATGTAAGACTAGATTATTTATATTTCTTTTCAATCTTTCATATAATGACGAATGAATGTAAAAAAATGTTTGTGTGCATCGTTTTCTGCAAATTCAGTTGTAATAGTTCCATGTGTAGCATTGACAGTATAATAGTCAACCGAATGTTGAGTAGTTTTAAGTTTTTCAACAAAACGTTTTGCATCGAACTCTAAACCCATATCAAATCGTGCAGACATAACTAAAAATGATGGAATTTCTTCTTGTTGTTTTATATATTTAATTGGTGAATAGTCATCTAGTTTTTTTTTCTTTCGGATAAAGTAAATTAATTGAATAAAATGAACGAAATATTAAATTTTGAATATTCATTTTTGAATCATGTATTGGATTTGTTAGACTGTATATTTCACTCGTAGCTATAACACCGTGTACGTTTGATAGAGAAAATTCGTGTCGATGAAAATAAGATTCATCAAGAACAAGTAAACTAGCTAAGTGTGCACCAGCTGAATGGCCAGAAAGAAATATTTGATCTGGATCAGCATCTGGGCAATGTTCATTGATATGATCTCGTACATAAACAAGTGGATGACATAAATCATCCAGCATCTTACGTAAATACATATAAAAAAAGTTTGATTAGCTGTATAAATCAATATAGTTCTCTTACATGTTCAACAAGAACCGGTACGCGTACGTTATAGAACAAATTATAAGCATAAGCAAAAGCCATAAATGCAACGTAACCGGTTATAAGTTGCCAGGAGAGTAAAGTGATTCCAATAATGATAATGATGAGACCCAACGAACATGATCAAGCCAGAAATGATAGGAGAGATCTACGCGCTAACCGATAAGAAACAACAACACCGATGAAACCTTCACGAGCACACGTTCGACCAACAGTTGGACTACCACGAATCCAACCACCACCGGGAATATGAACAATAATAGGAATTCTCTTTTTGCTTGTGTCTTGTTGTTCATCGGATGTTACCACTGAAGAATCTACCTTCGGAAAAGGAAGAAAAATATCCAGTTTATTATCAACGTGTGCATCCGATCCAGAAAAATACGCTACATCACGAATAATTAAAGATTGGTCATATTTTGGTGTAAGATGAAGAAGACATTTAAGATAATATATAAATGACATCTGAAGTTGGAAATCTCTCAATGGTTACAACTAACGAGGGAACGTCTCCAAGTGATACCAACCATTCGGGTTCATGTTGTGCTCATAACTAGGACCCAGTGAGACTAGAAAAACCCTAAACGATTTCGTGCCATTAGGCCTTTCTTTCAAAGTTATGACCATTTTACTGAATTTTCGACCTTGGACAAGGAATGTATAGAAAAACTGAATGAAGGAATTTCGCACTGAAAAGTTTCCTAGCAATAGGTCTCATCGATGTTAGAANGGCACGAAATCGTTTAGGGTTTTTCTAGTCTCACTGGGTCCTAGTTATGAGCACAACATGAACCCGAATGGTTGGTATCACTTGGAGACGTTCCCTCGTAAGATAGAACTTGCAATTCAGTTTTTTTTTGTACATGGAGTAAACATTCGACGTTATCAGATTGTTAATTTATTTCCATAAATATCATAAGTAGAATTGATTTCATTTGGACACCAAGCAAGCTAGCCGATGATATTCTCTTTTATATTAGTTCTTTCTATATTAGATTAGAAGAGTTTATCAATGCAGCTCGCCTGAAATTATATTATGAAGCATTCACATATCTTTGTTTTCATTCAAATCGTTTGTTTGCCCCGATTATGAATTATATTCTAACGGGCAACTTGTTTTCTTTTAGTTCATTTTCCAATCATTTACATAACCGTCAAATAAACATGTTGTTCGTTTTTATAATTTCTACCATTGACCTCTAATAAACTCCGGAGTATTGATTCTGTGTAATGGAAGCTGTACCAAATCGAGATGGTATTTATCTTCCAGGAAGTCTTTCAATCAGACATCTAGACAGTTTCTACATAACGATACAAGTTTCACGAAGCTTTGTTAAATGGAAGTTGAATGATAATATTTCGACTCTAAAATTAACTTAAAGATAGATCTCATTGTAGCTCGAATCTTCTACACACACCGAGCCAGAGCTTGAAAGCAATTTACAAAAGTTACATAAAAACAATAACGATCTTTTAGCTGATGTAAATTTATGTGATATAATCTTAGATGATTAACATTAACCCTAATATTTAATCATATATAGCTCTCATGCTTTGTTAATATGCATTCTGTAGTTTAATCCGTAGACATGCTCTTTTTTTTCTAATTGTTAGTAAATGTTTACCGTTCAATATTTATTTTAACATCTTTTATTAGATCCCAATATAATGTCTATTTTCGATTTGCATACTGGCCTAAAAGCAAATGGAAAATAGTGTAAATATCATCCATAGATCATATTCAAAAGAAAGAAAATTACTGGAGATAAACCTATAACATTAAAAAATGAAACAATAGAATAGATTTTTCTCTCTTTCTTCTTTATGAAGAACTAGATTTCACGTGAGCATACAGCCGGGGTACGTCAACTAATTTATGTTTTGAAATAAATGTATATGCGAATGTTGATATTATTAATAATCCCCAAAATAGAATACGAATAACTTGTTCACGAAACGATGGAGCCGGTATTAATACATTAATAACACACATGGAAAAAGCAATAAGTATTGTAACAGGTAATACCAAATATTTTCTACTTATTTCTTTATTGATCGGACATGATTCTGGCGTACGACCTTCTTCGGATGATATTTGATAATTACCCAAAAAAAGATCAATACCATCCTTTGAATTAAGAAACAAATCAATCAATATGTAGACGATTTCTCACGAGAAATGATTGCTCACTTGTCTAAAGCCATCATAGAAATTATTAAATACATAGCGCATTAATGAATTATAGCCATCTTGGAGTAGACCCATGGTTGATCGCTTACCAGTTCTATATCAAAGATAAATGTGGAAACTTCGGATTTCATCCCAGAGTTATGTGTACTGCAAAAAGTGCATGGGACAGATTAGTCATTCTAGAATGTCTGAACACCAAAATTATCATGAGAAACTAGGCAATTTGATTTCTGGATGCATTTTTGTGCATTTTGAGACGTTTTTCAGGCGATGTTTCGTTAGAAAGCTACAGTTTAGTTCAAAACTAATATCGGATTCGGAATCAGCGTTAAAAACTGAGTCGATTTATATATGTTGTGAATAATTCTGAGAAAAATTTGTTTTTTGAAAAAAATCCCTGTACTCCTCCTCCGGGATAGGCTGGTCAAAAATGACAATTTTTTCGATAACTCAACCATTTCTTGAAGGATCTTTCTCATCTTCGAACTCGACTGAGACATTGATGAGATTGAACTGTGTGGAAAATTTCATCACGGTCTGACTCTCCTTTCGAAAGTTATCGTGCCTACGGCCGGACACACTGACCGATTCTAGAGTGTACTCACTTTTTGATTACACAAAAAAACCATAAATTATCATTGTCTGAAACTATCTATAAATACTTCTGACAGATTGTGTCAAACCGAAAACACAGATATCTAGAAGTTTTGAAAAGTCTTTTGGCTCATATTTAAACGCATGATTCAAAAACTAGACCAAACAATTTGAATCCCATATCCTCTGAGAAGTATGTCTTCTTATCACCACGAACTAATGAGTTCGGTTTTGTTTTATTTTGAAATACCTTGTATAATCTGTTTTTAATGCACCGGTACCAGCATATTCAAGACTAATCGTATCCGCATTATCCGCCCAAACTATAATGAGAAAAATTTCCATCAATAACAACTGAAGAAAAAAGATATTTTTATTTACTATTTTTAAAATGATGACTTAGATGTTCGTAGGAATCGATCGTTTCATTATATTTAATAATATTATAACGTTGTAATTGTTGTTCTAACATTCGTTTAGCTAATAATGTTTGTACAACATTTGTTCGATCAAGACAATCGATACAATTCGTACGAAATACACCAGTTTGTTGAGTTTGTACAGTACCATCTTTCGCAAAAGCAAAATATCTGAAATGGAAAATATTTTATTACAAACACAACGAATAAATTTAGTCTTTATCGTACTTATAATCGTCTTGGTCAGCTATGATACGAGCTAGAAGAATCGATAAACGATCATAACGCATACCGGCACATTCTTTGTGAAAATCGAAATCTTCAAATCTAATTTGAACATTTTCAATTCTGATTCACTAAATAATATTTCTTTGTGTCTTACTTAAGATAAGAATTTTCACTTGTTTCATATAGTTCACGATATTTTGCATTCAATCTTCCTTCTGCTCCGTGATGATTTGTCTGAAATGCACGTTTTTTAGAGAAAAAATACAAACGATTATGGTTGATTTTCATACAAGGCTTATACAGAATTGTCTTCCATAATAGCATTCTTGTTCTTCAAAATGTTTACGAAAAGCAGTCATCTAATAAAAAGATGAGTATCAAGTCACTAATGATATTTATAATACAAAAGAATTATTTTTATTTACATGATTACTCGACGGTGTCACTGTAACTTTAGGTTTATAATGAAGATTAGGTAGTTGTGACCAAAAACAAGGCACTGAACCACGTGTCTATAAAAATAATCACATGAAATAAATTAGTGCAAGTATTTCCTGAAAATTTCTACTATGCCTCTGAAAATAGTACTCATCTTTGCTCCTGACATAAGATAGAGTCCATAGGATTTGACTAAAGGGGGAAACAGTGGATTTTAAATCCGAAAAATTCCAAAATTGAAAAGTATCCTCACATGTTAATGATGTAGTTTCGACCTGAAATTCTTTCCATGGATAGGTTTCATGGTCCATAGAATATTCTAAAAGTTTCAACTCGAACAAATGTTTTTTTCTTAAAAAATTGAATTTTCAAAAAAAAACTGGATTTTCTAACCGTGCCGTAAAATGAGCATTTCTTGCGCACTCATTAGTTATCTCGAGAAGGAAACATCGTTTGCGCTGGAATTTTTAGAATATTCTCAGAATCATGAGACTTACATATGAAAAAAAACTCAGATGGAAATTCCATCATTCACGGTTTGGATTTTGGGATTTTGAAAATCCTAAAAATCCCGAATCTATTTTCCTCCATTGATCAAATGAGCTCCGNAATACGAAAAATTCCAAAATTGAAAAACCCCCCCCCCCCCCCTGTTAATGACGTAGTTTCGACCTGAAATTTTTCCATATATAGATGCCATGGTCCATAGATGATCCTAAAAGTTTCAACTCGAACAAGTGTTTTCTTCTTAAAATATTGAATTTTTACAAAAAAGCTGGATTCTATGTCCGTGGCGTGAAATGAGCATTTCTTGTAAATTCATTATTTTGAGAAGGAAACATCCGTTTGCGCTGAAAATTTTAGAATATTCGAAGCATCATGCGACTTACATATGGAAAAAAATACAAATGGAAATTCTATCATACACGATTTGAATTTTGAAAGTCCCAAATCCGCCTTTTCCTCTTGTTTCGACTTCTTTGCAAAAACCCATTAAACTCAAGATTTTATGTAGCACAATTCGTTCTGTGCACAATTTAATATTACAGTAAGAGAAATCGAATCTATGTATTTTGACGCAACAACTAGCATCTTTGAATAGGAAGGAATAATGTTGCGTTCAAGCTTGAAATTCTGTCGTGCTACAATTTCAGTAGTAAGCTTTTTGGAGTACATTTCGCCGCATAATATCATTTTTTCGTATTTTTGAATTTAATAGATTTTAATGCAAATAAAATACTGTGCAAAATAATGTTCTTTACCAACGCTATTTTGAAATTATGGCGAAATAATTCTCAAATTTACCATTCAAACCGTAAGTAACCAAAAAGTGAATACATATTCTGTGCTACGACTGTTTTTATTTAAAGGTTTCAGTGAAACTTTAACCTGAATCATATTTTCATAAGAAATAAAACAAATACAATCATGATGATAACTTTTATCTAGGAAATGTCAATTTTTTCGAATCTTACACTATCAAATTATCTTGAACTTCAAAATTAAGGTCAACATAGTTCTAAGTCATTGACAGGATTTGTTCTATTTACTCATTAGTATTGCGTATTAACTTTTTACCTGTACGTAAGAACAAGCAACATCATCTAATTGAAGAATTTGTTCTGTTTCAACAAAATTTGCAACTTTACCATCATTATCAATACCACGAATAAATAATCTAAGAAAAACAGATTCATATTATTTTCAATTTTAACACTTGTTCAACCTTGTTCCTGCTCGATAAGTACTTCTTCGTGAAATAACACCATAAGTAAATGAATTTTCATTAATATCAAGTTTACTTATGGCAATAACTATTAGAAAAATAAAAAGCAAACATAAGCTGATGCATTATATATATATATATATATATATATATATGTGTGTGTGTAAACATACATCCATGAATAAGTGGTAAAGCAAATCGAATAATAGAACGATTATTCGAAAATTGCCGAAGTAAATAATGATTCCAAACAAAACGATCATCAGCACGTTCAATAAATGGTGTTGAATGAAAATTAGGTGATGATGTTTGAAGTCTTTGTAATGTATGTGTTAGATCGTATGTATAAGAAAAGTAAAAAGATTCAGTGTGTAAAACAACTGCAAGCATAGATAAATATTTTTCATTGTATTTCAGCTGTAAAATATGAAAGTCAACGAGAGTTATGAATTTAAATCCAAAGTGAAGAATATGTTTTCAATTACTTGATATTCATTTAAATGTGACGTATTTCGTGCATAGGGAATGATTTCAGTTGTTTTGACTCTATAAATTTCATGTCCATTTATGTCACCAACATGTATTTTAGATGTAATAACGATTAAATATGGACCAGATATTAAATTAATTATTCCTATGATTCCATCAATAGATATTACTCTAGCTCCATTAACGTTTGGTGAAGTATCTTTAAAAAAATATTAAAAAATAACTTAAACAAAGAACAATTTGATAGAAAATTTTACTATGTAGTTGAATAGTTTCATGTGCTCGATCAATAGCAATAAATTCCTTGCCATTAGGTCCCAATGGTTGAATAATCAAAGAATCAGGTAAGGAGTAACTGAAAAAAAGAAAGATAAATTTAATTGTTAACCAAAAAATTTAATATTTACAGTGAATATTTGTCAGGAATATTTTGGTAGTGTCCACTGTCATTATCGATCGATGATCGAAATGATAAATCATTTATAATTGACATTTCAATGCTTATTTATACAAAAATGACAGAAGAGATGAAGATGAAACAAGAATAACGTTCCATTTAGGACGGCATCAAACTAAAATATACGTGTATGAATGTAGTCGCACTATCCAGCAATAGGATGAGACAAAAATTTAACGAGCGAATCGAATAGTGCGCAAAACCCCAAGGTTTTGTCATCGACTTACGCCATCTTTAGTGAAATACATGAGTCTCACAATGCAACGAAATAATAATCCACATTCAGAGTTTCCAGGGTTCGCACATCGTAAACGAATAACATCTCATTATAAGAAATGAACAACTTCCTGATTGCATTTCCGGCGTATGACGTTAATTGATGCTGAACAAATGTGTATCCCGAACCAATCAGATAAAATAAGAGAATCTTTTCATGTGAGCTACCAACATCATTGCATTGCGTTTTAGAGCACTAAGTCTTATCATTCTTTACGCGATGAAAAAAATATATTGGATTGTTTTCAGCAAAATACTTTCATTCATATAGGGAACGAATTATACGTCAATTTCTTCATTTCAATGCATAAGATTGACTTTTTTTTATAATCGAGAGTGACTATTACTAAAACTATTTTCATCAAAGAGCTTAAAAGAGCATTTTATTGAAATAATTTATCGTATTAAAATTTTTTTGTATATTTTTTATCAGGATCTAAATAATCAGCAGCACGATTGAGAATAAATCTACATGTCGCAGTTGCATTTCTCAAAACTCCTCACGGGGTTACTGGAAGGCCTATCGTTACATATTCTGCTATGATCTGAACGATGGGGGCTGCTGTTTCTATGCATCTATTATTTTCGTTAGTTTATAAAGAAAATTAATATTAAAAGCTTAGAAATTCCAGTTATGAGTGTTCACTTGTGGCTTAAGAAAATGCGAATTCTATTTGAAATTACATCCTCTTGACATAAAATATTAAAGGAAACATCGTAAATAATCAGTTTTTCTTAATCATTAACAAGCCAAGTCGGGTTTGGTGGAAAAAGCAGAAAGGGAAAACGTCGAACAGGCAAATATAGAAGGGGAAAATACAGAAATTGTAAATGTCGAATGAAAAAAGGAGAACGCCGAAAAAATAAATGTCGAAAATTGAGTTTTTTGATAATTTTAAAGAAAAAAAAGTTTATTTTCTAAATTGATGTGCACATATACGTCGCATGTATGTTCAATACAAGCCCAATACTTTTTTTAATGAGGACGTTTTATTGCATGTGAACATATATTGGTTAAACATTAGTAATGGTTTTCTAAGTTTTCCTTTTCAAAATTATTCTACTTTTTCCTCTAGCAGTTTTTCTTCGACACTTTTATTAATTACAATTTTTCATTTCAGCGTTTTTCTTTTCTGCCTTTTCCGCCAATTCGGCCAAGTCTACTAATTTTCTTTAACATGAAATAATCGATTTTGGTATTATACATTTAAAGACGTCACATAGATCCTGCTATTGCATTTCACAAAATTAATACACAAATATCCGTAGAGATTTTTTCGAGAAAAAGGAATTTTAATTTTTAGTATAGATAAAATTGATAAGTTTTCAATAGAATTAATAAATCGCGATGAAATAGTTTGTTCTAGAATTGAATGACCATTTTAGTCAATAAGATTGAAGAGCAAAAGATTGGATTAGATGCAATGTATTCAGTTTAACCTTTTATTAAGAATGATACATTTTCGTTTTATTTATATCTATTTCTTTTCTTGTGGCATTTCATTGGTGGCTGTATTAATAAAATGTATCATCTATAATTGGATATAGAAACAAAGAAACAGCGAATTTCCAATAGTAAATGTTGGTGAAAGGATTTAACAATTCACATTTTTGGATATTAGGTTTGCATTTTAGATTATTAAGTAAAATATTGATCTTCATATATTTACATTCAGAAGTTTTACATTCAAGTGAATACTTATATCTCAATTGTAAATATTAATGCCTAGATAGGAGTAGTGCATATGTTAAATGATGTAATCTATACTATTTGCATAACTAATATCTTCTTACTTCAAAACATATATAAAAGCTGAAAGAAAAACCTACTGATATTAGATACAGTATCAGATTAGAAAATGAACTATCTTATTATTTTTCTCTTCTGCATAATTACACCATTATCAGTTGGAAAATCAATAGAAGCTCCTGTATGTGGTCCATTATGTGCAATCTATTGTCCATTTGGTAATGTAATGGATGAAAACGGATGTCCAACATGTGTATGTAAGAGAACTCCATGTGAAGATAATCAACCACCATTGGCTGGCTACAATTGTGGAAGAAGTCCCGATCATCGGCCATGTCCATCAACACATTATTGCAATATTGCACCCAATGATGCGTATGCGGTTTGTTGCCCTCGCCGCTAACTATTGCAAAGAAAAACTAAACACTCATATTCATGTTATAGGACATAATAGAGATTTTTATTTTTCAATGTAATGCAACTCCTTTGAGAAAATAATATTGACGATCATTCATGAATAGTTTTTAATTTCTCGATATTTACTCATGAAAAAATGATTATATAGAATTCTGTCTGGAAGACATCTATGAAATACTGATAGTCAATCTAGTCAATAGATTGTTATCTCTTGAAACATTTGGGTATTATAGAATCCGCTCACAATCAAAAACACTATATAGTGTTTTTCAAACGTTTCTATTTGGCACAGTTTATGTAACGAATCGATATTGAATATCAGAATTCCTTTATTCTTTTTGCCAACCCGAAATAGATATGTGTATTGAAATTCATAATAGTGTCATGATTTTTTTAGCAAGTTATCTTGTCAATAGTCACGTCAGATGGCGTAATTGATATTTAAAAGAAAAGATGGTCAGAATTTAAAAACATGGGTAACTATGAATACCATACGGATTCAATGATTTGTGATGAAGATTTTGAAAACATTCAGCGGCGCCTCGCTTTAAGTCTTCGCAGAACTTTTTGAAGAGAAAATATTTTTCTAGAATTATTCATGACTCAGTCCTCATTGTAGTTCTATGGGTCTAATGGCAAGTAGCGTATATAATTCTAAATTCAGCTGGGTAGGAATTATGCGGATTCTCGAATAACGTGATGCTACTGTTCTTATGAACTCTATTTATCAAGATTCATTCTTTATTGTCAAAAAATAAAATAAAGCAAAATAAATAATTATCAATATCACAGAGATTAATGAGTAAAATTAAAATAAAAGTTGTCAAAACCGTATTACACTTATCATTTTCGATTAAATTTGCTGACAAGATCTCGTACTGATACTTTAGTAGAATTTTCTTCGTTGCTATTTGAAGGTAAACTAAACTGTTTAATTACAATTGGTTGTTGTTTATTATTTCGCATTTCTGAATGCACAGCACTCATCGATACGTCGTTTCCTATATTTTGGTAAATGTTGTCTAACGGTGCTGCGGTCTGCTGTTGCTCTTCTTCAGTGGCAATATTTAAATAAAGATTTGAATTTAAGTGTTTCGTTGTATCATCTGTATTATCCATATATGAATCAGCCAGCGGTTCCTATAGGATTTAAAATAGGATAAGATTATGAAAATAATTAGAATTTTTTCATTGTGTTACTTTTTGTAAAAATGCTGATGGAATCCAAGTGAGAATATAATCATCTTTTAGGCGTCTTCCAAGCCACCAACCACTCGAATGTTTTTCATGTATTTCAACCGTATCTCCACGTTGTAATGATACACAATCGCCGATTTTGTCGATAAAATCAGAATGAACATAAAATATTTCTGATTGACTATGGGTTGGATATTCTTGATGTTCATTCTGAAAGAGAAAATAAACAACATTCTAAGAGATATTCGAGAGAAAACAAAATCGAAGAAACAAACGTGTTCATAACTATTCAAACTACTCAATCGTTGGTTCAATCCATTTGGTGAAATATTCGGTTCGACTTCTAAGTAAAAAAAATAGAAACAATAAAAATAATGAAATTTCTATTTACCGGTAGTTCTTGTTGGAACAGCTCGTCCTTTGCATGATGTTAAATAGATTGCTGGAAATTGTCCCGTTTGATTTTTAAAGCTAAATAAGATGATTTTTTTTATGAATACTTTCTTCAGAGAAAAAAATTTACTTCACTATCCACCATCCAGTATATGATTTTTCAAGAACAGTGACAAATGATCCTTGTTCTAAGGAAAGTTCTTCTCGATCTTTTGCTGTGTACGAGTTATTAACAACATATGTTTCACCTACAAAACAGAAAATTTGTATTCGATTTTCTCATGGAAAAAGTATTTTTCAATCTAATCGATCGCTGTATCACTAATAACTAAAGAAGAATAACTCACGGGAGCCTATTTAAATCAAATTCTAAAAATGACCAGATTGTTATCCTAAATTAGGCATCCTCTAGAGTGAATGTGTTCGTTCTTCAGCCTATTAGGCGAATAGTTAGTGATCCCTGATTAAGTTAGGCAATGTTCAAATTTGTAGCACTTCTTAACCATCTGTGAGTACTAACTCGAAGATTTTGGAAGTGCATTGCGTTCAATAGCATTTCGTTGATATTCATTTGACTCGAGAAAAGCTCCTGGTGCAAAGCCAGTTCGATCACCCTGTTGAACAAACCACCAACCTTTTCAATTAGAAGAAACAGCTCATTCGTTTTTCAAAATATTCATGATGAAACAAACCATTTAGATGTTTATGAATAACTTGAACAAGACTACCACGTTCTAAGGACATTTCTGTGTTTTCTTGTGCTACAAACCTATCTACACATCGATAAGTTGCTAGCTTTGCTGGTGCACTTATTGTCATTGGTTTGTTAGCAGCTGATTTTTTATCAGGAATAGGAGATAAGGCCATGCTTTGTACATCCGTTGGTAATGGACGAAAAAATTCAAGCACACAACGAGATCGAGATATACGTTCCGGTAAAGCAATTAATGTCTAAATTAATATCATTCATGACGAAGCTCTTTTTAATTAGACGATCTAATTACCCGACAATATATATCAAGAGCATGTCGTCTTTCCAATGCAACTTGCCGTATTTGACTTCGGCCAAGAAAAATTTTTCCTGAAAAACAAATTATATTTTAGGGTGTGCTGTTTGAATTGAGATTATTTTCATTTACCAGGCAGAAACGGGATAAGTCGATCTTTCGTATTAAAATTATTCGATGGCGATGGAGCTTCAGCAAATAGATCAAGTAGCTGACACTTCAATAAAAAAATCTATCAGGTTTTGTTTTCATATCAATATAACTGACTTGCAGAGCAAAAAATTGAGCATAACGCCGGTAAATAATAAATGTATTTGAAGGATTTGACCACGTTACTTGAATAACATATACCTATGATATTGAAAAACGTACTAGATCAAATAGTCTTCTCGGTTTTTTTGTGTACAAACATACGTAATGTTTTGGTCCGGGTCTATATCTCTTGTCAACATCCACGACCTTAACATCGGCGACATAACTATTGTTATTCGCTGTATTTCTATCTATCATCTATAACAGTAAGTCAAAAAGAAAGCCTTATTTTAATTCTTTTTCTTGTATCAAGAAAACAAAAACGGATTTTATTTTAATATTTTTTGTCACAGCATTATTTTTCAATTTTTACTTTCGATAATAATTCTTCAACATCAAAATCAATTGATAGATTTTGTTGAGACAATTTTTCTTTCGATTTCAAATTTAATGATAATATTTGTTGACTAGCAAACATTATTTCATTAATATCATCATCTAATTTAATTGATGATAGATGATCAAAATTCGGTAATAAATGTTTCAAGCAGTTTTCACGATCTTGACTTGTATCATCACGTGAAGCAAAATTCAATACAAATACACCGGAATGAACGGAAAGTAATGTTTTCACATTTTTTAATATTTCATCGTCAAGAAATGCTGGATGTGGACAACGAAGTGGACTTTGAGTATCATCATTATTGACATCGAATATAATCACATCATATATTTCTAAAACAACAAAATATGCATCGTAACGAGTTTTGTCAATGTAAATATGATCTTAATATTACAGTCGTTATTAATTGTCAAGTGTCCTTATCGCTGTTTGGTTTTTGCAGGAAAATATTCATTGTACAATTTACTATACGATGAGATCAATAACAGCGTGAGATCTCATTTCAGAACTCCACAATTTCGCTTTGCTTGAGTTTTAGAATAAGGAGTCATTTTTTCGACTTAGTGTTCATAAAGAAATGTCGGCTTCAAAATACTCGATTAAAATCGAATCTATTGTTTATAATGCGTGCAAACGCACTAAACATAGAACGATTACGATTTAACTCATGAGAGATTAGTAAGAACTTCTTTTTTTCTCTGTATCAATTCGATAAGTTATATTATCCTATGAACATACAATCGCGAAGAAACTGAGTGGTCAAACGTTGCAGTGAACATTTTATCCATAATTTAATTGCTAGAAATATACGTGTAAGTTTGAGTTAAAATGAAAATATGTTTCATTTGAAAAATAAATATCTGCATGCTAACTATCAGGCCTGATCTGACCAGAATGGGAACCTTGGATTCGATCAGTCATGCACTTAGTGATTTCTATGCTTATATGACAAAAATCAAACATAACGCTTATATTTCATTAAAAAATGGCCGAAAAAGTAAAGGTTTTTAATACACACAATAACCGAGCGTTGGCATCTTCTCATCAGATTACTCTGGTACGTTATAATATTTATCGAACTTTCAGAAAGCAACTTTTTATACTGGAGCCTTGCAGTAAATTTGTGGCTCTATTATAAGAAATAATCTATCTACTTATCCTCAGAAAACGATTGATACTGCGTGATAAACATTACCCGAACTATTTAAGAATGACTATCGATCACACTGTAGAATTTAATTTCTAAAATATCATTACTTTTTTCTTCTACTTGTTTTTGAAGATATTTAATACCATCATCAACAATACATGTTGTTAAAGTATCATCAAGACCAAACCATGTTTTAGCTATACGAACCATTTCACTATCAATATCAATGCCTGTCAAGTGTACCTAAAATATTTCCATCAATTAAAATAACTTCATCTAGCAATGTACAAACTTTTGGAAAGCTTCGTATTAATTTCATTGTTAATACACCACCGCCAAGACCAACAAGAAGCCAATTATCAGTGAGTTGAGCATTCTCTAATAAAAATAAATCCGTGATTGATCATATATTTGAAAAAAACCTAAATTGAAGATGAAAACGATGCTTACCAGTTGCTAGAAAATGAGTTTTCAAACCAGTGACAATAACTCCATGATAATCATCCTCCAACGTGGAATAATCAGGTACGACTAAATGATAGATATATATATAAGAAAATCTAATCTCTATGATAAGCATACGATCATTTGTTGTTTTATTTGACATTAAATTGATTTCACTTTGAATAAGATTTGGATTAGAATCAAAACGAAGACGTCGCTTCCATTCATTATCGCTTCCATACCGACAATCTTCAATGATAAACGATGCTGATCGTTCACAAACTACCACTTGTCCAATGCCTTCTGATGACGATAAGAAAGGAATCTATAATCGACATTATTTTGTTTTTGAATTCAATAAAATAGGTTTTTGTGTTCAACCTGAAGATTATCTGATAGATAAACCGGTTTGAAATCAAGAACAGCATTTGTCATTTCAGATTTAACTTGTTCTAGATCACGATATTCTTCATCCGATTGTAAATATATAAATGCTACTGTTGTATATTTAGCATTAGCGATAATTTGTTGTCGACCAGCCGGTGTTGAATAGAGCCAATCAAGATTTCTACATAGAAAATAAAAGTAAAAATAAAATAAAATAGCAAACTCAATCAACCTTGATTTAGGCACTATAAATGCAGCGAATGGCTTATTTCTGTATTTTGTAACACTGTTAACAACAATCATTTGATATCGTCGATTGTTTTGATTATTTTCTGCGTATAAATCTATAACAGGCGTTTCACTACCAGCTACAAATCTATGTAACGAATAAAGTAAAACAAACGAAATTGTTCATTGAACGAACTTTTGTTTGAAATCATATTTTCTAAAACACGTCATTTGACATTGTTTAATAGCATTGAGTGCTTTGGTTAAATCATTAAATCGAAGCCAATTGTTATCTGCATCATTGTATAATTGAATTTCGATTAACTAGAAAGTAGAAAAAAGATATATATTACGAGTACGTTATATCGACAGTGTAGAGAATTTTTGAGTTTTGTCTCTAAGACTATTTTTAGCTGATTAATGAAAAATCATAGAAAGAATATTTCATTGTTCAGAAATTGAATTTAAGTAAAACAAAATCCAAAAGTCTATTCGACATTTTATAGCTTCATAAAGATTTGCTTGTATACCCTGTACAGTCCAAACAATGTCCTCTGTCAAAGAAATAAAATCCGAATCAAGGGATTCATTCGCAAAACAACGTACTACTGAAAATACAAACTTTTGAAAACAGGTGAAATATTTTTTTGAGAATTTTATAATGCGAAGAACGTATTTCATATTTTTCTCTCTATAAACTCAAATAATTCAAAACATACCGGAGTTTTCATTGTAATTTTCGTAAAAACAAATGCAAACACGGGCAATGCAAATGATTTACTAGTTTGAATATGATGATATCGAAGAAGCCATGATCTATTCGATATTTATTTTTGAACTAGTTAATATTCTTTTTGTTTTGAACTAGACTACGTTACTTGCTATTGAAAAAATGTTGTGATATATGTTCAAGAATATGTTTTTGAGCAAGTGTAATACATATAAAACGACCTGTCATACGAAGAACACGATCGACTTGATTTAGAATTTGGTCAATATCTGACACAACCTATTTTAACAACAAATGCAAAAGATAATAGTTAATTACTTCATGCTGTGTTTTCCCCCTACTTGTTCACTTTTATTCGACATCAAAGCATCAACAGTTCCTTTATCTAATACAACACTAAATTGATTATCGTCAAATGTCATCTATTATAGAGAGGAAACAAGTTTCACGCAAACAGAATATATTTTAAAACAAACTTGTCGAGCATCCATCGGTAACCATTTCATATTAGCACGTTTTTTCTCGTTTTGTTTTTTCATTTGTTTTACAACTTTTTCCGATAAATCAATATTTGTTATTTGTTCAATACCCGTATCATAGAGATCACTACTTAATGTTGAATTACCACAACCAATAATTAAAACATCATCACGAGACTTAATATACTTGCAGAGTACATTTGCTAAATCAATAAAATCTGAATACCTAGTAGATCGATGAAATGGCTTTCTTATTTTATATTGAAAATAAATTTCAACAAACCATTCAAAAGCTTCGCGGCCAACTTTATCGAAAAATTGGTCCCAATAGTCACGACTACGAAATTCATCAGCTGCTTTCGGTAATAAATTCATTGTTAGTAAAGAAAATAAATGATTCTACTATCGTGCAGTTACTCGTAAAACTCGATCGTATGACTCATGCGAATGAGTCATATTTTATTTTTGCTTTTCATGATTATCCAGTCATAAATTGCCAAAAGATATCATGCGTTGTATTCCGCCATCTTTCCTCAAAGAAAACAAGACTAATCGAATAATAAATAAGACCACGGTATGCAGAGTGGTAAACTAGTATAGTCTTCTCCGTATGTTTACATAGAAAAATATCTTTATTTCAGAGTTCAACAATAAACGATATTTATATGTGCTTGTAAGACTATCTCTATTTAGTCTCAAATATTGTCGTCCGTTTGTTTTGATTCGTACTATTTACGAGCAACTAGTAGAATTTTTCTGTTCATATTTTTTCCTTTTAGCACAAGAGAGGCATATTTTTGATTAACTAAATCTAATCCTCGATATAATCTCTTTCACTTGATGACAAAATAAGCAGCAAGACTTTGTAGAAAAATGATCAGACGTTGCACTGTCATTGAGATGTAGAAAAACTCGAAGAAAGCTTAAAGTGATTATAATTGAATCATATGCTATAATTAAAGAAAGTGACATTTAAACTCTGCCGTTTTGTCTTCTTCTTCTTCTTCTTCTTAATAATAGCTAAGTTTTTTCATGTTGCGAAAGAATTTTCTCAAGAAATGTATTCATCTAAAACAAAAGAAAAGTCGATTTAGCCTGAGAGCAAAAATGACTCTCGAGTACATATTTTAGGGGAAAAGGTCAACATTAATTTCGCTTAGCGATCTATAACCGTACATGATCTGGTGACATTAAGTTGATAAAATTCATTTTCCTTTATAATTGGCCTAGGAACATTGCTTTGCTCTTTCGAACTACATTGGCATTCTCTGATTTAAACGAAGATGACATAATAAATTTGAAATCGAAAAGCATAATGCACTTTCAAAAAAACTAAAACTTTAAGTAACAGATCACTTTTCGTCTTCTTCAAACACAACAAGAAGCAAAATTGATCACATTGAGAATACCAATAGAAGCATAAGCCATTTTTACTCGAGTTAGAATCGAGCAAAAAAAAATCATTGGATCAGATTTTTGTTATTTCAATATTAATTATATCAGCGATGTCTGTTTTCAGACAAAGAATTATATCATCGGAATACTAATGATGCCAGAAATTTGAGGTCATAACATACAATCAAAAACATTTTGTAGAAAATGTTATTTTAAAGGTTCATTATATTTATTCAAAACCCTCGTATCTATTTTATATAACATCATTATTTCGACTAAGTCATAATCCAGACAAGAAAATTCTTTGACTAGATCTACTTTTTTGCGATAATCTTGCCTTCGTTTTTTTTCTTCTATTGGCAGCCAACTACTTCATTTATCTCCATTTGTAGTCTTGCATGTTATGCCATAATGAATAGCAAGAATCCGAGAAAGAAAACTACAGAATATCCCGAGATAACAGAATGAATCTGTTCTCATTATAAGTCTATTTACTGTTTGAAGCAAAAAATGCATATGCATCGGCTTGCTGAATATGAAATAATGTTGAGACACTTCTTCAGTTGATTTCACCTTCGTAAGACATATGCATAAGAAGAACCAATAATTATGCTATGTCTTCCGAATTCCAAGTAAATCTAAAGAATTCAGCCTCATTATCTATGTTTTACGTCTAAATCAACATCGGAATTTTCAGTTACATTCTTGGCAAAAATAACCCTTGATATTATTTCATACTGTCAACTTCGACTTGCTACAGTAGTTCTTTTATCGAAAAATGCTATCAGAATAAAAATATCACTTAACTTTAAGTTAATATGGATGTTCTACAGAAGGTCAGTGATGTTTTTCATCGTTTACAAAACCAAACCAAACCGTCGGATATTGTTGTAGCAAAATTGATTCGTTTAAAGGTTGATGAACCTACCTGATTTCGTGTCGTTTATGTTCTGTTTTTATTCGAGTCGAGAAAAATAAGAGATCGGCCCAAATACGGAACAAAAAAAGAAAAAAGAAAAGAGCAAAAAATGAACAGAAAAGAACAAATCAGAATAAAAAGAAATAAATAGAATACAATGCGTATAGACCGCATTACACTGAAAAAGAAAAAAGAAGAAAACGAGAGATTTTGATTGAGGATTTTAAAAAAGCGACGAAGTTAAGTGAAGAATGAGGGATGAACAGGGGGACAAAAGAACAAGGCGAAGACTTGAATCGATTTTAGAATGTGGCTGGTGTCACCGTCATTTGAAATTCCCCAGCACTACCACTACTGGCCATTGTCGACGATGCTGTTCGAGATATGGATGACGAAGTCGAAGATAATACAGAAGCAGACGTGGGAATGAGTTGATCACCGGTTGAAACTGTATTTACTGACGTTGATATAACCGTATCAACTGATACTGCATTTAACAATGATGATTGTGAAGATACTGGTTGTAGAGAATCTTCTTCATTTGATGATGACATTGTTGTTGTTGTTGTTGCTATAGTTGGTGCTGAAAGCGGAGGAGAAGAATTTGATAGATTTATTGCTGTTGATGATGATGAAGGAGGCGAAAGACGAGCCTGATACCAATCTCGATTTTGTTCTAGTGTTTCTAGAATAGCACTTGCATCGGGATAAACTAAATCGGCCCATGTCTCCCACAATGGATGTACAATAAATTCAATAAAGCCAACTTGATGTTTTTCAACACTAGCTACACGTTTATTACACATAGGTGAAACTTCTAAGCCAAGATCACGTTCTTTATCACCTTGCCTCCAGAATTCTTCCATTATACGATCGGTCCATTTGATATAAATATCTAGTGGTTTCGTTGGATTTGATAGATCAGCACAATGTATCATATTTTGTAGGACTTGAATTCTATCATCGTATGATTCGAGCATAATTATATTATTTCCTGTAACTTTTTTTGATTCGACCATTGTTTTAAGATCAGCTAATAATTGCATATGTTTAGACATATCGGTTGCTAAAACCATATCAATAACCATTTTTCGTAGAGTTTTTATTTGTTTGGCTGTCAAATGTGAAAATATATTTCGTTCATCAGCTTGCAATAGTTTAAATGCTACAGCTAAATGATGGTTTTCAAGGACGCTTTCATCATTATACATTAAGGCTAAATCACTCTCTGCAAAACAAAAAAAGAAAAGAACAAAAGTAATTAGACATTTTGCTTTATTTTTGTCATCCAGGTTTTTCTATACTTGTATTTATTAAAAACTGATTTGTAACACCGGGATGATCAACATCGTGAACTGCTGATGCGAATATGGCTGACATTATTTCCAATTCAGTAAATACGCCCTATAGTTATCGAAAAGCAAAAGAAGATATTGTTTAAAAAAAAAAGACTAATTTTTTCTTCTCCCTACATCAAGTGCCGAGGCATTGAGCAATACATGCATGGATTGACAAACATCAGCTCCATGAGCTTTGTTATGATAAGGTACTGATTGATAATGATCTTCGAGTGTGAGTAAATACGATATTAGTGTATGTGGTTCAATACCATAGGTTCGTAAAAGCGAACGTTCTTGAAATATTCGATATGTTATTACGGTTAATGGTCGTTGACCACTTAAGTCCTCTATGCGAAATGTATCTAAACCCCAATCGTTAATATGATTAAGTGCTGAACGTAATTCTTCAACATGATGTGTATCAACACCCAGTTCAGGTATGGGGCTCATTATTGTAAATGTTGCTGGTTGTATACCAGCTATTTGACCCATCAATGTCGCTGATGACATTGATGTATCAAGTGTTTTTGTTGTTGTAACTGTTGTTAATTCATCAAGTTGTAGACCACGGGATAAATCAACATCGGGTTCCTTTTTGTCTACAATAGAAGAAAGAAATCAATTATTTTCGTGGTGTTAGTTTTCTTTTTGTCATCAAACAAATCGATTTTACCGGTATAAGTTGAATATAGATAATCACTAATTTGCGCTCCGGATTTATTATTTTCAGCAAAATGGGATAATTCTTTATTGAGCATACGCTTAAACTAAAAAATTTAACAAAAAAAAAAGAGAGGAAACAATTGGTTCTTTGCTGTTTTTTTTTCTTAGAGAAAATATATATTACTTTGAGCGAGGCTAAATCAGAAACAGATTTATGTGTTTGCATTGTTTCTAACTGTTCTAAACACCAATCAAGTTCTTCTAATGTAGAAATTGCTTGTGACAATGAACTGTCATCTATTATATAGCCAATAAACAAATATATTGTTTCGTAAGGCAATTGAATAACAAAAGAAAAAAACAACAACAACAACAACAAATATCAATACCTGATGCTGTTGTTATCAGTGTTTTATTAAAATTGGATATAGCAGCTTGAGCAATACTAAGTTGATTCGTTCTTTTAGCCCTATTTTAAAAAGAAATCGAACTGTTTAGAAAGAAAAATATGATTTGCACAATGAATAGTTTACCTTTCGGGGGGTATATGAGTAAGGTCGACGAAATTTTTTCGTACATTTTTAAGACTGGCAAGAAGCTGAGCAAATGGTGTAACGATCATGTCATCCTGATGCCTATAATATAAAATATATTTGATGAAAAAATAATTCAATCTGATTGTTTCTTTCCTAATAATACTAAGCCGATTATACATTGATCTAATTCACAAATTGTCTAGTAATAAAACTACTTCTGCTAGTATGCATCTCCTTTGTCATGTATAGAGGAAACACAATTATGACAGATTCGAATGCGCATAGAAATATAGAAAAAAAGAAGTGCGAAATGAAAGGTTGAAATAGAATTGACGACACATCTTCAAGAAAACAAAGACGTGACATGTCATCATTCTACTTAGAATTGTCATTGTCATTTTTTTTCTTCTCGACTACAAAGCTTGAATAGAGGGAGCGAGCGATGGAGGAAAAAAGAGAAAAATGACAGTACTTGGCTAGATCTATTTTGTTTAACAAAAACAAGAAGAAGCAGTTATATTCTCTTATGTCTCTGACAATCATGACAACGTGCACGGCGCACACAGAGAAGAATAATCGTGTTTGCGAAACGAAAAACTCTCAGACAAAATATCACGGTTACCTAAATCTTTATTACATATCTACTTTTCCAATCATTTGTTTAGCTTCTTATTGTTCTGACATGTATTAATGACAGTCTTCCTGTTAAACTTTTGACTCTCATTATGGTTTTCGTCCATCTATCTGTTTCCAGACGCAACGATGTTTCACATTGTTTATTCATATGTTCTCTCTCTCAAGTTTCACTGGTCGTTCTCTGCTTTACGCAGCTGTATTGTACTGCTGATTTTGATCAATTGAAATTTGATTTATTTTCTTGTCTCTCGGAATAATTAAACATATTCGCTAATCGTCCGGGAAAAAAAAGATTTTCGTCTCTAATGAATAAAATATTAAAAAAACGAAGTTTTTGTTTTTGCGATCGAAATAATGATCATGAAAGATAAATTTAAAAAGTCAAATTACACCGAGGTAAAATAAAAGTAATACCTTTTTATCCAAGAAACACGACAAGTTGCTTGATGATTATAAGTAGGTTCATTTCGACTAGGTAAACAAATTGCTAATGAAACTAAATGTTGTCGAGTGTCAAAGTCTGTTTAACGCCTTGCGCGTATAATAGATGACGTCTGATGTTTCTTAGTGCTATTAATAGATCTATTTCTGTTTTCTCATTTTTGTTTGCTACTACTTTGTTGTTGCTGATTGGTGCGGATGAGTTGAGTAACAAAGAGAAAGAAGGGAAGGAGGGTAGAGGCGACAAGAAGGTTCTACAGAGAGTGAGCATGAGATAAGAAACAAATGTGTGTCTAACGTTGTTCTGTCAAAAACGCAAATGAAACAAACTCTGACTACAATGCAAGAGTAAAACTCTGGCACCGGACGTGTATAGTGAATAAGAAAAAAAAAGAAAGAACGAAGGAGGATAGATTATAAAACAGCCTAATAGTATAATATGAAAAGAAAAAAAAAGAAGAAAAATGATAAAGGCTAAGATGTTTGAAACGTGTAAATATAAGTATAAATAAATATATCTATATATCTTTAAATATATATTATATAATTATCAATCTTACTTATTAGATAATTTAGAACCAAGTCTAAGAATTGGTTTTTTAAAAGCACTTTTGACACGATCCATAATATTTGTTCTCTTGTCTATTGATCAATCATTCATACTCGTTCTTTCTTATTCATCGATTGCGCGGCATATTTTCGGTGCGTTGTAGGTAGCCGACAGACAGTCAGACACAAACGCATGCCCTAACATTACTACCAGGGTACAGTTGGCAACAAAAGAGATAGAAAGAAAGAGAGAGAGAGAGAGAGCCCGACGAAAGAAGCGATCGCGAAGAAATGAAGAAAGAAAAAGAAAACAAAAATGATGTGGGCGAAGAAGAAAAGAAAAACGATACTCTTTCTTTCGTTCTTTTTCTTCTTCTATTTATCGATTCAATATATTTGAACTACTTACAATTCTGATCCGATGGACGGATTGCGCGAGATACATTTTGGTGAAAGATCATTATCACTGTCACACTTATATAAAAATGATTCGCGTCTATGCATTCCACTAGAATTTGTTGCATTCGTTGCTGTTGCTGTTGTTGTTGTTTTATTGATTGCATTTTGTGTATTATGTTGATGAAAATGGGGTGATGTTGATGATATATTATGATGAGAATTAAGGATACCACGCGATGATGATGAACCATCCACATCGAAACTAAAATAAAACGAAAAACAAATTACTTTCCTTTAGTTTTGAAATTAGGTCAATTGTTAGTTTGTTTTTTTTTTGGTTATTTTCGTAACATTTATGATGTCAAGAAAGATATAAACATTTTCTTTTCGCACTCAAACCACTACCACATGGCATCACTCAACTGCACTTCGGGCATTTCTTTTCGAGTATTGATAAGTAGCTTCCCATTCATCTCTCTGGAGACAATAAGTAATGTCTATATCTGTATATAACTTTACGTATGTATACACGTGTCACTCCCACTTGATCAGCAAAACGTGTCGATGACGATACGCCAAGATATTAGCGATGATGGCGACGAATAAAAATTAGAAAAAAATATGTTATTAAGAAGAAATATATACATAGTCACGCTTCATTTTCCTTTTCTCGTCAAGTGACATGACGACATATCATCGTTTGCATACAGTTATAAACTTCTATTGCTTAACATTACTACGTATAAAAAAAAATTCTTAACATCAACTTCTGCATAGTTTCATTTCTTTTTCAAAATAGCATGAAGACTCGTTGGCGTAAACAACCTATCTACTAGCCTATATGCTTCAGCACATTTATCTTCCTCTTAAACGAATTCAACGTCATTTTAATGATTAGAACAAGAGAAACATTTTCTTTTCTAAAGAAAAGAACTAGTCTATAGGTTATTGGATTTAGTTATCTGTAATATTTCTCCTAAAACTAAATTCCGTTGATTTTTCATACAGAAATGAGGAGAAGGGGACTGGAAGAGAGTAGGAAGTTTGATAAGTTCTTCGTCGTTTCATTGAACTAAATAAGAAATAAAAAAAAAAGAGCGGGTATCAGTTTTCCTTGAACAATATTATATTGCCGAATAGATTGAACTGTTTTATACGAAAATAGTCTTTATAGTCGTAAGCAATATTCTTACTAATGAAAAGTCCTTTCCTTGGGGGAAATTTTCTGATTATTATAACTCTATCTTCTTATTTACTTTCTAATAAATACCATTCGTTTTTGCTGATAATTGATTTAATATGAGATATATTCATGCATAAAGAAATCTTGAGAAAATATTTTGTATTTTTATTTCTTACGTGCTGTTAGTCAGATAAGTTGTACCACTCCATTGTGGACGGCATTTTGGATGATAGGAAACGTCTCTGTTATAACTATTCGTCATTAATAAATTTAATATTTATGATGAAGATTTTAAGTAATAAAATTGAGAATAAATTTGGAAATTGCTCTTGCAGGTGTATGTCTGCTTAGTGTCTTGTCTTGTTTTTTTTTCTTCTTCTTCTTCTTCTTCTTTTAGGCTAACTAAATATACATTTAGCAGAAAAAACAAAACAAGCGATGATAGAATCTTTACATATACATTAGGGAACTATTTATTCGATTGGATACCATAAAGTACTCGTTAATATGTACAAACATCTATATGAAAAAAATAAAAACGATGTGTTACATTTGACAGGCGGCTCTTTCTTTCTTTCTTTCTTTCTTTCTTTCTTTCTTTCTTTCCTTTTTTTATTCTGTGATTCTATGATGAGAGCTCATCGATCATGTTGATGATGTATAAGAACAAAACTAATTGTGTATTAAGAAATAAAGAAAAACCCGACCTTATTCCATCATCAATATCTCTCCCTTTGTTCTGCACTGATTGTCGTAGACTACGACGAAATGTAAATCGTCGACGTAAACGAGACTGTGGATCGCTAGATGAATTTGATAAATCACTTAGCAGTTGTTGTTGTTGTGATGATGTTGATGATATTGATGTTGATAGTGTTTGATTAAATCTTTCGAAAAATGTTTTATTTCTTTTTGATGATGTTTGTTTTTCAGTTGGAGTTGGAATTGATGACGATGACGATGGACTAGCCGTTGGTACAATTGGTACTGGTATTGGTTTTGACTTTATTCGATTTGAAATCATTTGAAATGACCGACTTGTTACGGCCGGTGAGGATGATGACGACGATGAGGAAACTGAAGTAGGTGATAGAGCAAAATAGACGGTAAGCGTCGTCATGAAGGTAATAATGATGACGACAACGGCAGTGATGATGTTGATGATGATGATGATGATGATGATGATGATGTCGTAGTGAAAACGGAGTAGTGAAGAGAATAAGTCCGGAAATCGACGTCGACCGTCAACAACGAGCGAGCGACAACAACAACAATAAATCGAGACTCTCTACTTTCTCTATTATTTTTTAGTCATCGGAACGAACGACAAAGAGTGTTTGTGAAGAGAAGAGAGACAGACAGGCAGTTAGAATGACATTGAAGGGAGGGAAAGGGAGAGAAAGAGAAAGAGCAGATGGAATAGTGCTGGTGTATTGGCTGAAGATAGTATTGGTCTTTCCGTTCGGTTTGCTAGCATGCTTACACTAACAAACTCTAGTTATTTTCTCACTATAACGATTTTGGAAGGATGCAGAACACGAGAGAATAAGAGACATTCAACTTCACATCGGCAAAGGCAATCATCCTAATGGATTTTCTCGCTTCAGCTCACTACGCCTTCATAGACATACACATTCACAGTTTCAAGTTAACAAGTTCATTCACCGATTGAACGAACAATAATTATTCGCATTAGAATGATAGCAATCTGATCCAAAACACTTATTTATTCAGCCTATTGACTGATGTTTAGTAAAATACGAAAGCGCTCATATATATATTTTTTTTTCCAATTTCATCTTTACAAACTATTGAATAGTGAAATAATATATATTAATAATAACTTATACGTTTCCATTTAATGAAAATAAAATATATAATTTTCTGATGGTTTTTTTCTTGTTCTTCATCGTCGTCTTTAATTATCATGAGAGTTAGCAACAATCATGTCAAAGAAGGGAAAAAGAAAGAAAAGATCCATCACATGTAGAAATTAGTATCATTATTACTATGAAATATGTTTGTATATATGTTATATGGACTGATTCTTCTCTAGAGACTTATTATTCTTGTTGTTGGGCAAAGTAAACGACTTTTTTCTTCTCTCTTTTTCTTTGACACAATAAAAGCATGTTTTTTCTCTCTCTCCTACAACCTGTAAGTATGCAATCGGCGAAGTTAAACATCTAGATTAATCTATACCTGTCACAATCTTTGCTTTATTTTACATAAAATTTTCATTCGAAATTTTATAAAAATTCAAATCAAAATCCAAACACGAAAAAAAACTTTTCTGTTTTCGGAAATGCATTATTCTGATTTGATTAAGATTATAAACGAAGATGTCAAGCTTCATTTTCTTTATTATCATCATCATCAATAAAGAACATTATTTTATTGATAAGACCGCAAAAAAGAAAAAAACGACAACTTTGCGTACACAACATTTCTGTTTCTCTTAAATAATGCGGAACGCTGTTCTGACAGGAAAAAAACAACATTCTCTATGTATTATTAGTTTATATATTAGCTCTAGAAATGATAGGATATGTTTCTTAAGATGGATATAATTTACCTGCTTTTCTTATTGACTATTGTACTACTACTACTATTATTAGCACCACCACCGCCGCCACCCGTTATTCTTCGTCTCAATATAATCTGTCCAAGACGAGTTAATAGAGGTGGATTGGTAGATGAAGATACAGGGGGAGCTGTTGTGATATCATCGAGAGTTGTTGAACTTTGACGACGACTATGATTTGATGAAACACAGGAAGTGCATGCGGAAGCCATTCCTCCACGACGGCGACGTTTTTTTGTTGATTTTGTTAATGTTGGGATTGTTATTGATGATGATATTATTGTTGATTTTGTATTTGTTTTTCGATGATTTCGAACAAGAGTTGTTGAAGGACGGCGTGATGAAATACTTGGTGTCGAACTTTTTCGACGTGGGCAAACGATTGTTGAGGTTTGCTCGACCGATTGCCTTCGCGATGAATTTCTTCTCTCGCCGCAACATTGAAATGGAAAGGAACGGGCGTTTACAGAGGAAAAAGAGTTTAGCGTTGGTGGTGACGATGATTTGACTTCTTTTTTTTGTTCAATTAGAAAAGGCCGAGTGGTTGAAGCTAATAATTCCGACGACGATGACGATCTTGTGATCGAAATGACCGGCGGTGGGGAATTATTGGTGACACTCGTGATTGACTTCTATGTTAATGATGACAACGACAACAATGAAGAACTGAGAATTGACATACGCACGAGAACGACTTTGTTTATTGTTGACGAACTACATACATACATACATACAGGCGGGGGCGTTTCTTTCTCTTTCGCTCTCAGTCGCTATTACTGATGTTGCGCTGCTGCAATGGCTGCTGTGGCCTGCTGCTGATGATGATGCTAGAAACGAAGAACAACGACGATGCTCCTGGTGTCCGTGGCACCGGGCGCAACGTCACAATAAAACGCGCGAGAAAAAAAAAAGAGAACGGGCGAACAGAACAGGCCAAACGTACGTACTACTACCTTCTTTTTCTTTTCATTCGACCGTCCATTTTTTTTCTTGTTTTCTTTCTTTCTTTCTTTTCTTTCTTTTTTCCTCTATTACGTTTCAATGAAGTATCGGTGTTGGTGGCAAAAGGAAGACGTGCGCGGGCATGTGTATATAGCGATGAGAACAAACACACAAACGAGCATCAACGACGATTTTTACGTTCTCGTTTGCTTTTTATTACAACAGTTTCTATCAATACTGTTCTTGCGACTATAACTATCGAATCGGCAATGATAAGACTAAGACAGTAACATATCAAAGATATCGTTATTACTCTCGACGTACCAAGTTAAAGTAGCGTCCCATCAACAGCAAAAATCTTTTTGCTTTGCTCTGTTTGCTGCGTAAAAGGCTGTCATATGTTTTTCTCTTTATCTGATGATGCATATAAACAAGCCTAAGTGTCAATCAGAATGTATGGAGAAAATGAGTTGTACTTCGTCTGCATTCTAATGATCAATACCAAACGCAATAGTAAATGATAAAATAGAAAATAGCATTCTATCACCTGGCATTCCACAACAAAAATAAAATAAATCGTTTTTTCTGTTCTCTCTTTTTTTTATTTGTCTTCTTCATCATCTTGTCAGATATTTTCTGACAATTACTTGATTAACGTGTTATAAATAATTAGTTACATAAATAGGCTAATAAATAATCGTTAAAACTGATCGTATGTTTACATTGAAAAAAAAAGAAAACAAATATTTTCACATTTTATGACAATTTATACAATACGATATGATTGCTTGTAAATAAATAATGGCTCGAAGTAGTTTTTTAAGTAGCAACATGTATGCCTTTGAAGACACAAAAATAGAAATGACTTATTTATGTTTCTTTTAATAGTTGGTATTATAGAATTTTCGAAAAAACAAAAATAACTAAATTGTATTACCGTCAACGATCAAATTTATTGGCAAGTGAACCGGTTAATTTTCGTAGTATGTACTTGAATAAAGTCAATATTTTACTAAAGAAAATTACTGAGCTTTCAGCGAACACAACAAGATCGACGTCCTGAAGGAGTTTGTCATGAGAAAAAAAAAAGTACAGATGGTTCAATAAAAGTAAGAAATATTTATCATCAAGTTATTTTTTCTACAACGAGAGAACGGCTCGAAAGATTATTATAATAATGCTGTTTAAGTTCTAAGGCTATAATTGGCTAATTATAGAATTATATTTCATAATCGTAAACTTTTATTTCCATTGTAAATTAGTTTTATTTAATCGCGAGTGTAATACACAATAATCACTTGCTTGTATTTTGGTTTTTCATTATAATAAATAGTTAGTGGCGTCAATTTACATTTCTATATTTACTCTCATGTGTAATAAATCACAATTTTGAAATTTAGACGTTTTTTGATTGACAACTTCTAATGTGCATATTAACACATGGAGCTGAAACCAGGTAAGATAGAAAGCCTACATGGTTGTCTAAAGAGAAAATAGCCCAAAAACAAAATTGATGACGCTGTATTATTATAAATCTACGACTAAAATGTATTCATCGATGTAATGAATATTATATGAGGACGATTACATTGCCTATATCTGCATACTATGTCCATCACTAAAAACCTTTTGGTGGATATGGTGTAAACTATCAAAATGCAATGAAGATTGCAAAAAATGATAATAGAAGAAGACCGCGACGAATAATTTCGAGTCAAAAGTTAAATAACTATGATAAACGTATGATTTTATCTGAATACATTTTTCTTTAGTTACTTACAAAATAGAATTGATAATAAAACACAGGTCAAGCTTATCGAGTATAACTAACGTTTTTATCACTGGTTCAATTTTACTTCAAACTTGATGTATGTTCATGTCATCTTAAAATTGCAATCGTAGTCATTTATTATTATTATTATGAAAGTAATACTATTCTATCTAATCTGGAAATGATCCAGACGGATAATTTGTTGGTTCAAAAAAATAAGAAAAATAAATTTTCATCGTGATCGCGTTCCCTATAACCAAATCAAAGAAAGGCTAAGGTCTAGAATACAAAAGAAGAACATGATTACATGCTTCTCTTTGTTCTTTCATTTCATTAAAGATAGAAGATTTATCTAGTTACTTATATTCAGAGAGAAAAATACCAAGTCGTGATTCTCTAGGCAATTAATTTTTTAATCAGTGGTGATGAATAATAGATAATAGTCATGCAACAAAGGGCTCCTAACTGTCAACCTGCACGTTTTAAACTTGTCTATATAAGAGATAAAAACAAAAAGGTTTGCAAAAAAATAAAAATTTTGCTCACTTAACACGTTTGCTGATAAGAGCAGGTCCAGCTGAATGACGTCGTTCATTTAAAGGTAGAGTAAGAAAATGTCGATATAAATCCATGATCAATATATTAACACGATAGACTTATGTACCATTAGAAAAGCAAACAAAATTATTTTTGTAACTGTTACAAGTATGAACACATAAACCAAAAGCTGTCGGCGAATGACGGAAGGAAAGTGCTAATGAGACAAATGAACGCACACATACAAAGTATATTCATAGTGGTGGCATTTGCCGTTTTGTTTTTGTTCCTCTTTTTATTTCTCTCGACTTTCTTTCTTTTTTTTCTCTCATTACTTTGTCAAACATTAACTCTCATAATAACGAATGAAAATTCTCACCGTATAGAATTGGCATTGGTTATATTTATAAATGAAGTAACATTAGAATTTCGTGACGATATATGTGATACAACACTTGCCCATGAATGTCGACGTTCAGGATTAAATGATGGAACAATAAGAAAATGACGATTCAATGATGAAGACGATGGATCTCGATCGATATTTTCACCTAGCGACATAATGCTAACGTTTGACCGTGATCTTTTTTCTCTCTTCTTCGTCTTCTTCTTATCGTCGATTAGAAATATTAAATGGTTTGGAATAATAAAGGAACACGTGCAGTTCTATGCAGATAGTAGTAGATTATTTGTGTGTCTTATGAATACAAAATAGATTTGCTGCGCCTGAATCGATTCTAGTCTTATAGAATAAGAGGAGAACAAAAGCAGAGTTCGTTCCTTTGAAAGACGCGAAAAAATAGGCACGCAGAGACAGACAATGAGAAGAACGCCTTTACTCGTGGAGTTAGTCGGGCGAATGGATTTTTATATTAATTTATATGGGCGAGGGTCGATCCTTAACAGTCTGTCTGACTTTCTTTTTTATACTGCCTTTTTTTGTATATTCGATGACAATATTACGATAATAAAAAAGAGAGAAAAACAATAGGAAGACGACTCAATCAAAAATTTTCCACATCTGCCGATCGCCGTTGTTAATAAGCGATTTGTCTAAAATCCGGATGCCATCTATTGAAAATCATGGTGATTATATATTTGAGGAAGACTTAATCACAGCAAATAATTTGAAGTGTAATAATAGAATTTTAGTCGAACATCAAAACTAGAAAACGCCTGCATCATTCACTAAGCGAACCACTAAATACCTAATCGAGTTTTTCTGCCGACACTTCCTGTTCACTAATATAAATGTGCATATGCCTACATATATATATATATATATAGAAAGAGAGACAGAGAGATATTTCCTTTTTCTCACTCGTTTTTCCCAATTTGTCGTATCGTTGACCTACTGTCAGTCTCTGTCGATCATGTGTGATTTTTCTAGTCTAACAAGTTCGATTATTATCTAGCACTCTGCGTGCATTTTCGCGATTACTTCTACAACAATTTATCTTAATGGTTCTAGTAGTTTACTAACGATAAGACGTGAGAGAAAGAAAAAGTAATCTTTCTCATTTTTTTCTTCCTTATCGTCTTCTTCTATATAATAATGTCATCATATTTAGCAAGGCTAAAATCTCTAATAATCTATGATGAAGCGGTCTTATTAAGCATATCATCTTGTTCTAGGATCATTAGTGAAGCAAAACGAGACGAGAAAAGAAAGGCAATACACCACTAATGCAATCCATAATGAAAGATGAAAAGCATCAGAACGACGATTATTTCCGGCATAACAACAGATATGTAAAACAAAATTTAATGAATGCTAACAATTTACCACCCGAAGGTTGTTTAATTAGACATTGACAAAAACAGACATAACATGAATCGATATTCTAATGTGCTTTTAGATTTATGTTCGATGTAAAAAAAATATTTCGGACTTGTTTCTATTGTTGTTTTCTTTGTGAGCCGATAAAAAGCGGAAATTCATCGGAACTAATTTGCGCGAAAACTAAAGACTTCTACGTGTTCATTACAATTATCCTATTTTTTAAATGACGTTTCAATGGCTTTATTTCATTGTTATACATCCGATAGCATTTTGCCTTTGGTAAAAGTTAACTATTTATTTATTTTCATAAATAAACGAAAGGCGATATTATTCTGTAATTGAGTAAAAAGAATATTAAATCATATTAAAGACGATATAGAACTTATCCTTTTTCCCATTAGGGCAAAAAAAGAAAAAATAACATCCTTCTCATAATTTATTTTCCTTTTTATTCTTTTTTGAAAACTATTTTCTTCTCGTTACTCAGTTCACTTAATAAATAAATTACATTATCGTATATCAATAATCATAGGCATAAATTTTCTTTTTCTTAATAGATAATGCGTAGCAGTCTCTTTCAAGCACTTAGTCGAATTTAATCATCATTAATAAATGTATGTAATACATAAATAAAAACTTTTTTTCCTGACAAAACAAGTACCTTCGTGTTTGAAATCGGCCATGAATTAAACGTCGTCGACTTGAAGTAGTCATCGCCATTGATCGATTCGAAAATATCGATTTTATTTATATATGTGTATACATATATATATACATACATATATATATATACTATATATCCATATATATTTATATATATATATGTAAAATTTATGTTGGTGTTTATTTGTTGAAAGATTACATTAGAGGTAGTAATATGGTTATGATGTTTGTCGTCTTCTTTTTTTCTTTTCTCTCGGTTTTCTCTTCTTCTTCTTCTTCTTTATCGTTATTTTGACAAAAGCGAGAATTTCAAAGGACACACAGACATAAACCAACACTTGAGATCGATGACGCGTTCATCTTTATTTCCATGGCTTAGCTTTTAGCTTTGCCATTAATATATTTTTTTCTTCTATCTTTTTCGAAGCACCTATTTGCAAAATATAGCTGTTGAATTCTAGTAATGTGTCGGAGAAAAATGCTCATCTTCATCGAGAGACAAAATAGTATAGAAATAAACCGACGAGAAGGCGATTGCATACAACGAAGTCAGTCAAATAGAGTCATCCTTATATCATCAACATGACTAGTCAATGCATTTTTATTGCAAACGTTGAATAAATTGACTCATCGGGTAGATGTTGTTTTACAAAAATATCTTATTGACATACGATAGAATGTGAAATATGATCATTTATTGCTGTGAGTATAGTTAACAAACAGTCGTTTTCTATTTTTATTTTTATGATTCAATTAAAAAAAAATATCCTAGATAGAAAAAGTTTCATTTATTCAACATATCAAAATTGATTTATTTACTAATAGAAACAAAAAACGTCATGATTATTTTTCTAGATTAATAATTATTTGCAGAAAAAATATTTTTCTTCTTAAATCAAACACTAGCCGGTTTCCTATGATTAAAACAAAACAGCACATTGATTAATATTTGGCCAATGAGACCATATGTTGACGCCAGAGAACTCATTGAATTTATAAAATAAAATAAAAGAAACAATTTTCTTCTTCTCCTAGATACAAATATCTGAAAACGAGTAATCGAGTCTCTGTGATCATATGCGATATTTGATTGTTGCTCAAGTATCGAGCAAAAAAGACTCTATTAGCTACTCCACATATAGTGAAAATAACAATAAAACTGAGACTGCTCTTTGAGCTTGATTAAAAAGCAACGCATATATATTCACTGATAACTTTTCACTTATATTTTATGTATTCTTGCCATACAAAACAAAACAACAAACGATCGTTTCTAGCCATTTCAATATACATGATCAAACAAAAACAAGTCTAAACATAATGAGACATTTTTTCATGCAAGAAAAATGAAAGTTTCGATTTATTAGCTACATATGTTAATATCTAAAGGTTCAAACTAGCGGAAAGTATTATTTTGTTCCTCGATGGATATTCATAAAAGAAAATTGTATGACATTGGCTAAGTTATTCATGCCATGCAAGCACTTCATCTGTTGTTTCCACTCAAGTAGAGAGTAGTTTATTTGTTAGAAAATTATAAAGTAGAAAATTGGAGGTTCTACGTTTGTGAATAAGAGCTAAATACTCTATTTAGTAGTAAAAATAGAACTAACTTTTTTTTAGTCGTACCACGAATTTCAAGAGAGAGAGAGAGAGAGATAATCTTAACATTTATATTTTAATTAAAAAGAAAAGAAATTAATATTTCTTTTATTATTCATACAGTAGTATTTATAGTTTCTATTTGTACTAGAAACTTTTTGTTCTGGTGTATTCAGAGGAAAAAAAGAGTTGACGCTACTCAAGAGCTAAAAGAAAGTCTTGCTGTTTGAGAGTGAAATTATCAGGAGGTGCTGAGTAATTCAGCATCTATTTGTGGCATAAATATGAAACCGAATGACAGTAGTGGTAAGAATGAACTGTAAAAAAAAGAAGTTGCGCTCTATATCTGACTAAGGAAATGTGCTTAGCGTTGTTTTCATAAGTGCTGAAAAGCCTTTATTGTTTATTCATACTTAAGAAAAATATGTTGCATCATTTCTTTTCTTTTATCCACTGTGAGATAGTTAGGATAGTTCTGTTAGCAAATATATTCTTTTTGTTTGTTAAGATACAAATTAGGTCGATAGAATTCATAGAATGGTTTGGGAGCCAGTCAAGTGTTCAATTCAAATGGATTTTGTGCAGAAATTTTTATAGATCGGTTTTGAAGGCCACGTTTTTCTCATATATGTCAAACTTGAAACTTGAATTCAATTGAAAATTGAAATTTGAAATTTTCAACTTTTAAGCCAATAGCATTCTGAAGAATCCGTGACTCACACATATATCGCAATGAGTTGAAATTTTCTATTTTCAGCTGAATTCAAGTTTGACACTACTGGTTTGCCTAGAATGTCATTTTCAAGAGCACAATATTTTAAATAAAATGTAGCCTTGCAGACGTTTCTGTGACATTTTCTTTAACAACTGTCCGCTTCACAGCAAGTAATAAATACACTTTTAGCATTACTTTTTTAATAATCCGATTTGTAATGTTCCTAACTGTTCCATGAAAGATCATGGGAAATTTAATATTTTTAAAAATTTCTATATTAGATTTAAGAAATTTTCATTAATTGTTAAAATCATCTAGCAGTCGTGAATATCTATGGGGAGAAAAATGAACCCCAATGAAACTCAAATCGGCATTTACACTAAGCTGAATAATTGATTTCGACTGCTAGGAAAAAAACACGACTTATCGTTATGTTAAATTAAGCATGCTTTCAAGATGTTTATTAAAATATCATACTATCTGACCAATAATTCTAATTAGCATGTTTACGATTCATTAAATCTACGGGCTAATTCAATGAGAAACAATATTGAAAATATTCATCTACTTCATAAATTCTAGTTGAATATTCCGATTCGTTTTTTTTTTCTATTAAAATATTTTCTTTGGCCAATCTATTTCAGTCTTAACAGATAACTAACTAGGTGTATTGAAAATTTCTCGGATATATATATATATATACGCATATGTATATGCAGAAAATAGAACTAATTATTATAATTAACAAGAATGAAACGACTAAAACAGAAGTAGTTTACTTTTCAATATATCATTATATGTAGAATCTAGCTGATTTACCGTGTCTGCCGATAATGATGTTGATGATGATGATAATGATGTTGATGCTGATGATAATTTGCTTTAATTCCATTGACAGTCAGAAATGTCGTTGTTGGATGTAAGGAATTTGCAGGGTTCACTGTTTCTGGCAGTGCTGTAGTACTTGTTGATACGGATGCATGTTGTTTTATACTAGCTCGACTAAATTTAACTAATGATGGCGAACATGAACTCAATGATGATCGTTTCAAAACATCGACTGGTGGTGACGGTTCTGGTAGTGGTAAACAAAAATCACGAAGATGAGCTTGATGTGAAATCGGAGATATAGGTGACCAAGCGGGTGGAACTGTCGGTAATATATAACGCCGAGCAGATTTTAATATTGGTCTTTGAAACGATATTGATGGCGGACTAAATAATGATCCCGACGATAGTTCGCTCCAACGAAGATTACTAGTCGCTGATGTACATGAGGAACAAAAACTTGGACTAATTAGATCGTGCCGGCGACGAGTAACCATAATAATTATAATTTAAAAAAAAATAATATGTTTCAGTAAAGATCAAACTTCCATCTAAAGTAAGTGTCGTATTGATAAAATACGCTAGTTGATAGTGTTGTGGCACGTTCAGTCGAAAGGAATTATGCACGTGAACATAATACACATTAAATTAGTTATGACTTACAGTTCCTTTTCTTTCTATTTCTGTCTCGACAAGTCGGTGTTTTTCCTTTTTTTTGGCGATAGCCGTTCCCTCGGTTTATGTTTATAAAGGATAAGAATAAATATATTGAGATATAGGAACTACAAATGAAGAGAGTGTAGGAGAAAATACAATTGAAGTCATGTTCTTCGACTCGTGGCAATCATAAATTTCCCTTGTTTTTTTTTACAGTGCTTGCAAAAAGCTGAAAATATAATATACACTAGGTTCTGTTTTCCCTTGTTCTTCTCGTCCTTCCTTTGTTTAGAACTGAAGCATGTATCGATAAATTAACTTAGGACTAGTCACCTCCGGGTTTGTCTACGTTAACTCTTTGTCACTCGCAAATAATTCGTCGACAGTAGACTAGATCATTCAGTAGCTATACTTATTTCGAGTATTCTTTAGTGTCTATTATAGAATTCTTCAAAATCGAACGAATAATATTACACTAATTTCAAATGAAAACAATTCAGAATTAAACTTCATTGTCGCGGTTTTTTGTTATGGTTAACTATGTCATATTCTAAGCAGATGACAATGATAGTTATTCGTAGTAGAACTAACGTAAAGGTAAAAACAAAAGTGTTTTTTTCCTGTCTAGCCATATATCTATCGCAGTCTCTCATCAAATCGACACCGCCCGATTGGTGTCATTCACCAATGGCAATGTTTCTTTCACGTCACGAATAAACCCTTCCTATTGTATGTTGGCGGCAAAAAAGGCACTTAACATAAAGAAACTATAATTTGTCAAGCAGATCAATTATTATTGAAATTTTTTTCGACGGCTTATCAAGAAGAAAATAAATTTTAATTATATTCGTGTTTATCTGATTTGTTGTTTTCATTTAATTACATATATGCGTCTTGATGTGTTTTCTCATGTGAACGATGAAAAATACGTCTACATTTATTTGAATAGTTTTTTTTTGTTTTCTTACCACATACCCATAGAGAATATAGAAGAATAAAATAAAAATCCACTCGAGATAATTCCGATATATATGGGGCTTAACGTGTTTTTGAAAGAAATGAAAGACATGCGCCGTCGTTGATGCTTTTCTAGATAATGCGCATCTCATTTTGTGGTTGGCGCTATGATAGAACGTATAGGTCTCGACTTAACGATTGAGATCAATCGAGCTCCGTCGACAGATATAGTGAACGCATAGAGTCGAAAAATATGAATTAATGGTTGGAATTGACACACACACACACACGAATATTTATCTGTTCACGATTAGATTTCACAAGAATTTCCGAGATATTTTCGAGTGAGCGACTTTAGTTTGTGAAAAATGGCAAGTAACCTATTGATAATTGACAATAGAAAAACAGGAAAACGAGCGCTATTGAAAAGTAATCTATGAAAATCAGATACAACGTCCGGACTTCTTTTGTTATGCTGATTATTTTCGAATGATTATTATTACTTTTGTGGCGATGCCGGACATATTTCAATAGTATTCTACTCTCTTAGAAAATCATTTTAAAATGATACTTCAACGATTCAGGATAACTTCTCGAAGATTCAAAATCTTGTTGGATATTCATTCTAGAGACTAACATGTTCTGATCTATAGAATCAATTTTAGGTGGTTTTGAGAAAAATTCATCGTTCTCTCACAAAAAAACAAAAATAAATTTACTAAAACTTACGATAAATAAGTCTACTGACTTGATATTCGATGGCCAATAATTTTGAACTTTCATCTACACATAAGAATACGCAGCACATGTATCATGGCGTCTTTTAGCAATATTCCAGTACCATAATCTGATAAGACGAACAAATCTAGAACAATATTTAGTCTCGAAGTCTCTATAATCAACGTGCGCCTAAACCAAAAACAGTTTCCTTTCAAAAAGAAGCATCTATTTCTTTCAACACGCGCCCGTGAAAGACATAAAAATGTGACAAAAAGTATCGTTAATTACGAACCGATTTAAGATAAAAGTTTTCAATGTAATAAAGATTCTAAATATAGAATATATGTTGTTTTCGACGTAGTCAGACAACTGCAATGAATTCCATTGAGCCAGAAAATTGTCCTATAGAATTAGCTCGCATAGAACGTATGCGTACGAGACATGACAAAAATAGAATTGGAAAAATATCGAACAACTAATAGAAGACATGGGGAAAAAACTGCATCAAGTGTTCGCGTTTTCTTTTTGTGAACGAATAAATACTATAGAAAATAGGAGTAGGATCAAAACTAGGAATCGATCAAAATGATAATCATATTAGCAAACATCATTAAATTGATATACGTCTCTTTTTATTTCGAAAAATTCTATTATCATAAAGTTAATGTCCAAGATGATGGAGAAAGCTGAAAAAAAATACTACATGATGGTGTTGCTGCTGATTCTCATTTTTAGTGAATGTTATAAATCTAAAGATTGATATTTCTTTAGAAAAAAGATGGATTAAGACAAGAACGATCGTCACACACTTCTGAAATATTTTTCTCAGGCAACAAAATGACTCCACATGATCTTCAAAGTATTTCACAACGGAAATGATCTTTCCTCGCTCTCTCTGAAAATCTGCAATACGCCACTTAGTATGAAGTAGTTATAATAAGTGGCTCTTCTTATATATCGTATATGAATATTGAATTAATGTTTCAGTTCCTCATACAATGTAGTTCAACAAAAGAAGAATAAAAGCCTGCAAGCTCTGTGCAACACTGTTTTCTGTTCATGATTTATACAAAGCAAAAAAAAAAGTTGATCGAAACCTTTATATACCCACTTATTTTATTCAGATATTCAATAAAAGTTCAGAATAATATAAAAGTCGAGAGAACTATATTTTATAGGACAGGTTTTAACACATTATCGAGGGCAATTGTCACGACACTTGAGATTATCGTTATAGTTTGTGTCAAAAGTACATGCAGCAATACAAATACCTATGACGTCCGATGATGGTAGACATGAACCTGTTTTGTTTAATGGTGTCAGCTTGAGAAACGGGACACCAAATAGCACTTATATCATTGAGTGTAATTATACACTAATTATTTAAGGGACAATCTTGATGAGTTGCGCCACGACCACAATAATAACGTGCAAGTGAAATTTTTCCAGTCAGGACATCGAACTGTTTTAATTTTTTGACAAGTCCCATCTGATGGAATTATTATGAATACAATGCAAATGATAGATAAGACTTTGAGTCATGCCAGTTCTCTTTCGAAATCTATAACAATAACGTTTTTAGTTATGCAGTCAAATCGTATTATTCAATGTCATATTCTTGACGGATATTTATATACTTCATAAGGTGTTTCCACGGGCAACAGATGGATGTATAGGCACATTGTTTTCATTTGTTGACTAATACCCAAGCAGACAAACTTTTTCAAAAACCCGTTTAAACACTCAATCGGGAACCGCGATTGTGGGTCATTAGCGCTCATTAATGAAACGCAAGAAACGCGTTTTTTACGCAGAATTCTCATTTTCCGAACGTGAAAACGAATAAAAACTCGAATTCCGATCGTTTAAACGCACAATTATTCGATAAATTAAAAACCAATTCGTTTAAACGCTCAAAATTGGAGTTTCTATGCGTTTTCGCGTTCGGAAAGTGAGAATTCTGCGTAAAAAACGCGTTTCTTGCGTTTCATTAATGAGCGTTAATGACCCACAATCGCGGTTCCCAATTGAATGTTTAAACGCGTTTTTGAAAAAGTTTGTCTGCTTGGGTAGGTTTCATTTTTAGATTATATGAGCCAGTCCACGTAAGCGATGTCCGAACCTGCTCAAACGATGTAATCTGACTTTGCTCAATTTAATATATGTTGTAGAGAGAAGACTTCTGAGAATTTTCACGAAAGCCATTTTGAAAAATATTGAACGGTTGATGTTTTATGATCATCTTACGAAAACACCCAAAAATGGCCATTTTCATTGAGTTTGACTTCATGTGGTTATATCTCGAAGTTGAATCTATAGAATGAGCTGAAATTTTGTACAGGCATATAATTTCATGAATTCTACTCACCGTAAAATTTGCGTCTCGAAATATCGAACTGTTGAAATTTCATGAATCCTTTGATATAGGCGAAAATGAGCGTTTTCGGTAACTTTGCTTGTATATAACGTTTGATAAAAATAAGATGGGTGCGTTAAATTTTCACAGCAGATTGAACACTCATAGATCTATGCTACCTGAAAATTTTAGTCATCTATCTTATTTTGTTTAGGCACAGTAGGCTCCTGAATAATGGGGTTTTCCGGAAAATAGGTGTTTTCAGAATGATTTTTCTCCTAAAATATGAGTCACTCGCGGAGCTGCTTTTTACAAGTTGGTAGCCCTATTTCTGCTCTACAATTCTATAAATGGCCTGTACAGCGGGTCATTTTCGTATAGGGATGTGTGAAGCAGTCGCCGAAAGTTACCATTGGTTTCCACTAGAAACCACTGACTATGCGATTACCGATTTTCATGACCGTACATTATTTATAGAGACGAGTTTTTCCCGAATTTCTGTGCGAGCAACTTCAAAAAAATATAACACCGTTTTTGGGATATTCAAGCTGTTCTAAGGTCAATTTGGCGAAAAAATCACTTCTTTGTGATTTTTTTGACACCGATATGTTATGAAGAATACATCTATTTTAATTCAAATTTTCACTGTGAGTCTGTTTGAAGTCTATAGGTATTTCCTAAAAGAAATGAGCTCAAACGTATCAAAGATTTGTGATTCGACTTCAGCAGTCAAATCGCTGAATAATAGAGGAATTGTTGATGTTTTGTGCATTTATATATCAACTCAACAGATCGCAATTCAGATCTCGAATTAACATCACAAAGAAGTTTCTTTATTAAGCCGAAACAGCTTTCTCGAAAGTTTTATTCGTACTGAAAATGTTCCTCTACACAAACGAGTTTTCCGTGATTTTCTGTGCTGAATTTCTCCCAGAAAGAACAGGATTTAGTTGTGAATTTTATATGTATTATCATCAACTTTGGAGATACTCTCCAGTTATATGGGTTTGAAAGATTTGAAATCAAAGCTGTCTGCTAAGTAGGCGGGTTTTTATACTCGATTTTGAAGTTTTCATCAATTTCTTGAACTGCCTACTGAAGAAATAGAGAAATTTTGTGAAAATAAAACCATATATTCCTGGTGAATTCAAACCAAACTACGAAAAAAATGATATTTCAGCAACGGTCGGACACTTATGAATCGACCATTTTTTAGTAATTTTTGTTTTTTGAATTTCCATGCTTTCTTCAAACTCATTCATCATAGAATTGAATACGTATTTTCGTAGTCTCTAGCTAGGACATTATGGAAATTATCGTTTTTCCTTGTCCGAAACCTCTTCTTACTCAATAATTAGCCAAAACCTTCACCAGAACTTCAAAATTGGCACTCAAACGACCTTACTTATCAGGCAGTTTTCATTTGAAGTCTCTCAAAATTCTATAACTGGATAGTACCTCCAAAGTTGATGATAATACATACAAAATTCACAACTTAATATAGTTCGTCGCATAAGAAATTATGCTTCCAAAAACATGCAAATCTCATTCTATAGGTTCAACTTCGAGATATAACCACATGAAGTAAAACTCAATGAAAATGGCCTTTTTGGGTATTTTCGTAAAATGATCATAAAACATCAACCGTTCAATATTTTTCACAATGGCTTTCGTGAAAATTCTCAGAAGCCTTCTCTCTACAACATATATTAAATTGAGCAAAATCAGATTACATCGTTTGAGCAGGTTCGGACGTCGCTTACGCGGACTGGCTCATATATGGAAGTAATTAGATGTCGTCGGCGACTATTGTGAAGAGTTTTCGATGATATAAATAAAGCATAATAAATGATATTTAACCTATTTCTATTAGGATATTATCACGCATATATTTCTTTTATAATGCTAATATATTGATTATTGCATATTAGTCATGAAAAATTAGATTCGAAAGAAACTAACAGACATGTATGTTCTCATGTTTAACCGAAAATGAGATATTGAAAGTTAGAAAATCTAGATAAGTCATAATTTGACGAAGAATTCAACGATACACATATACCAACGTTGTAGTGATGCAAATGAGATCAACATTTTTTTCAACAGAAGTGAAAATCATACAGGCGAGTCTTAAAAATATCCTGCAAGAATCTTGCGATTGTAGCGTAGCATAAGGGAGCATGTCAAAATGGTAGCAATATTTTTGATCCCCAATCTATTTTATTGTGAAATGATCACAAAAAAATATATTCGATCACCGAATTTATTATCAATACAATAAGAGATAGAATAATAAATAGCAACTATAGTTACACAAAATACAATAAACAATGGAAACAGAAAATATGTTCTACCAAAATCATGGTAACCATGCTGTTCGAACTTTTTTTGTACTTGACATTTTTAGTTTTCTGCATTGTTATGATAGAGCATTTTGTGTAACTATTCCCAGTTAATGAGATCATTTTGATTCAATTATGATTATTGTTTAATTATGTCTTATCAATCTGTTGTCTTTTGAGATAAATACGTTATCTACCACAACTCTACCATTCATTCCACAAAAAGCGAATTGGTGATCAAATATATATTTTTTTGGTGATTAATAGTCATTTTTTTGGGGATCAAAAGTCTATTTACCCCCAAGGAATATTCACTAGAAGTAGCAATGTACATCAAAAGAAACAGATCACACCTCAAAATGTAATTAAAATAAATTGCTTATGCCGCGGCAGAGCGGCCGGCCGGACGGCAAACATTTTGATATGCTCCCTGACTCAAATCTTCTTGCTCATTCTCAAAATAATACATCTCCAAAGTCATTGTTCAATCACTGATGGACGAATGCAAGATTAAAAAGTGAATACTACTAATAACGCCTTCTATCGAAACGAAGAATAATCTACTGATGATGATAAAAGTATAATCAATGTGTATTTGAAGGTCACCTGAAAGATTAGACTTTATTTAGAAAAGACAAATTATTGTGTCGGATATAACCTAAAATTAGTTTTTAATATTTATGGTTAAAAATAACATGTATAATAAGTTCCTATGATCAAATAGAAGCTAAAGATTGATAATAATCACATGTGATAAAAAAAAAAAGATAAGTGCAGAACAAGAATTTTCTAGGATTCTAATTAAATTATTTTTGATAATAGATAATTAAAACCAGTAAATCTAATATTCCTATACGATAAATAAAAATAAAAATAAAATGATTAGTCCAAAGCTCCAAATCACTTATTATTCGCTTTATGTTGCATTTGTAAAACGCAGTATACTAGAATTATCAATATGTAGAACATTGATTAATAATTAAATCCTATTATTAATGGTTCCTTACTTTTCTCCATTAAAATTAATAGAAATATAATATTATTATAGTTTCTGCTCTGATTCTTCAAACAAAATCGGTGGTAAAATCAATGCACAGCATAAATATTACAAAAAAATGAACGCAACTCTTGTTTTTGGCTGCTAATTTCACTACTCTCTGGGCCGTATTTCATTGCACACACAAATTATCGCGTTGATATGACATTCATCACACGTAGTGTTCGGTACAAGACGGCATTCTTTCAAACTAAATAAAATTCTTGGTCCTGGCTCAGGAACTAAATTATCTATATCAAAATGTGTCCAATTTTGAAGAAAGCACTAATGGACAAGCACAATAGTTGCAACCATATACATGCATTAGACTGTTATCTAGATAAATCACTATCATTTCGAAGATAGCTCATAAAAAAAAAATCGACGATTACATGGTGAATACTAGTTTCCCGACTTAAACATTAGATGCAATAGCACATAAAAGAAAAAAAGATTATAAGACGGTGCGCGCATAGTCAATCTCTAGAATTCTAGGTCCTTATCTAGATAAATCTGTTTCCTATTAATATACTATAAAAAATATACAGTAGAATGAATATTCCGATTGATATGAACAATATCCTTTTCATCTTTTTTTTGTTGCTTACCGAAAAGCAAGATGATCGAAATCATCTTAGGGAAAATGCACTGGTTCGATGCACGTATGAACATCTGACTGATAATCATCGCTAGATATTTATCTTGTCTATCAAGAAAATAGCATGCTTTTTCTTCTCTCGCGGTATTATTAAATCTCGTTATGTGTTAGATAGCAATAGAAAAGAACGCCGATCAAATATTTCTGTTGATTAATTTAACCAGCAGCCTAGTCAGATTGAATAGTAGTCATGTAGAATCTTTATTTATCTGACAACGAAAATATTGAAAATTCTTTGTGACGTTTATAAGGAAGCGATAATAAAATAATCTCTTTATATCATGAAATCATAACAACTAATGAAACATGATAAAATAACGTTACGCACAACTCATTCAGGCATACGATAAATAATGATATTTGCAATACATAATCAAGAATTATCAATCTATTTCCAGTAGGACACTCCAAGCATTAGGGTCGACAAGCGTGAAAATATTTTCCCTCGAATCAACACTTTTCAACTTGTATTTTATGAAGAAACACTTCGACAGTATTTGTCAATGTCATTTTGTCCTAATTGATATATTTACTAAAATGGCAGTTTTGTTTTTGTACTCGTTGGAAAGATGAGTAATTAAAAACAACTATTTATGTAGGAAAATGAAATCTATGAGTTTTATCGAAGAATGAACACTAGAGACTGTTTACAAGATTGACTTCTGGCTATGAATTGTGTCGAGTGAAAAGCAAAAGAAAAATGGCTCACGTTCCTTTCATCCGATTTAATTAGCACATGTTTTAATCAACTCTATCACGTACTTTTTGATGGATGAAAATCACTTGATTTCATTTCATTAGGCAATGCTTTCAATAACAATGAGAAAAAAAATGCTGTCAAATAAATAAATCTTGTTTACTAATTGGCAACTACAAGATTCTACATTCGAGTCTTTTTTTTGTTGGTAAAATTTTATTTACAATCATCTTAAGACAATGAAACTAAAATTTTTCCGATAGTATTCAATCATTTACAAAAAAGTTTATCATCTTAAAACATCTACTTTGTTATATATGGCTTCATAATGAGGATCGCCCAGGTAGCTGAAAATATTTTCTTTATATTTTTAAATCAAAACAACACATTAATATTTATTAAAAACAAAAACATCTACATCATCATAAAACTAAGTTCCAAAAATCGTTTTGTCGAATTCTTTTAGGCGATTACTCAAGCATAGTTTAGGTGACCTAATCATTAATTACATGTTCATTATTCATCGGAAATCCGGATTAATGTTCATCATAAATAAGGATCTGGTCGGCAACTCGAACTAGTTTTAGTTTATTTTAAAGGTCTGCTTGTTTTCTTTTGTTTTCTTTCTATTTATTGATTAATCATTTCAATTCATTCAAATACTTGTTCAATGACCATTAATTATTCAAATAAATAGAAAGAAAAGGAGAAAGAACAAGAAAAAGCAAGATGAATACAGCATAAAACAACATTTAATGGAAACTCTGTACATTTGGGAATACTGATCGATAAGAGAAAAAACACACACACACACACGACAAATAAAACCGGTAGGCAGCAACAGAATTGCAAATATTAACGTCTCAGTTTTGTCTTCTTTCTAAATCACATTCGTTTCCACATCATAAATTCAATTCTGTAGTTAACAACAGAATAAACGAATATACAACACAACGCCACGCACAACATTGACTTTTTTTTGGTTTTTTATTTTATTTTATTTTGCTTGTCGTATTATATTGGCATTTCGTTAAACTTTTTTCGGTCCACATTCCATCGCTTCATCATCCCATTCTAATTGATGATCATTCTTTTTCGCAATTATTTCATTATTCTCATATTCCTCATCCTCTTCATATTCTTCATCTTCCTCATAAGATGAATACTCATTACGACCTTGTTCATCGTATTCATCTTCATCCGAACAACTTGTACCTTCATATTTATGTATGGTCTGTGTCATATTATGAACATTCGTTGTTTGGTCGGGTTTCTAAATATCAACACAGAATAATTACAAATATATATTATAATAATAAATCAACTGACTTTTGTTGTTTCCAACGGATTGACAATGATGTTAAGTCCAATATCATCTTCCCATTCCATTTGAGAATGTACATCATCGCCTGTACCCGCTAATGGACTAGGTTGTTTATTACCCGAGCGAATACGAACAACAAGATAAAGAACAAGTACGCTAGCAAGACCCACTGATACACAGATAACAACGACAATCGGCCAACCTAAAAGCATTAGAAAAAGATATTAATCTTATCATGTCAATGATATAATCATGTGTGCATAACACACACCTGTCGAGAAATATAATTTCCTTCTAATGAACTTATCGATCGATAGATAGATGATGTTCTACTTATTTATCTGTCGATAGCTACTTTCTTTTTGATTGCTTGTGTAATCAGTCAGTGTTCTTATCACTTTGTTCTTTTTGTTTTCTATGACTACCACTGGCAATATCAAAGTAAATTGAGCAATAAAAAAACAAACAAGAAAAGGGCTTGCATATATATAGTATTAGGTTAAAGTTCATTGCACGTTGAGCGCCTGCTATTACTTATGATGATCAAATAGCTAATTAATAGGATATGCGTAACTAGTAAATCAAAAAAGTCGGATTTTTCTATTCGACCAACGCACTGATTATCAAGAATAGAAAATTATCAAAGCATGTGACATCTGCCGTATGGCATTCTACCATATCGAATTCGAGAATAGTATCGGCTAAGAATGAATAACCTTTTATTTTTTGATTCGATCAAGAAACTTACCTAAACTTGGTGGCACAAACATATTCAGCAAAGCAAAAAACAGCAACAAAAATGTATTTAAAACGAAATAATATAGTGTTAAATCGCTGCCGTCAATAACGATAATAACAATAGTTGAGTAGATGCTTGACGTAGGAAAGTTCTGACTATGACGAACAGAAGCAACAGAAGCAGAAGAAGAGAAAAAAAATGTTGTCCAACGATGAGATGCGAGAGCGCAAACACGCTCAGGCAGATACTCGATTATTTTACAATAGACTTGCACTCATTTCTCTCGCTTTTTTTTATTTTTGTTGGCTTCTTCTTCTTCTTCTCTATGTATAAACCCGAGAGATAATGATAAGCAACAACGAATGGAAAAAGAAAAAAAGAAGGAAAGAAAAAGCTCGTCTTATTCTCTTCCTTATGCAGAACGACATCAGAATAAAAATACGCATGGAACCATTCTAAATGATTTTCTTTAAAGCTTTGATTCTACTAGACTTAGTGTTTAGTCTCATCGTATGTGAGAGAATACTCCATATTTGTTTGTATTAAATCAATCATATTTGTTTGCACATATATTTATATATAGTACAGTGAAGTTTGATTGGCGATAATTATAATTTTTTCTATGGCATCTTTACTATTCTACTGTCTGTCTGTCTGTCTGCAATATGTTTGTCCTTCAATGCATAAACATCAGATATTGAGTTAGTTTGTGTGAACAGGAAATAAATGGTGTAATATCATACCAACATTAGATGCTACAATCAGTACTCTTATATCACTTTGTATGTCTTTCAGCTGCAACGTAAATCATTATAAACTCTAAGAAAATATGAAGACAGATGAGCTTGTATTATTATTGTTCTGAACGGGTTAACAGTTGCGACATACGCATATGCATAATATTTATCTTAGTAAGAGAAAAAATTTTACCTGAACTATTTTTCATTGATCGAGAATTTTCTGCCATGTCAAATATTGTATCTCTAATTTGATCGTTATCAACATATAATTTATTCGATAAAACTGCAGCAGCAGGAGCTGATGGAGCTGCTTGTTTTTCTGTGTGGATCTTTATATGAAAGAAAATCAATTGGATAAATTAATAAATTACTCAATAGAAAAGTATTTACTCGAACAAGAATTTCATTTGTTGATACTTGATCATGTGTTTTAAGACAAACAAGTGAAAATATTCGATCGATATATGATGTGGGTGATTTCGATGAATAGACTATATTACGTAGAATACTTTGATACGATTCAATTGAGCCAACGCCTAAATGAGAAAAAAATAATATGTACACCAGGTATTCCTCTTCTTGATTTCATAACGATAAGAAACAAGTAGTGTAAGCCCCAGAGTTAATTTCACTATTCGACGACGAGTTTCATCGATCAGTCATTAGATATTCCTGATCAAATGCAATGTCGTCGAGAATCAGACTCGAACCTATCCATTCTGAAGCATTTAACTATTCAACTAAATCTACGTACCTGTTAGAATCAATCCAGTTTGTGTTAGATCTTTTTGCAGATTATTTATATCTAGAGTATCATCAGATACAATTAATTGTTCATCGTTGGTTAGATCTGGTGATGTATTAATACTGCAATCACTTAATTCTACGTCAGCTCTTATTGTAGCATCAGTCGAGATTGACAAATTTCCGAATAAATAAATTCCTTGATCAATTATTTGTTCCGATACAAAAAAGTTGGTATCGCCTTCGAGTTCGATGTTTTTCGAAAGAATAATTTCATCGATTGATAAACGTCGAGTAAATTGTGGTAGATTATATGTATAATTTTCACCTAAACATTTCAATGTAGTTTGTATTGATACTGTTCGTTGACCAGACGGACCAATCGGTTGAAATGTATTACGATAAACAATATGTTTTAATAATTCTTCATAAGCTGCACTGGAATCTGTACGTAAATTCCAAACCGATCGATTTGAATTACTACTGAATGTCTAATCAAACAAAATAAAAATCAAAGTAATCGTATTTTGTTCGAAAATTATTAAAAATCTTTACATACAATGCTCGATTGCTCTTGAATATCTGGCATGTCAATATATTGTTGACAATCTTGAATACAAGATTGTGTTTTAGGAAATTCTTCTTTTTGTTCAATTGTAAGACCTGATAGTTGACCATTAAAATGTTGTACCATACGAGATGCTCGAGCTAAAATTCAGAAAACAAAATTTCATCAACATAATCGGTATCTAGGTCTTGCTGTCAATTTTAGTTGAATACAAATGTCAAGGAAATTCTTGTTTTCTCGAGAGACAAAAGAAGTATGTATCTCAACTCATTGATAGAGTAAAGTTCTTTTATTCGTACTATGACGCACTACAAAGATTGTTTCCTTCATTTAATGGTTTAATATTGACAAGTGAACGAAGAACATTTTGACACTAAAATGCAGAAAACTACAAAATAACGATATATGATTTCGATTTCTTTTCTCTCATTTCGAATTTTAAAGTTACTTAGTTTTCTAATTAGACAATTAACTTTTTTCGAGGCAAGAAAAATACTACAAAATTTTAATATATATCACGATTAGAGGTGTTAGCCGTACGGCTGAGCCGTTGCGCCGCTGCAAGAGATAAAAATTTTTGATAGCGTTATTCGCCCCCACTAACATCAATACATATGCGATCGAATCGAACATTTTTCTTTTAATTTTAATCAGTGAATTTTTAACTGAGCCGCCGCCGCTGTGAAAAACAATTTTAAAAATTTGTATCAGCCGCCACTGAAGATATTACTCATTCAAATAACGAGCCGCTGGAAATCTTCAAAAATTGAAAATTATTGCCCGCCACCGCCGTTCAACCCTTCGGCTGACACCTCTAATCATGATATCAAATTTTGAAACGCACATACTAGTTAATGAATATTATTATGTTGATAGCGAATTCATTTTTCTATATATTATTTTAATACTGCTATGATTAATTAATTTTTTTAGCGGAGCTTGACAAAGTATCACGAACATACTCCTGTCGCAGGCCACTTCAAACATGAAGGACAAGAAAAAGATTTTTTTCAAGGCTTATTAAAATCAACTGATGCTCGCAAACTCCAATCTGTGTCAAGAAGAAAAAAGACATAATCCTAGTCCTTATAATTTTGACATGGATTTTCTTATCATAGCTAAATTAAAACTTTCTTACCGTGCCAACAAGCTCCTACAGCAAAAATCGTCTCTCCGGTTCCTTCGATAATCGGTAATGCAAAGTCTTCAACGATTCTAAAATTTTCCTCTGTTGGTACAAATAATTGATCATCAATATATAAATCAGTCTGTAATAGATAAGAAAACATTTGTTTTACAGTAGAAAAATAGCTAAATGAAGAATCACTTACGTTAATAGGATAATTGACAAATAATTTGTATGAATGCCATTGATTATCATTGATTTCTGATAACTTCCAGAGCCATTCCGATGCATGAAGGATTTTGTCATTAGTTGATAATGGACCAGCACGTATTAATAATTTTAAATTGCCGTCTTGAATAAATAGAGCAGTATGATGACGATTTTTAACTGCAAAATAAAAATGTTCATTTGAAAATTACAGAACTGAAATTTAAATCTTACGCTTTTCGTCACTTTTACAAAAGATATGCTCTTTTTCCGAGCTATCTTCATCGGTATGTTTCATCCACATACGAATAGTAAAATCATTTCTGAATGCGCCAGAAAAGTCAGCTTTCGGAATCACTAAACTTTTGCTAAGACCATCAAATGACATGAAATGCGATTGAGGTGCTTGATTACAGTCGACATCTTTCGGTGTTAAAACATATTCACGATTGATAGATGCTTCAAGAAATTAAAAACATATAAATTAAATCTAAGAAAAAAACTCGACTTTTTCGAATACATACAACATTGTTCAAGATTACAACCGCTATCTATTCCATTGCTATCGAACATAATGGTACCAGTAATATCTTCAACAGCACAGGTTTCATCGCATACATCGACATGAACAGTTTCGAATATATGTGTATGATCAGTTTGAATCGTTAATTTTGTTGGATTATTATCTAAATTAAAAAACAAATATGGCATAGCCTTGGCGTTTCAGAAAATTCTTTTAAGATTTTAGAGCGCAATGCTTCCCTATCGCGGCTAAAAAAAATGCTTTTTGTTCCTGATATGCATAGATTTTTCATAAAACTGTAACTTCAATTTTATACTCTTTAAAATGACATGGATAAAAACTATTTTTCAAACAGTCTTCTAGCACTGAAAAAATGACCTAGTTTGATTGTTCACAAATTGAATTTTCATAAACTATCTACGCCATTTGAATAGTTAGATTCAATACAATTTACATTAATATAATCTGACAAGAATATAGATTAGTACTACCATTGTTTTTTCGATGCACTAATCTTCTGTTGGTTGCGTCAGTCTCAAGCCTTATCATAATCCGTCAGAATTGAGATTTTCATGTGTGCGATGGCCCTTATGAGCAAGAATGCCAGAGAAAAGTTCAGTTCAGTACACTTTCATAGACTACGAACTGCTACTCTATACAATGAATTCAAAGATAACGCTGAGGATTACCAGAAATCAAAATCATTTCCGATCATAATTTAGTACTTCTCGGGAAAATGATAGATAAGTTCAAAAATATGTTTTGTTTATTAGAACTTAGAAAACGAAATGCGGAAACATCGGATTTGCATCCGATTGTTATTTGTACTGCAAAAACTGAGTCGATTTATATATGTTGTGAATAATACTGAGAAAAATTTTTTTTTGAAAAAATCTCTGCCCCCCCCCGCTNTGACAATCGGATCAGCCTTTCAGGAGCTATCGTGTAAACGGCCGGACACACTGACCGATTCTATAGTGTACTCACTTTTGTTTTTTGAGTACACAAAAACACATACGCAGTAATAAAACTTATCGAAATAAGTCATATATGAAGTTATTCGACACCATCTGCAATATTTATCGGTAAGCTTGAAATATTTTCCGGTAAAAATGTTTAAATTTAGCTATTTTGTTAAAAGTCCTACATGATCCTAGAGTGAAAATCTTGATTTTTCTTCTACTGATGAAAAGAAATCAGCTTCGCTTGTTGTTTTAGAAAGGACGTGGACGATCGTAAGAAAGGAGTGAATTACCAAGAGTAATGATAAAAACAAAATCGGGCGAACTTTTTTTAACTTTCAAAAGCAGACGTTTTTTGTATATTCTACAGCAACGCAAAATTGCGTTCTGGCTTTTAGCTAATGACACAATTTATTTAAAAAAAAATGTTTTACTACATTTGTCGAACTCTGCGTTTATTGATATGGAAGAAAAAATTCTTCATTAGTGTAAAAAGCTATTATTTAGTAATAGTTTAAATAAATAATTATTCTTTTTGGCCCCTAGACAATAGGGGTATGACAGTTCATTTTTAGTTTCTATCAAAAGAACTGTTTCGACAGTTCTTTAGATCTGATATGATCCCTTCGAACAGCTCTTTCGGTCATTTGATCTGAACTTAGATGCGAGAACTGTTATACCTCTACTAGAGAAGCTTCCTCTTTAGTTGAGTGTCGCTGTTCATAAAACTGAGACATAAACTTTCTTTTCAACGACAATGGCAAAATCGAGTGGTGAAGGTGAATGACGTTCTTAGCGTAGGATGTTTAAATGTTTGCGACGTTTTCATACTTGCTAGTGATGGCGTTTGGAAAACGCTTTTTCTTTTCTTTTCAACGATAAACTTTCATTAGAAAATGTCTTAAAAGGTTAATGCAAGTATTATGAAAATACTTTTATTAAATTTCACATCTCATAAAATTCTAGTTTTACAAAAAGTCATGATGACTGAGAAGATAGCCTGAGGCCCAGTCTTTCATAGATGGCCTGATTCTTTTGTTTGGGATCTCGTTTTGCTTCATATTTTTGAATAATACTAATCGTTTTCTGCCTGAGAAAAAAAGCTTTGTTGTCAGACAAAAGCGGCAAATATTTTCTGCCTTTTTTTTGGTGTATACTCTTTTTGATCGCACAACTCGGAATTCTCTGTAGGCATTCAGTCAATATATTTGATTCTTTTTCCTTTATGTGTTTGAAATAGTGCATGTTAAGATTCAAGACATGGCAGAGTATCTCTCTTGAACTGAACTTAGACTTTGATTATCTAGACGAGTACTTTTGTAATTAGAGTTATTTTTCATTCACTTCGAGCTTCGTTCAAAAGCTAAAATGAGCAAAAAAAAGAAGGGGTTTTGTCACGTCCAATCATGCTTCTATAAACAAAACATAAAAAGGAAATAGATCAACAGAGATTTGTTATTGCTAAAACAACTGGAGCTTTTGTTAGATGTATTGGTTGAATATTTCTTGACAACGCCATGACTTAAGACTAAAAATTTTCCTGCCAACTTCTTCATAATTGAATTTTGAGAAGGGGATTAGCAAATGCGATTTCTTGATATTAAAACACGTGTTGATTAAAGTTTTCTCATCCTGGAAGACAATATCTATGAAAAAGACTATAATCATGATGTAGCTTACTAATCGGTTAGATTTTTTCTTTATGTTTCGCCTGCAAAGATTTTATATGTTGCATAGTCATTGAATAGTAATCGGAAATAATCATTTCTTCATTTTTTTTATTCAATTCTCGAACGACTCATTGAAATTTACATAACACAATAAAGGATCGGGTGTGACTAAAGTTTTATAAACTCTGTTCGAGAGTATAAGGACATTTTTGCTCGTGGTCTTTTATTTTTAAAACTGAGTCATTTAATATTCAAACTTCCCACGATCAGCGCATTCCCTAAGAGCTATTTTTATAAATATTAACATATGACTAATACTAAACACATGCGCCAAAGTATTATTGCGCATAAGGAGAAGTCTATTCCGGGATTAACCGTAAAGATTATTTTAATTAAATAGACTGTCTCATATATTATCGACTGTTGTTTTTTTCTCTCTCTTGTATGTGAGATGAGGATGGGTCGCTATTGCCATGTTTGGACGAGCTTTTTTAAATCTCTGGTTTGTTTCTTGTATTAGAATCAAATTGAAAAAATAATAAGTATGAAAAAGTAAAATTTAACAATGTGTGAAGTTTCCTCGTTTTCTCCGATGCGAAATGACACAATAGTGTCTGTGTTTAATGTTAACAGTCTGCAAAGTCATCTAAGATACTTATCCATCAAATCCAAAACTGAATCCTTGATATTCCGAGAAAATTTTCAACTTTCTGTCATGTTGCCTACATCCAATTCAAAGCAAAATGTCGGAATAGTGCTCTCGCACTCGCTCGCTGTGCACGCAAAAAAAGGCATTTCTATATGAGAAAAAAAAAGTTCCTACCTGAGATCGTTGGTTTACATGATTTGAGAATTTTAATCGTAACTCGTGAAGGTTCACTGATTGTTCTGACTGCGTTGTCCAATGGTGACATGTAGCAATCGATGGCAACGACATCAAATTCATATTTATCATTCGTTAAAGGTGCTTTGATAGATATTGAACCGTTTGAATCAATAGTAAATGGAACATCAGGTGTTACTATTTGATAATCGCATACACGATGATCTACATTTGAACAATCATCATCCGTTGCTTCAACCTTTACAACAACAAAATAGATTTCTTCTTGATAATCAAAGAACAATGTTCTACTTACACGGCACGATGAGCAACTTTGATCTTGATGTAATTTAAATAAATAACTCTGGTGTGTAAACATCGGCACAAATTCATTGACATCATCAAGTGTAATTACTAACGATGCTCTGCAGAAAGTAAAAATTTCCTTTTTTTTTTGCTTTGTTTTGTTTTGTAGATTTAAGATAAATTTACCTTTCCGAATATCGACGTTCACTACTACTGGCACAATCATAGGCACGAACAAATAAACGATACGATTGTTTAATTTCACAATCGAGTTTATTGATACTTGTTTTGAGTTGAACACTAGGTTTTCCATTGATGAGTGCGACTACAAATGGTATATTTTGTGACGTGTCATCAATGACATCATCATGTTTATGTAATGATAATTCGTAACCACAAATTTGCCCTAAAATAAAGAACTATTATTAAGAAAATCGATTACTGAAAGAATAACAAACCATTGGGAGAATTGGATGGATCACCATCGGTTGCTGATAGACGAGGTTTAAGTTCAACTATGCGTTCGTTTTCTTGCATGCGGCCAACATATGCATTCGACGAAAGAGCTGGATCAAAGAAATTTGATTTTGTCTTTGTTATTTTCGTATCGACTGCTAATGCTTTTGTATTGGTTAATACTAAAGGACACGAGTGGCATTAATATAAATTATGCATAGTGTCAAGCTAGTTGATCATACCCGTGACTGTCGCAAAAAATAGTGAGTACAACATCCTTATGAATCGTTGCTGTTTCGCTATCTAGAAATTATTTACTTATAAATTTGTAAGAACAATGATAAGAAAGCTCATTAGTGAATACACAAGAAAATGCGAAATGCGATAATGACAACGCATAAAAATGATGATGGCTATATTACTCCCTTACTTATCGATGAAAAGCGAAAGAATGAGAAAGAAACATAGCGAGTAGGCCCGCTTTTTATTGCAGTTCATTCCACTCGTTTGCCGTCTTTTTTCTTGTCTTCTGTTGCTCGTTTTCTTTCTTTTCTCTCTTCCTTTGTTTCCATATTTCTTCTTTCTTTTTTTTTTGGAACCCTACGCAAAACGTTTGACATGCAAGATTCAATACTAATACTTTTCTACGGCGCTTTTTGTCTTCACATATTTTTTTTCTCTCCCTCTTCGCCATAGCGAGTAGGTTAGTGTTAGCAGAGGAAGTGTTAATAAGAAACAGCATAAAAAAAAATGCAACCAAAAAAAAAGTAAGATGAAGTGATAAGCTGCCGTCATCAGTGACGTTTCCTTTTGCCGGCTGGCTGAAACCATATAGAAATTCAAAGTAACTTCTACTTCTTTTATTTATTTATAATACAACAACAAGAAGAACACTCTAACAAAAAGAAAAGGGAAAACAGATAATTGGGAGAAGTTTTTTCTCTACAAAAATACACGTGAAAAGAAAGTTTTTTGTTTTAGTCAAAAGACCCTGTGACACATCGAACAACATTTCCTAGTGATATATATGATGTTTTTAGTATATCTTGTACTGATGCTTTTTGATAAGTTGGTTGAATTTCATTAGATAAATCTAAATATTTATCGTTGTAGACGTCCGAGCGTTGTTCAACAGATAGATGCGAATTTATTTCATCGAGTGGCTCGTTTTCAATAGTATTGTTTTCTCCTATGGTTATAACATCGCCTTGTTCCATAAGTTGTTTTGGTAATAGCATTGTTTCTCCTTCTAAAGTTTTACCGACAAGATAAGTTGTATTTAATTCTAAAGCATCACGATAGTTTGTTTCTAATGCAATAATACAACGTTTAGAATTTTCAATTAATTGATAGTAATAAGAAGATTTCTTGTGCTGAGTTCTATTTGAAAATGATAATTTTAAATTTTCAAGACGTTGATTAAGTGTTGAAGATGAAGTATATAATCTTGATCTACAATAATTTTGAAGCTAAATAAACAAAAAAGATCGATAGACTTTAGGCACTACCATTTTGTACTTTTAATGTATCATCTACATGAGAAAAAAATTCAACGGCATATTTAATACTACTCGTAAGGGAAGATCCCCAGCTGATTCATCTCTGTCAAGTCGAAATAGTATGTATCATCTAAACTCTCACATGAGTTCGAACTATTAACTTGTAACCGCTGAGACGCTACATTATTAATAAAAATGTCATGACCTTACTGAGGATCATCAACGGAGAGAATTTTTGAACTCAATATTTTACATAGCGGATAAGTCTTTACGAGAATAATTCATCATAATAACTTCCATGTTCTGAATTTTAAGAAGCGATTGCGATAAACATGCATCGACAGACTCATGTTTTTTATAGTGCAGAATTGAAAAGAGCTTTCTGGATATATAGCTGAAGTAAAGTTTCTCGTTTATGAAGAAATTTTGTTTGTTTTCCTATGCGATTTACCTGGCGAATTTTATTTCGTATTTTGAGACAATTATTTATTTGTGCAATAAGTAATTCTGCATTTTCACGTTGTTCAAGTACATTATCAATACGCTTGATGAGAGGAAGATTTTTATTTTCAATTCGTTTTTCTTTCCAATAGTCATAAATTTTCGTTGATACAGACTCATTATAATCTTGTGGACATTCATCATATAAATGGGAGCATGAAATAAATGTATGAAAATTTTCATAACAATTTAATAACCATTCTTCCGCTTTAAGTTTTTGACGATAATAAACTGTTAAAGGTATTATCGTTGGTATACATGAAGCTTCATCTTCAGCATTTGAATTCGATAATGGAATGATTGATGGATCTGGTTCTGAACGTAGTCGTGCTTCTTGAGAATGTTTGAGGCAATAAGCATTGAATTGCGAACGTGACGATGTGGTTCTATCAGAGGACGTTTGTTGTACATCAAGAAAATAACCGGCTGAAAGACCACAAGTAACCTAAAACAAATTTTATTTATTTATTATCAAGATGCTTTTCAAATGCGGGTACACATATCCATGAAATATTATATTAAGTGATGTTAGAGATGTGTTTTTGACGGGATGCTACTTTCCGACATGAAATATGAAAAAATGTAACAGAAAAACGGCTTGAGAAGATAATATTTCATAGACAGAGTATGCGTCATTCGGTATAATATTTTTTGTTTGATATAAACATTTACTAATATGCATATTTTTTTAAGATTTCACATAAATCATTCATGTCGAAGAATAAAATCTTTGAAAGGTTGACTCAATCAATAGAAGTTTTTCTACTAAAGATATTTTTACTATCGATTCATTCTTCAGTTTATCTTCTCTATACATGAATGATTTAGGTCAATCAGTATCTTTAGTTGTACAAATATAGAAAAATCAACTCTATTATTTATTTGATGTTCTCATACATTCGATATTGTTTTATTAATAATTGATTAAAACATACATGAAACGGTGTACGACAATTCTTATGTGCACATTGCACGCAAGCACCTTCTGATGTTGAACAAACAACACAGCGAAGAGTCCAACGTGCATGTGGGATTTTATCTAAATTTAATATTGGCTCCTAAAAAGAAACCGAAAACCTATCGTCATATAAAACTTCTTTTTCAGCAGCATTTCCTACCATTTTAACATAATCAGCAAATTTTAGCTCCGGTAACCAAAATGCGCATGTTAAATGACACCAAACAGTTCCACTTGGCGTACATTTCATTGGGCCGCCAAGTCTATAGAATGATCAGAATAAAAATAATTTTTCTTCGACGGATTCTCTTTACTTTGGACAAAGTAGACAAGCAGGTCGTCTTAGAATTGAACATGATTTACAAAGCCATGTTCCATTCGGTACAACGGATATTCCATAACAATTTTGATGTACACACGCATTACAACGTTCACAAAAGACCATTTCATTTCCATCGTCAGCATCGGGTAGCAAACATATATCACACACAATATCTTCATCTTCACAGGATTTTTGTTTGAGATGTGAACGAATTTTTTCAGCTGTATAGTATTCTAAAATAACTATTGCATTTTCAAATTCTTCTTCTGTCATTGTTCGTTGTTCTAGAAAATTAATAGGAAGATAATTTTAAACAGAAAAATTATGAATACGTACGATTCGTTTGCATAGATTCATTTACTTCTTTGAGGAATTCAAGATCATCATCATCCATATCATAGTCGAGTTCATGCATTACTACTTTCATTATTAACTCAGTGGTATCACTAAACGCAAGTAGAAAAGGTTTAAAGCAAGTGTAAATCCGATTTTGATTTTTCTCTGCAATAGATCCTAGAGAGAATCTAGTAGTTGCTTCGAAATTTTCAACGTCTAGAACTGAATCATAAAATATCGGAAGATGATATATAAGACGGCATTGCTAATAAAAATGAGATGTGTACCCATGTAAAAAATTTTACCCAAAAAGTGACTATTAAGTACTTTCAATAGTAGGTTCTACGCGGAGTAGAATACTTATAAGTGAACCTTTTTATGTACTTTTCATACTTTTTAACTGAAAAGTACTGATAAGTACTTTTGAAAGTAAGAAAAGTATGATAAAGTACTATAGAAAGTGGAAAATTTATCAGAAAGTACTATAAAAAGTGAAATATAGTAAGAGAAATTACTTTATTACTATAAAAAGTGATTTTTGGTTCATTTTTGTGTACTCAAAAAGTGAGTATACTCTAGAATCGGTCAGTGGGTCCGTCCGTAGGCACGATAACTTGCGAAAGGAGAGTCAGACCGTGATGAAATTTTCCACACAGTTCAATCTCATGAATATCTCGGTCGAGTTCGAAGATGAGAAGAATCCCTCAAGAAATGGTTGAGTTATCGAAAAAATTGTCATTTTTGACCAGGCCATCCCTGAGGAGGAGTACAGGGAATTTTTTT